GAAACAGCCCTGTTTTCACAATTTTTACACAAAAAAGGTCAAATGATACATTTGACTTTCAAGAGTCAGCTGGATGACACATTTTGTCTGAAAACACACTATAACCCTGCAAAGGGCAAGGATTTTTGTCCACCAGTGGCCCATAAAATCTGCCCAAACTTGAAGTTCCTCACAGGAGCTTTCAGCTTAAAGAAAATTGATAGTTAAACTGTTTCGGAAGTTTTGTTGCTCACAAGACAATTCAAATGGTTGTAAGATAAATATCTGAATGAAACCTTTTACTTTTAAAATTGCATACATTTGAACTTTTTCCTTCCATAAAATTTACACTATATAAACCTTTTTTTCCCAAGAAACGTTCCCAAAATTTCTGAGGAAAAATCCCCAAGATTTTCAGTTGGGAATTTCTGAAAATTCCTGAACATGTTCAGAAAATTTGAACTCAAAATTTGGCAAACATCTCTTAAAATCTGCTCAATAAAAAAAACTATTGAACATGTCCCAAAACCCTATTGAAAACTCAAGAAAATTGACTTTTTAAAGAAAATATTCTGACCAAAGTTTTCAGATTTTTTTTTAAATCTAAACAACCCCCCAAATTACCCCCTTCCACTCCCTGTCTTTACTTTCCTCTTTAGAGGTCATAGGTCATAGATGTGCACTTATAGCTCTGCTCTGTTGTATTTCAAAGATCCTGCAGAAGCCTTGAAGACATCACAAAAGTTGCAGTTAGCCCCATAGTTTCACCAGACTCCTCTCTCAGCAGTTAAAACCCCTCCCTCAGACTGCCCCCTAATCAAAGGGCTTATTCACACTCCTCAGCGTTGACTCAGGAACATGATGATTTACTGGATCTCAGTGCTGTTTCTACATCGCAGAGAGTTAAAATTAACCCAGAGAAAGATGCATGTTTCTCAACTTTTCCTGTGACCAGCTCTCAAACCGGGCCCGCAGTGTCCAGGTCTGCATTCCTGTGAGTTCCAAAAAAATCACACTCCACCACACTGACCCCCCCCACCCGAAACCTGCAAATCTTTGCCCCAAACGTCACGATAAAAAGACCAGCCAACGAAACATGCAACTATTTTCACTCTGCCCACAAATCCCAGGGCATGATATACATAGAGCAGAGCGTGAGTGTTTTATGAATATGCTTCTGTGTGCAGCTGTCCTACTGCTCAGAAACACGTCAGAGTCTTGGTTTATGTTAGTTTTGAAAAATGGCCCAATCAGTAGATCCCTCTTTTAGAACCCTTACAGATACATCTGAAGCTGTAAAGAGTCTTTTTGAGTATGGGCATCCAAAAAATTTTTTTAAACAGTTTTAGATCTTCTTCTTCTTAAACCTCTGAGGTGATTCAAACTTTTAATTTCTGATATGAATGACTTTTGCTTTGAGTATTGAGATTTTGCACAGTAGTTGTGCATGTCTTGGTACAGCTGAAAACGAGGGCTCTGACTGAAAGTCTTTTTAAAGATGACTTACAGGGATATTCCAGGGTAAAATTAATTTTTATTCATCATAAATGTTCTTCCTTGAGCTGCGTAACCCCGCTGCAGTCCACAATGGACTGGCCTGAGGTCTCGCTACAAACAAGCAGCTGCTGGAAGAGGGTAGGTGAGGAGTTGTGTTTAGTCTCTTTGCTAAAGAAATAAGGCAAAGCTAAAAAGATGTTTGGTGTCTAGTGCTGTGGCCGGGACCCTATATGGACTGTTGATGAAATTAGGTGCTGATCTGAGCAATATTTGTGGATATAATGTGGCATTTTGGTTGAGGTTTGTTTATGGCTCCTCAGACCACTGTGTATTGCTATTGTGCGGTTGTTGCTAAAGTTGGTATAACTAGAGAAGCAAGTGGTCATCTCTCGAGGGGGTGTCTAACTCTGTGTTACGGTGTGTTTGACCCTAAATTAATTTTACACCAGAATATCCCTTTAAATAGAATAAATGATGACATGAAGTGCAACATATACAAGACTAATAAACATCTGCATTACATCCTCATTGTTTAAGGGGCCACAGACCTCAAATACTTTACCGGAAAAAAAGATAGCTATTACATACCCAACTGTTTTCTCTGACATGTTCTCTAGGAATCTTTAAGTTCCACTCTTGAATTCACCTGCAGAAAAATGAGATCCAGCTGCATTATTATTACACCAAACATCTCATGTGAAGTACTGCTTTGTATTTTCTGTCTTGTTGGTTGTATGTGCTGTTTTCCTCATGCAACCAGATCCACATACAAATATATATTCTGTATGTCTTTCTACATACATTTTTGGGTTTAAGTTTTTCATACCATTCAGGTCTTTGTTTTGACTAAAACTGCCATAAAACTCAAACACCACTCATTTGTGAAATGGATTAAGTAATGATGTATGTAAAGCACTACAAAATCATTATCATCCGGATAATTAAAAGCCTAAATCCACTTTTTAACGTCTCTTAAAGCGGATGTATCCCAAACCAGCATTCCTGTGCGGGTCTGCTATAATGTCTGTTTCAGAGGCAGCAGGGAGTGTTTGGGCTTCGTTGTACAGTAATTGGGTGTAAAACAGGTGGCGCACTGTTGACACTGGAGAGAAGCATGTGAAAAATGTGCTGCTGCCATGCAATCACAAAAGGAAAAGGCTGGCGGTTGACTTAGACATTTAATCACTGTGTTGGGTGATAAGTAGAGGATCAAACGGAGGCACATAAAGCCTGGAATAACAGGGAGAGACACCTAAGGCTGCCCAGAGGGACTCCTGGTGGAGCTGGGCCAGGTCACTGAGAGCTGATAGGGAGTTAGCACTCAAAGTTTAGTGTAAAGACTTATAAGGAAACAGGAAACTAAGGAAGAAGGAGCTTAATGGCCTTAAATATTACTGTTATGGAGTTGTTTCTTCTGCATTGGTCAAAACTGTTTCTTACCAAATGTTGACCACATGAAAGCCCTGGTGGCCATTTTTCTAAACATCACTTGCAAGCTAAAACAGTTTATAACAATACATAATATTCCAGATAACAAATCATATGATATGTGAAATCACAGGGATAGCATTAAACAGCTCCACCTTTGAAAGCAACTCAGACACTAAAATATGGAGGGATAGCCATGACCTATTAGGACGTCTTCCATTAGCTTCCTAGCTAAATTCAACCTTAACATTGGAGCAGGTGAACATTTTATTGCCTTTTATAGCACCTAAAGAAATGATAGTGATTTTGGGCTAAATTTCAATGTTTGTTAGGGAGTGGTAGATTGAATGCTGGTAGCCCATAGTTGTAGCCAGTGTGTAGTCCATCTTCTTTTTAGTCACATAGCAATGAAATCACCTACATTATACAACCACTCCACTATATTTACTCTAATAGCTACCTATAACCTAGAGGACAACAACAATTCCAACATCCATTGGGCTTTCCATGTTTTATTGGCTCCAGATCAGATCTGAGTCTTCTTCAAAGAGCCGAAAGAAGACTCAGCCCTTTGTTTAAGAGTGAGGGAAAGGAGTTATTCAATACAGAGAACTTTATGAATTACATTAACCCTAGCATTAACACCATCGCTGGGTGATTTTCACACGACCAAACATGTTTACGTGATTTTCATTATGTTGCGTTTGTCTGAGTATCATGGGTCTCTGGGTAGCTTCAGCATTTCCTTTGACATCTTTGAAGACATATTTGTTTTCTTGATCCAAAACCTGCTTTCTCCTACAGGCACGTGTTTGGGTGACTTTCATCCCGCAATAGTCATAGAGGGTAAGTAGGTTTGGGTGGATTTGATAGCTGCATGTAGGCAAATAAGGTCAGTAAGAGTGGTCCTGGAATTTGCATGCTATCTTTATTTAGTGCAGTGGTTATGAATAAATTTCACAAAGTAGTGATTTTAAAGGGAATTCATATGATGATAGAAAATATTTTAGTCAGCTGTCCATGTAGATTCTCATTCCTCCAGGTCATGGTTTTCTTGAAGACTCCAAAAACAGGCAACTGGAGTGTGTGGAGTTGAGAAGACGTTTCGCCGCTTATCCACAAAGCTTCTTCACTTCTAAAAATTGCTAGTGAGAGAAGCAAATATAACGTCTTTTCAACTCTCCACAGTCCAGTTGCCTGTTTTTGGAGTCTTCAAGAAAATTTTAGTCAGCTGGTTATTTTTACTCACTCAAAATACGCCATATTTTGGTTCTCTCTCCTGCAGCTGTTATTGTGCCAAGGACCCCGAGTCTTCACCAGGGAAGACTCACATGCCTCAGGAATGGGTGGAAAAGAAACTAAATTTATACAAACATACATACATACATTTATGTATATATATTTAAAGGAATTTTTTGTTCATGAATGCCTAATTTCAGTTATTTTGTTGCATTTTTACATGGTCCCCTCATGGCCCTTTTTTCCCCTCCCTTTAAACATTGCACAGTTGAAATAAAGGAAAACTACTTTAATTTGTCATATATTGTCCTATTTTGATTTATTTTGAGGACAAGTACTTTTTCCTGGGTATATTATTTTGGGTAAAAATCACCCGGCTATAGTGATGGTGTTACTGATTTTAGCGATAGTGTTCTAGGGTTAAACATGAAGTGATATCCAAGGTAATTTGCCATCCAAACGACTTTGTGTTGCCACTATGTCCATGTGATGACTGGCTCATTCACCGAGTGCGCACCAGTGATCAGGGATCCTGTTACCAACTTTGCCGACACCGGCCCACGTGACTCAGATCCTCCTCATTTAAAAAAAAAAAAAGCCTGCTACCCTGCAATCCTCTTCACGGCTTCAAAAGAGGTAGTAAATGCTCCCTTTGTGTCAGATGACCGACTTTGACACCTTTTGCACCTTCTGTGTCAGAGGGACATCTACTCCTGGAGAGCGAAGTCACCAGTCTGTTGATGCTGCGCGGGACCGAGTCTTCCTCATTTCATTCATATTTCTGCTCTGATAAATTGGCGTCCATCCTGAGAGGTTGCCAAAATCGGTGTCCATCTTCTTTGATCCGCTGGCCGAGGATGATACCGGACCAAAGGAGCGCATTCCGCGCCTCAGTTTTGCTGGCTTGTGCGATAATCTGCAGCAACGTGCTATGTCCCGCCGGTGCCTATCTGTACAACAACCGCTACGCAGGGTGAGTAAAACAGGCACCCATTCATGTCCGCTCGGAGCTCACCAGAGTCCTCATTCTGCAGGAAAAGTTCTGACAGCGTTTTTTTCTTCCTTTACCCCCCTTTCTTCTACAAGATGCGGGATTTATCTTTGATCAGGCACAAAAAAAGTTCATGCTCACTATCATTCTGGGACATATTTCCAGTTTGAGACATAAATATACAGATTTTATCTCAACACAGACAGGTTCTGTTGTCTGGTGGCACTGGGATAAGTTAGTATCTGTAGAGTTTTGTGCAGAGAGACCTTCAGATTGCTCATCATAGGCACAGATGTCACAGGGGGATGCTTCCTGCTACAGACGCCTGTCAAGCTGCTCGTTTCCAAAAAATTATAGCTGCTGCACCCAACTCTCTTAGCGTGGCATGTGTTTCTAAAATCACCAGAGAGTCAAAACAGTCATTTTTGACAAACTGCATAGCTGTCTGTCTGCATGTTTTTGACTCTGTGTTTGGAACACTCACATCTAGCCCATAAAATAGATAATCTCAGGTTTTGACCCTGGAAGTCAAGTTTAAGGAGCATTTGGACAAATTGATGTTATTTCAGGGACCATCTGGAGCTGGGTATGTGTAGTAATTTAGGGTTTATGGTGTTTTTCAAAAGAGATTAAAATGTGATTTAGTTAAAGCACATGGGGATCACCTCTAGTGGAAACCCTCTCTTCATCTCAAACTACATATACTCCAGAATCAGTCACTGTAAGCCTTTTTAATTTAAAAGTAAATCCTTCACTGTCAAAATGTTTCAAAATCATTCATAAAATTATGTCTAAGCATTGCTGAACTTGAGGATTTGGACACTGGAGCTGCAGAAATGATATTTTGGAAAGCAGTATCCAGACGCTGCTGGTCCAGCTCTTTAAAGCAAATTGCTTCCATCCCAGAAGGAGAGCGGCTGCGGGAATCAACAGACTGTCAGCCATAGCTCAGAAAAACCCTGCAGCTTTTTCGTAAAGCAAAAGGCCCTTTTTTCATAAAAGCAGTGTAACTAAAACAGTCTGCCCTTATCTAGACTAATTACAACAAGAAGGCTGAGGAACGGGCCAAGTCTGGACTACAACAGTACCAGCGTTGACTATATTTGGTGTTCAAACAAAGAACACAGTCCCATTTGGATAAAGAGAATGAAACATATTCTCTTTATCCGTCAGAAAATTGACAATTTTTTCCCCCCTAGTTTAAATCTGATGAATTATTACATTGGCCGTCCTGTTTTTCATCAGCTTTCCCCAATTATTTATCATATCCCTTTATTTTTTTTTTTTTCATCTAAAAACTACTAACTCCCTTCTCTTTTCAAGTCCATCTTTAGTAGCCATTATTGCCATGGAAACATGCACTTTTTTCAGTCAGTGAAACACAGTGGCTACTCACATGAGTCCTTTTGTTCCTCAAATCTCAGAGCGGCCTGCTGTCACCTTTGTTTAGGGGGGCCCGGCTTCCTGTGTGGCACATTGTAAAAAAAAGCTCTTTGAAATAAATCCGATGGAGGAAGAGGAAAAAAACACAAACATGAAAGTGATTCTATACAGCCTGGCAGACTCAGGTAACCGGGCACACAGAGAGTAAGAGTAAACTTCAGAGTGGAAGCAATGCTAAGTAGGATTCATGATGAGAATAGAGGATCTTTGTCTGGATGGAAGATGATTTACACAGTGTGGTTTAATATTAAGTTTGAAAGGCCTTAAAAACTCTCTAATTTCTTTATTTGTCCCAAAAACAGCTACAAGAACATTTGAAGAATTACGACATACTGGATCCTACTTCTAAATACATTTACAACAAATTTAATCAATGAGTCAAATACCTCATTGAGAGTTTTTAATTGGACAAAAAAAATCTGTAAAAGGCTTCAAATCAGCTTGAAAATCAGTTTTTCGTCATTTGTCTTTTTTTATGAATGATTTTCTTTTGTGCATGAATACTAGGGCATGTAAGAAATATCAAGACAACACATTAGTGCTACATTTTAATATTTTGTGAGTGTGTATTGTCTTTCTCTTTACTAATTTTCTACTTATAGTCATGCTTTAGTGTTGAGTGCTACAGGGACTGTGAAAGATACAATGCAAATGGGAACCTCAAAGTATGAATCATATCAATCTCTGTACTTTATTTTATGTAATATGCAAAATACTGATACAACAGTCTATCACTGCCCTCATGCAATTCAGTAAACGCATCACTGGTGACATATTTTGGTTGATGTTGGTAATAACAACTAATACAGGACCCCAAGAATGGTGGGTGGTGCATTAGTAGCAGCTGTAGCAATAATTTCACTTAAAACTCCTCATAGTGGGTCTCGCAAGTCATACATTACTGACATCATTACTTTTGGGGGATGACATATATATATATACACCAGATATCATATTATATCTCTATCTGTTATACATACATGTGAACATGACATACAAGTAGCCTTCAGTAAGGTATGGTTCTTAATAATTTGGTTCAAAGATATAAGGTCAAGTCTTTAATCTTCTAATACCTGAGCTGACACACCTTAATCTACATTCTTCATCAGCATGTATGTTTTTACAGTCAGCGATGTGAAGCAGCAGCTGCCACAGTGTACTTCCAGGTGTTACCTGCAGAGTCTGAAACAATGAAATATAATCCTTTAATGATGTCTCACTCTGGTTGTTGGACTGGGGTTTGACCCTGTCATGTATAGGAGTACAAATGAGGAACCACCCACTCCACCGTCAAACACCTGCTATTATAAACGTCAGCGTCAATCAGCACAAAGGGGGGTAATGTTACCTGTGACTTTGTGGCCCAAGTGTTTTTTGAAAATGGGAGGAAATAGATCCAAGCCATTTGGAGTGAGTTTTTAGTGTCATAAAAAATCCTTTCAGGCATTTTGATCCTGGTTGTAAACCGACACTCAAAGGGTCTCTGCTGTTTTTTTCACAGTGATCAAGTCTTCAGGATTACACCAAGTGATGATGAGGAGGTGCGAGTGCTGAAGAAAATACTGGGACACATGAAGGTCGGTGCATGTGTTTTCTTATATTCACACAAAAACAGTTACTACACTGACTTACATTAAAGACTTAGTTTGATTACCACCAGTAATTTTTTGGGACCGTTTAATTTCTAAATTGCTTTATAATAAATTTTATCTGGTATTATTCTGCTCGTACCAATCCACAGTCCCTCACTAGACTGTAAACAGTTTGTCACACACAGACAGGGTGGGGCGTGAGGCAGTGGGTAGACAGAAAGAGGGGACATGTGACAGACCACTGAGACCACTGGGATAGTGAGACAATAGGGACCTGGGGGGTTCTAGGGAGTATATCCTGACTGTGACAGATGACCACACTTGGCTGCTCCCTGTCTGAGAGACCAGGACACTGATGATAGGATTCTCTGCATTTGCTCGAATAAGAAAACCCAAAGTGGCAGATGAAAAATACAGAGGTTTCTTTGTGATGAGACTGAAAGTTGGTAACTTTATAAACATATGTTTCAAAGAGAGTTAAATTATGGAGGGAAAACCTGAAGAACACCAAAGCCTGGCCTCTTTAACCAAACTCATTTGGGAGTGATTACCCATGAGCCTCAGGAACAGAGATGACCTTTCTTTGCACATTGTTTCAGTTTGCAAATCCACCACATAGGAAACATGAGGAGCCTGGTGCAATTATAAAGAGTCTCATTCAACGAACAGTAAAGGCACTGCTTTGAATATTTGATTGCACAGATGATTTTACTTCGTCTGCAGATGATAGGGGCACTGAAGGAGACATGTTTATGAAAGACCAGAACAAACATCCTTATAAAGTTCTTGACTTCCCAAAAAAATTACATTTTTACTGGAAAAACTAATTGTTCGCCTCTAATCACTCCATCCAAAGGCCATTTAAACAAATTTTTTTCACCATGTTGAAATAAAAAAAGTGTCGTCCTTCTCTTCACTTTGGTTTGTTTTTTCTCAGACTCCTTCTATGATTTCTAGGTCTGTATTGGTTCTGGTCAGGTTCTTGTTTTGTGGTCCCATCTCTAGCAGTCAAGTAAAAAGCAATACAAATTGAAATTCAGGAAATGTTCATGATTTGTTGACGAGCGGTACGAGGACAGAGCCAGGCTGCTGGTCAGGACCCAGCGAGAGCTTTGTGTATATTGGGGCAGTGGACGCAGTGATCCAAGGCCGACCGGAGAGATGGCAGGTTCTGTTTGGACAGCTGTGGACTTGAGCTTTCAGTAGGATGGTCACACTGTCATACCTACAGTGCCAGAGTCAGAGGTTTTCAGCCTCATGTATGCATTAGATTGATATCCAAACAGCTACTTTACATTTCCCAAACAAGTGAATTGGGACTTTTGAACTTAACGAGTCTCACTTTATAGCAAATTAACACAACCAAACACAGCATTTCTTGAACAAATTTTAACCATCTCTCCTATAAATAGCTAGAGGTTTGTGGATTGTTCCCAAGACTTGTTGTGTATTGCATTTCTCTCTCATAATTTCTCTTACTCAAGCATAAACCCCTCATCCCCGTTTGCCATGTTTTCAGTGAAAATGCTAAACTATGCTTACAAGCAGCACAGACAGGAGAGTGATATTAATCTCTTTATTCAACTCGTGGCAGGAAGGTAAATAACTGAACTCTTCCTACTAACATTTGTTATATTTCTCATCTGTGCCCCACCTTGAATTTTTTAACTTGCTCCTTAGAACCTAACCCTCCAAGTGCATTTCAACACTTATTTCCAGTCTCAAATTATTAAAAGCAAATTATTTTTCAAACATGTTATAGATATTTTATTTCCAAGCGTATTCTTGCTTTATTCGATTGGACCTTGTTTGTGTTTTAAATCTTGTTTTTCCCAGACCCTATTGGACCCTGTTTTGTGAAAAATAGTTTGACTTGTCTCATTTAAATCCACCCCCTTAAAGTACTGTGATTGGACTTGTTACCCTTTTAATTGGTGCACTTCTTTTTTTTTACTTGCCTTAAAAACATTGTTAAAGCATGGTCTGTGTTGTTATGGCCATTCGGTTATCATATAAACCACACAAAGTTCACATCACAATCGGGAGACAAGCAGACAAATACCTCAGCTTTAGTGCTCATAAAATCAGCCTTTAAAATGTGAAAACTGTCAGTGAGGACTTGTGTTATCTGATTAAAGTGCTTTTTAGGCATATGCGTTTTGGCTAACAGAAGAGTGGTTCTGAAACATTTAGGGTACTTACCCATTTGGAAATGCCATAAAAGTGCAGCAGCAGCAGTAGAGAGTGGTTTATTCTGCAGGGCACCAAACATTCCAGCTGAAGACTTACTACTCCTCCAGCTCTAAACAAAGTTGAATTAATCTGCTGGGCTTTCTGTAAACCATTAAACCAATTGACACATTAACAAGCATGTGTGCAGGGGCAGACCTGCGTGTCTGCTACAGCGCAAATGTAAGCCAGCTGAAGACATTCACACATGCTAACAAACGCATTGAGTAAACTGTTTTTCTCTTTGCAGGGACTTCTGTGTGTGTGATTGTAGACTCAAGTATTTCTTTTTGCGTAGACTAAACTTTTCTTCTTAATGTTTCTCTGTTATCATATTTATCACCGTGTCCTGTCTGTGTTTATGTTGATGGTTAGATTAGTCAGTCAGGTAAAGCTAGCAAACCAGATTATCACTGAAGACTGAAGTTTGAGATACTTCAATAAGGAAAAAAGTAAAGGGCATGTTTGCAGAAAGTGCATATGATGGTTTGCACTAGAACTGACTGGGAATGTTTGATTATGTTTATATATTTTTTGTGTTTGACAAAGATGCTTCCTGGGTAAATAAACTCGGGTAGGTAATCATAACAATGCATAATATGACTGATTTGATTCCCTCTTCACTTTATCAGCCACAGTTTATCTATTAGCATTGGCAATCGTTGAACCCTCCTAAAATTTTATATCATTTCTTTATATTCATCAGTCATGTAACCACCAATCTAACAGATTTGTCCTGCTTCTTTAAGGTGGACCTCTGGCAGCCCAACAGCTTGACTCTCATCAGCCAAAATGCAACAGTGGATGTCCATGTGAAACGCAATGACACTCCAGGCTTACATGCACGCCTAAAGAAGAAACACATTGACTATCGGTAAGACCAGGAATACAGCACATACTGAACTACACATATATGCTGGCCCGTCGTACACTCGTCTGTATTTCTTAATCTTGTTAGCAGACTTTCTACACCCTGAAAACATCTGCTATCCAAAGGGTGCCGCAATTACCCAGCTCTCCCCAGCCAGAATACACCATTTGCACATGCAGACTTGGCCATGAATTGCATGCAAAAAAAAAAAAGGCCTCATACTTCCTGAATTCTGGAACACACAATAACGCTAACGCACACACACTCGGAGCACATCAGAGCCCCCTCTCCCAATCTGCTCTCAGAAGCAACCCTTTCATCTCTCCGCCCCATCCCTCATCAAAATTAACACTGAAATGATGGAGCTTTATCAAAGCGGCTGCGGCTAGAAAGAATTCCATTGTCATCTCTGTCCTGAGGGAGGAACTGCAGATCTGAGGATGAGGGCTTTTTTTCCAACTCTGTGTTGACTGGCTGAGGATTTTTCAAAATGCTTTACACTGCAGGGGGACGGTCTTTGGTAGGTGGTCGGGTTTTGGGGGAATCACACGTCAGAGGGTTTACTCCAAAGGGAAATAAACTATCCTTTTAGGAGAAATTAAAGTAGTTAAAGATAGAAATGTGAACATAAGTACTTTTAGAGAGTTGCACTGCCCACATAGCAGCTATAAAAAAAGATCTGTATCTGTTTCAGACTGGGTTGGGAAGTGAAGAGGCAGGAGAAGCAATACTGTGGTTTGAGCTAATTTACAACACTTTCCATTTACTGATAAACTGCAATTGGATAATCAGTCGTGCTACAGAATAAGGCGAAAGATATTGTTGAAAACAGCATTACTGTCGACAGTAAATCCAGGAACCCTGATCCATTATTTCATATCAGCCAAGAGTGCCATCTAGAATAGATGCATTTAATTACAGAGCAGTGACCCAGCAGACAAAAAGGGACCTTTGGTAATAAATCATTGAATGGAAACTTGGAAAAGGCAGGAGCTATTAAATCTAGAGACACAAATATGCAACCTCATGTTAGTGATCCTCAGTTTTGGGTCTCAGGGCTGAAAAGTTGAGGGGACTCTTAAACTAGGTTAAACATTTTTCTTGAGGGGTCACAGCTAATTATGATATAGTTTTCAGAGTTCTCAGGTATCGATGAATGTTTGGTTTAAGATAAATAAAATGGAGAAGCAGCTGGTGACCAAGGTGAGAATTATGTAAGGGATGGTGATATTAAAGGATCCAGAAGCAGACTGCATGACACACAGATGGTTCAAAGGTTTTGTTTGAGGCTGGCTGGTTCTGGCTGAGACTGAAGGTAGGTGAAGTCTGGCAGTGTGGATGTGGTTTGTCCAGAAAGGCTGAGACGCTGGGTCTGGCAGGATCTGTGCACAAGGAAAAATTGGTTACGTCTTTGGGGCGAAAACACTGAGAAAAATACTCTGATATATTAACACACAGTAATCTCACTACCACATAGTAGAGTGAGTTATCTGGTGAGGAGAGGAGAGGAAGCCAGGGTCTTTGTACGGCTGCTGAGATGAGATGAATTGCAGGTGTGATCAGTCAGCCAGGTGCCTAATAGCGCAGGCCAGGCCCTTTAGAAAAAACAGCCAGTAAGACCGATGGGGGAGGAAACACAAGGGAGCAGAGAAAACACAATCAGGCTGTGACGAATTAATGGTTTACAAATCTTTATTTACACTCAAGCGTACAATGATAAACACATTGGATTTAAAACATGATGCATCTTTACTTTTTTTTTTCAGAACTTTGTACTAATATAAATGTAAAAGGAAAAACTTAGTGTTGTCACTGTTTTAAATTGTTGTTGCACGTTTTAAGATTATTGATTAGAGTGTTGCACAGATTGGTATCATTTTCATCATATTTCTCCTTAATGTTCTCTCGTCCATCCACAGCGTGTTTATCACAAATCTACAGAAGGAGATAGAGAAGCAGACAGGATATCGCTCATCACGCAGGCGGAGGTCAGAGTCTCAGTATGACTACGAGGTGTACCACTCTCTGGAAGAGGTAGAATGAATGAACGAATGAATGAATGCATGAATGTTTGCACAGCCACCTAAACATGAGATGCAAATTCCAACATAAAATAAATACATGAATAAACTTGTAAATAATGACACAAGGAATGTAATAGATTCATGTTAAAGGGAGGGATGTGACTCAGACATATTTGTATAGACAAAGTCTGCACTCCCCACAGGAAAGGTAATATAAAAACAGTTGCAAGATATGATAAAAGAGGTTGTCATTACCTTTTAATAAAGGTGTTCCATGGTAGGAACCTTAAAGACTCTTTATACCATCATGAGACTGGGGGAGGTTTCTCCTAGATCCACTGGATTAGATTACACTACCTACTCATTAATATGACCTGTCCTATTAATATAAAGCATTTGCATCTTCTTACCAATAGCTAAATATTAACAGGTATTGTCAGATACAGTAATAACTTCCAAATTCTTTTTCACATGTCACAAAGAGGGGAGAGATCTGATGGTTCATTTTGTTGAGGAAATTAAGGCGTCTGCTGCACTCTAATATAATATTCTATGTTAGTGCTCTTTGAGTCTCTTGATTTTCAAGCAGAGAAAAAAGCATCTGAACACGCAGAGACCAACCTTCAAGTCCTTTTCCCGTAATTCCTTAGTTCTCTCTGCATTACCATATTTGACAAGATGTAATTTGTCATAAAAAGGGGACTTAATTTCCTTTTGTTAAAGGCTTTTAAATTAAAAACTGGGTGGGATACTCTCGATTGGGCTCAACAGCGCTGGATCAGTGAAAAAATAAGATCCAATTGTACAGAATAGCTAACTTCACAAAATCCAAAGAAGTGGCTGTGTGGTTTTCTGTATTTAGTCTGGAGTTGTGAGTCTGTGAACACTCCAGCTCATAAAAGTGTCAGACCCCATGAAGCAGTGTGAGTTGAGCGCACAGATCCTGAGAGCCTACACAAATCTTAAGTAGTCTAGGCTTTGATCCTCTCCTTCTCTCTTAAACACACATTTTTAGTCATATGTCTCTCTGTGTGCCTGAGTATGGTTGTTTTAACATTTGGTTGTTTTAATTCATACAAATACTATGGCACCATCACTTTAGATTCAGTCAGAACATGCAGACTGTGAGTCAACCTAACTTGAACACTATGTTTATTAGTAATTATATCAGTCTGACCCAGAAGTTTAAGTTGAACCTATAACATATGACACTTTCAGAATATGATCAAATGAAACAAATTTCAGCTCAGCTCTTTTCTTCGCTAAATGAAGTCTCACGCAAATCCAAAGGTTCTTGCTCATGTGTCTCTTTGCCCTGAGTCTAATTCTTATTTTGCTCCATGAAAAACCACATGAGCAGACACAGTAAATGCACAAATTCACCATCCTTAAGAATGACTTTCAACTGCCTGAAACATTAAATACACAATATAAAATGTTTTAGAGGTTACTCTTGAAGGTTTTGTAAACTAATTTTGTATGACATTTGTCTCCCTGCAGATCCAGAGCTGGATGTTTGACATGAACAGAACTCACTCAGACCTGGTCGACATGTTCTCCATCGGGAAGTCGTACGAGGGTAGACCACTTTATGTCCTTCAGGTAGGAGAGAGAGAGAGAGAGAGAGAGAGAAACGCAGGAATCAAAGAAGGATCCACACATTGTACCAAAAGCTTAGGTGTAACTCCTGACTTGAGTTTTCATTCTTGATCCAGAACTTAATAAAATATCTTGAATGTACATACCCTACACCATTTTCTGTCAAGAGCATGAAAACGTACATGCAAAACAAAACACACATGTGCGTGCACATGCGCCAAATGAAAGTGCTTGTGTCCTGTCAGCTAGGAAAGAGAGATCGTCATCAGAAGAAAGCTGTGTGGATCGACTGTGGCGTCCACGCCAGAGAGTGGATAGGACCTGCCTTCTGCCAGTGGTTTGTTAAAGAGGTAGTTTTGACTTTCAGGTTTGCAATAAAAACGAACAAAATAAGAGCATCTGCATGTTCAAATGGCATCTAAAGGGCATACATCTTAACTATCTCTTTCAAGCTTTTGATGGGATTTTTTTTTATATCTCCAAGGTCTGCAGCAAAAACAGGAACATCTGCTTTCTTTTCATGCACAGTTATGCAAATACTTGAGAGCGTAAGTTTGATGTTGGCCATACATGAGTGTCTACAAAAGCCCCCTTACATCTTAGAGTCTTTGTTGCTAACCCCTGATATGAGGACAGTGCCAGACCAGAGCTTGACATTAACTGTGGGAGCTTTTAATGGCTTGTTTAATAACGCTGTGATGCCAGACTAGTGGAATTTGCAGTACATTAAGTGCTAGAACTTGAACATAATTAAAGTTAAGTCCATGAATATCAATTTAGAGCACTGAGTCATGGCCTACTTTATGGGATTTTTGCACCATAGTCTACAACAGATAAGTACTAAGTTTAAAAAAAAGTGAAAATCTTGTAACCACACATTGGCACAGGCATTAGGCATCTAAAGGTTAGCCACTCTGAGGTAAGCTGGAGTGTACCATTTACAAAACAGTGCTTTGTTATGCTTTTCCTTCCCTCTGTTTGTAGACACTCTCCGACATGATGGTTCAAATCTAAGTTATCTTTAACAGATACAGAAAACCTGATGAATCTCCTTGAGGTCGTTACATGAATTTGCAAATACTGGAGAATCTTTCAGTAAAGAAAGAAGAAGTGAGTCAGCAAGAAAATGAGCAGAAACTCAAAAACGGGGATTTGCTCCAACTTGCCCGTCAACACTTCATATCTCCCCTCTGTGGTGTAAGAACCAGGTTTTGCCACTGGAGGTCAGTGTCCCATCTTAATTGGAGGCTCAAAGCTTATTAACCCTGGTCTGCAGCTGATTAAGGAGCAGGTATTAGCAGTATTAACCCATTGCCTCACTCAGTCCTTACAGCCAGAGTATTAACCTACTGGAGTTCTTATTTACAGATCATGCATACATGATGCTTCAAAATAATGAAAATATGGTGAAGTGGTTGCATGCCATTGTGTTAAAAGATCAATAATTCAACAAAGGGCGAGGCATTTAATCAAACCATGTGTCATTATTTGACCCCACCTCATCCTGTGAACTCAAAGACAAAGCCGACCGAGCGACCTCGAGCAGCTTGTACTAGAGACAAATACCATGTCAGCTGTTGGGAAATAATTCGGCTTTATTCTGTATTGTTGATGATGATACACAACAAAAAAGGTCAAGTGTAAAAACTGCAGAAACACACCAACCACCAATCTGTTTTCTACACCGGGAGCACAAGCACTTTGCAGAAAATGGATAGTGCATGGCTCAAAGACAGAGACACCAACAAACACCAGGCAACAAGTGTCTCCAAAACGCAGCTGTAAATAACATATATTTATAAATGCTGCACAGTCTGAAATGGATTCAGCTCAATGATTTTAAATTCACAAAGATTAGTCATGCATGCTTTCATTAGTTAGTAATATCTTTGATAACTGGGCTTATTTATAGTACAAACCTTGGCAATGAAGTATCAGGGAAGAACAGGAACAATAAAAAGAACTAAAACAGAAGAATTGTTGATTGATTCAAGGCCATACATCCTCGCACTGACTCACTATAATGTGATAAATGTGCTTCATACTTACACAGTTTTCTGCTTTAATTTTAGGCCATAAACTCGTACCAGTACGACTCTGTGATGAGACGACTGCTCAACCAGCTCAGCTTCTACATCATGCCTGTTCTTAACGTGGATGGATATCATTTCAGCTGGACCACGGTACTGTACACGCACACTTCAGATTAATTCTAGCTGTTGATTACTCAAATATTAAACAGCTGGAGCCAGATGTCTTTGTGTTGGTTTTTCCCGCTTTACCCTGAAACTTTACAGAATACCGGGCTGAGATCAGGGACCCTTTTTTATTCAAAATAAAGGAGATGCATCTTCAATAAAAACTGGTCACGCATCACTCCTACCCACAGAATCTGAATTTTTTTTTAGGCAGTTCACTGAATATTTCACTTCCAAATGGATCAGAATTATACAGTTATAGAAAACCAAAACAGCAACTGTGATGTTTCTTATCTTTTGCGAGTATAAAGTATAAACAGTCAAAAATACGGCCCTGAAGCTCCTGTCTGTTTATCTCTTGTGACAGGTAGCTCTATTTGTTCAATGACTCTGACTGTCAGTGGACATACACAGTGACACTGTCCTTGTTTTTTTCTTTGCAGGATCGGTTCTGGAGGAAAACCAGGTCCAGAAATCACAAGTTCCACTGCCGAGGGGTGGACGCGAACAGGAACTGGAAGGTGAAATGGTGCGGTGAGTTTAATGACACTGAACCTCAGATGAACTCTGAGGAAAATGCCACTAAGAGGGAAAATTCAGGCGTATTTAAAACTTGGGGAGGAACTCCTTGAAGTCAGTTTGCTGAAGCATTGTAGGTCACTCTGTCTATTATTGAGTGTAATATGAAAACAGTATCTGAGTGGTGGTAGTAGTTTGTTGTGTCTCCAGTGGGTGGTGGTTGAGGGGGATCTGCTGGATCATCACTCTGGGAAGACTCAAATATAGAACAAAAGTTTGTATTATAGATGTAAAGGAAGTGAGAAAAACAGGAGAGTTTAGAACTGCAGTTTTGCCGTCTCTAAGCAATATTTATCCACAGACTGGTTATCAAACTACAACATACCAGACTAAACAGCAAAGAAGGTCAAAAAACCTGAGTTATTCAATCCCTAATCGGTCTGACTACATTCAGAAATCTAAATCTGTCACTTAAATCATTCAATCGGGAATAATAAGACGGCAACTTTTGTTTTCCCCAGAGGAAGGAGCCTCCTCTCATCCCTGCGATGACACCTACTGCGGTCCCTTCCCTGAGTCTGAACCTGAAGTCAAGGCCGTTGCCAAGTTCTTGCGCAAACACAAGAAACATGTCAAAGCGTATATATCCATCCACGCCTACGCCCAAATGCTGCTGTACCCCTATTCTTACAAGTACGCCACCATCCCCAACTTCAGCTGCGTGGTAAGACTTCCTAATGCTTGTTATTCAACCGTGAACCTGGTCTATGTTTTAAACAACATTATTATTCATCACTTACTGCATGGCTGCACGCCACACTGATACTGGAACACATTGATATTAAATCTTGCTGTGAACACATATAGAGGAGGATCAATGATGAGCTCACCCTGTGCTCAGTCTCTCTCTCTCTCTTTCTCTGTCTCTCTGCAGGAGTTAGCAGCTCATAATGCAGTGACAGCCCTCTACTCTGCCTATGGAGTCAGGTACAGATATGGACCTGCCTCAACAACTCTGTGTGAGTACTCTTCTTTCCCTTTATCGTTTTGTAAAATTGAAAAATAAACAGTTTTCATGCAATGTTTTGGGGGTATGATGTGTCAATCTTATCTGTTAATTCACATTTGGTGACACAAGATAAGCCTGTTATGCTTGCAACAAAATACGCTTGTTGTTTTAGCTGCACATCATATTTAAAGTTTGTGAAATACATATTTAAATGGCAAATTGTATCAACATATATGTTTACATATATCACTGGAATAAAGAGGAGTAGACAAGGAAACTATCTGAAGTTGTACTTTAACACATTTACTTTTGTTTTTTTTGGTGTGTGTGTTTTAACTTACAGCTGAATGTACTTCCACTGAGTAACTTCCTTAATGCTTTTTCATATTTGGCTCTCTCTTTCACAGATGTGAGCTCAGGCAGCTCTATAGATTGGGCCTACAGAAATGGGATCCCATATACGTTTGCATTCGAGTTGAGGGATACAGGATACTTTGGCTTCCTCCTGCCTGAATCTCTGATAAGCCCCACCTGCACTGAGACTATGAGGGCGGTCAAGGCCATCGCATCAGGTCTGCTGAAGAAGTGCGAGACAGACAGGGACAGATTTCCATATATATGAACATGCCGACGCCCTCACTGTTACTTATCTCAACACCCCACGTTCCTGCAAGATTTCATATTCCTCCCAGATATGATCAGACAGAGCTGAGAAAAACCAGCAAGGTGTGACTTTTATTTAGCTTTTCTTGTTTTGAGGTTGTTCCCCTTGTTTTCTTTTTCTGATAAGTTATGAACTGGTGGTGGTGTTTTTTTTTTTTCCTATGTATAATGATCCCGTTTACCCAAATCAAGATCTCACTAGCAGCATCAGAGGATTCTACTGGACAATTCAGCTATCATTCAAACTCAGCGTCGCTCTCCATATTCAAACAGATTTTTCTCTATATCAGCTGTTTTAAGTAAGTGGACGTCATGTGAGCACTTGTCATAAAACTGCAGCACTTTTTTAAAGAAACATCAAAAGAATTTAAGTGTTTTTTTCAACACTTTCCACAAACCCACTTTTTTTATTAAATAAAGCATGATCTTTGTACTCAGAGTTACCTTTTATTTTTAGAAGTGCCAGTTAAAGTTTCTGATAACAATGTTGGTGTATTTGTGCCTTTATTACTGCAACAATATTTTGAATATGCTTATCTCAGACCATCTTGAGTCAAGTTTATTGAGATGATTTTTGATATTTTTAAAGACCCACATGTATACAAAGAATGATGTGTCACCTCAGTTGCTTACTGTGTCATTATCACTCAGGTAAGGATCAACGACAGTGTCAGAAATGTTCACTTCTGTCAGCATTGGTGCTAAGTTTCTTTTCATAATTGTATATTATCTGACTTGAATAAATGTTGTTTTATAACTTTTATTGCTGTCACTTCAATCTCTTTTTAAATCTAAGTTTGTCAACCAATCATTGGTCGTTTTTTATTTGCAAACATCTTGCCAATATTTGGGTCTTCACATGTTTTCTACACTTCCTGATTTTGATGTATGATCAATATTTTATCACAAGGCTTTTATGAAATTAAACTTGCAAAGGGATTTTCATCACAAAACGAATCTTCCTGTGATCAAGCTCTCTGTCAAACGTGTATTTAAGCCTTTCTTTCTTTCACAGTGCTTTTTGCTGATCCGGGTCTGCAGCTCTGCTCTTATTTACAGATTCAGAAGTGGTTGCACTGACACATAAGACATCCCAAAGTGAAAGTGAACTCAACCGCCCACAAATGCCAAATCCGTGTCTTGTCAAATTGCCAGATACACTGAATATATTTGCTGTTGGACTTTGCTAAATCTTACTGCAGGCTGAAGAGGCAGAGCAGCAACATGCAGGTGAGCACATCCATAGGTGAGATGAAGCTAAAGAAATTAAGGGAGGACCAATTAGTTACAATACTATACCCAAAAAGATCTTTTTAATTTCATTTTATACATCAATTGCGGTATCTATGAGCTACAACATGAGGTCAAAAACCTAGCATAAAAGTCCACCATTTTAGCTTAGAGGACTAATCAAGTCATAATAGTAGTTCTGGGGTAAGTTGATCCATTTGGCCAGAGGTAAGTTGACCATAGGAGACCACTTTTTTTTGGCATGCTATATTATGGCATAAGACAGTTATGTTAACACTAATTTTGTTGGTTTGCAGGGATGCACAACATCTTGAAATATATGCAGATACACTAGTTAGAGACAAAACTATGATTGCCTTGATGTAGTGATCACAAATATGAAAAAATCTCTCTGCACAGTATTTTGTTTGAGTCAAGTGCTATCTTTAGGGTTATTTAATGATTGGAGAACAAAAAAGTATGCCCACCTTTAGTTAATGGGGTGATAAACAAAGTCGCATTCGATGCAATCAAATAAGGGAAAGACTATTACAATTTAATATATAACAACAATTAAGTCGCACCCCGTAATTATGGACACAGTGTGCATGTTATAAATGTTACAGGAAAAGTGAAATATTAATAAAAATAAAAACATAAATAGGTAAGAAAAAGAAATGTAAAAAAAAAGGGGGGGGGGGGGTAGAAAGCAGGAAACTGGTTAGTAAATATGAAAAGATGATATCAATATTGATAATAAAATCAAAATAAAATAATAATGATGGTAATATTCATGATAAAATGGAATAAAAAAAGGAGCAGGAAAAAACAAAGGCCTAAAAGGTTAAATAAGAAAAGATAAGTAAAAGAAAGGCTACAAGGACAGTAAATCGAAATAAGTAAAAGTGAGTTTTTAAATTAGACTTAAAAGAAGTGACTGTCTGCACGCCTCATCTCCTCTGGCAGGTCAAAGTCGAAGAGCTCTGATGGAGAAAGCTATGTGTATATATATATTGTTTATGTGTGTAGAAGAGTTTGCAGCAAGTTGAAACTCATGACACCTCTCTTCTCCTCTCCTCTCATCCTCTCCCCTTCTTCTCTCCCCTCCTTCTCTCCTCTCCTCTCCCTGCTGCCTCACTGCGGCCGCTCTACAACGTACGTGACGTCGCTTCCTCTCTCCAACATGGCGCAGGAGGCAGGTCGTTAATGGAAATCTGAGGGATTTACCCCACCTTCTGTGTTTATTTATGTTTGTCTGTTAGGGGCTCTGCGGCTGACATTTGTAAAGGAATATATCTCCATTCGAGGCGGCTGCAGCCCCCCCTTTGGGACCAGGCACACCTCGCCCCAAATTCCGGTGCGACATGTTTGAGGGCAAAAAGACGAAAAACATGTTCCTCACACGAGCTTTGGAGAAGATCCTGGCCGACAAGGAGGTGAAAAAGGCACACCATTCACAGTTGAGAAAAGCCTGCGAGGTGGCATTAGGTGAGTTGTGTTGTTTTCGCCTCACATTTGAGCTGTCTTGGACTCATTGATTTAGACACGTCATGCACCCTTTCACTTATTAACCGGCTGTTCTGCAACAATGTCGCAGCGTTTAGCAACACAGCTCCTCTCAAACTCCTTATACACTGGCTGTTAACACTGTGCCAAAGTCTTGTATTGTGATTTCGCTAAAACTTGCATATATAATTGACGTGGCAAGAGTTCCGTGGAAATGATACGGTATAAAACACGGAAATGGTGCAGGAGGGGTGGGTGTTTGCAACACTGAGCCGATGCTGCGAAACTAGTGGTGATGTGAAGACAGGCCGAGGACCGGACAGAAAACAAAGTTGTTGGCGACTGATCCCGTCTTTAATATGAAGTGTACCATCACCTATACCAGAAACTCTCATCAAATAGGAGCTGTCTGTGTCCAAACTGATTCATTTATGTGCCTAACTCCCCTCCAAAGGGGCGAGTTGTTTGTGTCTCTTCCTGGTACACAGGAGACGTAGCCGTGCCCGTTGTGTAGGGTGTGTTAAGAAACAATGTGTTAGTTTATCACTTTTACTCATTAACCTGGTGAATTATCAAAGCTTTGGGCCCGCTCCCTTATGATTATGTTGTAAAATAGACGTCAACTTGGAACAGTAATAGCAGAAGGTGACATCTGAAGGGAGCTATTTGTATGCTAATCAAACGGCAAGTTTTCCGTAATGAAAACACTTTTCCGGTTGAAGCTTTAATGAAATTCATCAACTAACTTAAGAAACACAAAATATTAATTTCATAGTGCAAAAAAACATTTGAATTAAAAAGTGATTCTTGCGATTTGAACGTTTCACGTAGCATCACATTCCCAAACGACAAAGTGACTATGCAAGCTATTGTCTGAGTGACTGTGCTTTTATTGTGAAGTGAATGTTACCTGACATCCGGTTTTAATTGAAGTATAGGCGGTAGCTTTATAAAAGTATTTGTTAGCAGGTGTATTTCAGAAGTATGCCCTTTGTGGAGACTTTCAACATGTTTAGGCAACAGAGCTAAAAGTGAAGTTCACATTCAGAGTAGATAAGTCATAAGCCGGTCTATTCAGTTAGCTTTTGATTGATTAGAGTGTTGTTAAACCTTTCTGTGTTACTGAACAGGCTGGGATCTGTCTTGTAGTAACCTGTAACATGACACTACCAGAAAAAAAAAGAAAAAATCAACAATGGGCAGCAGCCATGCATACTACCTGTCCAGACAGTTGCTGCCTTGTTTGACTAATTCAGCTGTTGCAGGGCTTCGCAGTGGCCTTGGAGGCTAAATACACTGAATATGTTTGTCAGTCCTTGCTGTTTTGTTTTGTAAAACCCACCCTCCCACACCAGTGTTTCATTACTTCCCCCACTTCCCCCAACAGAAAAAACAGTGCCTGTAGCAGGAGGTTAGCTTTCCTTTTAAAGAGTGATGTACTGTCAAGCTTGGACACTGAGAAAAAAGATCATTTGCCTACTCCCACAGATTGTCCCACAGAACTGTGATTTGTGCACAGTCTCTCTTGACCTGAGGATCAGAGCATGAAAAGCTGGATAGATGAGGTCACCAGGCGACTGTCTTGAGTGAGTCAGTCACTCACCCTGTGGGTTTATACGGTAGATTTCAACAGTATACTATATTCAGTATATATATATACACACTGTAGGCTACTGCTCTTCACGCCGACAGGAAGACCGACTAATCAAACTCGGACCAGAAAAGCGTTTTCAACTACACCCCCATGAGGTTGCTGCGCCATCTACAGGATAAGTCAGGGAACTTTTCAAATGGAACATTTTCGAAGTGAAACTGAATCTTGTTCTCTGCATTTTATCTATCTATCTATCTATCTATCTATATATATATATATATATATATATATATATCTATCTACATATATATACACATTATATCTATATTATATCGGCGACTTTCGGCCAATTACCGATTAGTCTCAAATTAGCTAAAATTTGCAGATTTAATCAGCTCGCCGATAAATCGGTCAGGCCTTAATTTTTAATAAAATGTAGGTTATCCATAAACAACCACTTACAGGTAAATAGCATAAAGGTTCGAACTGTCAAGTAGCACCATAGCTTAATTGAAATCACTTATTTTTGGTATATATGTTCCTGAAGTACTTGATTCCGATTGGTCATTATGTAGCAACATTTCATAGCAAAAGTCAACTTTTTTTAAGAGCAGACTGTTGCTATGGGGAACAGACTGTTGCCAGGGATGTGGTCGACCATCTGTAAACATGGTAATGTGTGGAAGGAAGTTTGGTGCATTTGATGATGGGGAAACTAAAGAGAGAAAAACAATGGAGAAAAAGCAAGAGCTCTACAAACTGGATAATGCATTATGCAAACACTTAACACAGTAGTGGATGTGACAGTATTTAAGATGGGACAAATGGAGAAGAAAATGTTGCAGACTCAGACAGTGACAAAGCAGAAAAACTCGTGCAGGTGCAGTGCAGCTTCATGTTGTCCTTGTTTAAGTTGTCCATCAATAAAAATGACTGGTTTCACATAAATAACAACAGCTGGCTTTTGTCATGTCAAGAATAGTGTTGGGGTAAATCTTAATTTGTATGCTGCTAAAACTGTCAGTCTAACAAACTCTTCTAAAAAAGAACGTACTGAAATGATGGAAACCTTTCCTATAGTAGCAGTTGGTGCAAAATTATTGTTGGCTGGTAGTCTTGTAAAAAGTTGGATAACATATCTTGTATGCATCAGGTCCTGCTCATCTTGTTGGGGTTCCAACCTGCTCAAAGACCTTCCTGACTATATATTATCCTTTAACTGATGCTGCAGCTTCATTTTTAACCTCAGGTGATGTTTTGGACAGTTTATCTACAATATTGTAAATTTAGATTCACCAGAGAGCATTGGTCACACAGCTAGTTGAGGGTCTTTTAAGGTCATGAAAGTAAATAGTACTCAGCTGAGTTTTAGTAGTATAATTTTATCACAATAAACTGTATGTACTACACTGGTTTTCAAGTCTTCCACCAAGGGGTTGCAAAATAAAAATGCCTTCTCAAGTGAAGCAGCTTCACCGTAGTAGTGGATATCAAAAACGACTGGGTGACCCAGTATACTGAGTGACTTACATAATCTCCTCCAGCTCTAGGGGCCTCAAGACATCTCAGAGAGAGTGCCTGTGCCAGAGCCTCCTCTTTAATGACACCTAAAAGTTCCCCTGTCATTCATTGACATTGTTCAGAACTACATATGTGCAGCTTTTTGTGTTACACAAGCTGGAGTTCAATTTAGCTTTTCTGGTACTCAGATTCCTATTTGTGCAGGTAAAGTAATCGTACGAGTTGTTATTTTGGCTGCAGCCCACACCTGAACTTTATTGCTGCAGGGTACTTATAGGGAAAAAAGGTAGAAGGCCCTGTGAGGGTACCTCTACCAGACAGCGAAGCCTCCTCTCCCCCTGACTGACCTTTCACTTGGATGATCAAAATGTCACACAGCAGTTTCCGAAAAAGAATACCTTCTCCATTTCTCACACACTCTAACCTGCAGCATTGCAGGCCAGGCTCCTATTATCTTTGGATCACAGTCGGCCTCTGTGAGAGGAGCTGTCTGATAGTGTGGAACAGAAAGAGAGTTAGACTGACAGGTAACTAAAATATCAAAGCCCCTCAGGCTGGTTATACTCACTTCCTTTCAGAAGCAAACATAGACCCTTTTGTTCCTGTTGATAGTGTCCTGCGATGCCAGCTCAGTGGATGATCATAGTTTTAAAAGCGACCTGCCCTCTCTGACTTGGGGAGGTTTTTTGGGGGGGTAATGCTGCTGCTAAAAAAGACTGCCTACTGTGAATCCAACCAGCTGAGTCAGGGGGAGTCTGTACAAGCTAACACGTTGGAAGGAGTGAGGACTAGTTTCAATGCTAGTGGTCCATTAAGGAGGTGAGTCTTGCTGAGCACATCGCTCATTATCTCTTCCCTCCTGAGGGTCAGCTGCAGAGGTCACAACAACCTGGAAACACTTTAGCTGCTGCATTTCTGATGCCCCCCCACCCCACCCCTGTTTTTGTTTCCCTCAGACAAATATTCTGTTCATGCTGTGGATGCAGATATAATGAAGAGAACTTCCCTTTGTCTAAGGCCTTTGTTGTATTCTCAACATGTCAAAAATTTACGGAGTTACTTAAGCTGCGGCCAATTAAGAGTGGAAAATATGGCTTAATACTGATATCATAGTATTCTTTTTTCCAGTGACAGATTATAGTGTGGTTGTGGAAAATGCCTACCCCTTATGGTCCTCCTTTCCCTGAGTTTCCCCCGATAAAAGTGCCATTTCCAGAGGTGGCTGTTTCAGAACCAAAACAATTAGGGGCTTTTGTTGTGAGAAGCTTGTCAGTGCAAGAATCATTGCTCCAAGGTTATTAAACATTCATTAATTTCACAACAGTACCAATGTGAAGTACTAGTGTGTTATTTATTGGTACCTTTTCAAGCTGAAATCACATAATACAGAAAAAAGATGTACAATTTCTGTCCCTCCCTTTTGATTTCAGAACATAATGGAAAAATAAGTTAGCTAAGATGGCTTAGTAACTCAAACTTGCCTCTAATGTTATTCGAGTGTAGTGCCGGGAGCACCATGTTTGACGTGTTCGACTTTTTTACTTTTTTATTTTGAAACCAGTTAATCATTCTTGCCTAACATTATTGCCAAAAATACAGGTTTTCATTTTACTTGTGAGAACATTGTTAATTTTAATCCACAAAGTCTTGTTGTAGGAGGGCACATTATTATTGATGCCACTTTGCTTGCCAGCTCGCCCTGAGATATTGACAGAGTGGTTGCCTGTGGTGTGTTCATGGTGGTCTGAGGGGTTTGACATTTATTAACTTTGAATATTTTGCAACATGGGGCAGCCATGAAAACAGAAATTATAACAACGAGGTGCTTCAATGACATGGTCCACTGACTGACTCTAGGCCTGCATCAATGGTAGTGTTTGTTTCCTTTATTTGATTTATTAGTCCTTGTATCCTCTAAATGGATTTAAACCAGTCCTTCATCCTGTCATACCTGTTGTGTGTCTCTTAAACAATACTTAGGTTGTTTAAGTCAGGAGGTGTGCGCCATAAAGAGGATTATGTACAACCTAAAGAAGAGTGGTGCCTCTGTTCTAGTGTTTGTTTTGAATGCAGAGATCTCTAAGATTTTCACAAGTTTATCATTAAGTATCCTCTTAAACTGAGATTAAAATTTTTCAACAACACCGCTTATGCTGCGTTTGAGTTACCTCGGAAGTCAGATGTCTGAGCTGGGAATGACGTCACACCCGAGTTATCAGCGTTTCAGATACCAAGTCAGAAAAAAGCAAAATCGTAGGCTGAAACAAGATGGTTACATCTTATTCTAGCGCCTGCCAAGTCCTTATGACTTTGGTTGATGTAGCCATGTTCTCATTCCCAGCTCAGACTTCTGACTTCCGAGGTAACTTGAACGCAGCATTATTACCCTCTCCAATTATACTCCAAGTTATCATTGATTAACAAAAGGGTATTAAAAATGGCAGACACCTGCTGCTGAATTTAAGAAACGTCTTAAAATAAATGACTGCATTGTTAAATTCAAGCTAACAATGCAATTGCAGTTGCTGCTGCCCATTCACTGGATTTGCATTTTCTGATGGTTTGAATAAAAACCAAAACACAAACCTCATGATTTGGCAGGTTAAACTGATGCTCCCTCGGCTCTAAATTTGAACCCAGAGATGGAACAATTTTCCGAGGTCAGAAGCACATGGAATAAAACTTTCAGTCACAAATGAAATCAACAACAGTAACAAACAAGCAGTTCTTTTGAACCAAGCTCAAGGCCACTGCCTGCCTGGCTCACCTTTTCTTCAGTCACAAACCTGGCAGGGAAGCCAACGGGCCGAATGCACCTCTGATCATTGAAGGACGACAAACACATGCTCTTTTGTGATAAGCTGCAGCATAGTCGCCACATGCTCACCCACGATAAGCAATGGGCTATAAATGATCACATTTGTTAATTAGGGCTTTTATCATGGCTCCCTGAGGACCACTTCCCAAAATATGAAGGGGGTGGGATGCTGTCATGTCAAGTCTGTTTGTACTCTAACTGAATTATGAAGCAACCCCTGATTTTTTGTATCTGACAACCTTTTTACCAGCGTCCCTCATGTTGTTGGCAGAAACGTATGAACCCTGAAGTTAAACTGATGCAGGTTCATTTGGCTTTCCATGCTGCAGAGGCACATTTGGTTTCTTGTTTATGAAACTCACTGGCATGGCTGAGGATGAGAACATTAAAATGAGGGGAGAGACCGCAGCTGTCAGCTACAATTTTCTATCACATATATTGATCAGGGTGCTGTGAAAGTCTATGACTTGAGTTACTCTTTAACGACTAGATTAACAGAAATCAGATATATTTGCATGTGTGTGTCATCCCATACTCTAAACACGTAAAGAGGAAGTTCCTGTGACAAATTTGTGAACATCATGAGCAGATTTGTCAGCTGATATTCATCACAAAGACTTCAAATGAGGGCAGAACATTGAATCTAAATATGTTGTGTGGGTTACAAAGTACATTATATGTGCTGAGATCAACTTTTCCATAATCAAGCTACTACCTTGCCCTAAAGGAAAGACAAATGGAAAAAGGGTGAGGCCCTTGTGCCTGGTTTCTGTCTTGTTTCTCCCCTCCAGACTAAGTGCAAACACTTTAGCTTACTGTAACCCCAAAGGTTGACTGGTATACAGATAATGAGCAGTCAATATGGCAGGTCTGGCGCTCACTCTGAGAGCATAAATAATCCTTTTACCTATATGGAAAGGACAGTTAAGATGAGAAGAGAGTTTTTTTTTTTTTGTCTTCCACTTTCTAATTTATTTTCTTACACTGATACTTCCATAAATAATTCAATATTTCTCTCTGCTGATGTCTCCTTCAGTCCTGGGACAGGTGATAAATTAATTATACGGCAAACAGATGAGGAGAAGGAAGAGAAACCCTTCTTTTTCTCTCTTTTGTTTCTGTTTCATCTTTTGGGCTGTGTATTTGTTGTTTGTATCCTCCATTGATCTGCCATTAATATTCAGAAGACACTGGCACCAAGTATCACCATTACTAAGTAGGATTGAGGAATGAACGTCTGTAAGAGGAACTCATAAGAAATAAGTTTTTTTCCATGTTGTGAAATGACAACTTCATGTTGGGGGCAACAGATACTGTTTTGTCAGGGCCAATACCAATAATCAATAGCTTCTTACACCGATGATTGATAGTTAAAACTGATATGCACTGACTGTTAAAATGAAAAACGTTGCTTGATTGCAGATAGCAAATGTTGGATCAAATTGGAACATTCAACAGTAAACCACTTGAACTTACTGTCCAACCATTCAGTCCGCTTTCTTTAGCGCAACGTAGTAGCTTATTATAATGGAAAAGACATGCTACAAATAAGCACTATTAAATTTCATTTTTCATATCATGATAAATATCGACTGATATGAAAAAAAACTTTTGTGATAAACTTTGTCCCATATCGCCCAGCCCTTCTTGGTCATGTGACATCTAATCTAGCCAATCAGATATTATTGTTGGTGGGATATTAGGTGAGACTGTATGGTGCATGAAAAACAGACCCAAAAAGAAAGGCTGATACAGATAACGAGCCAAATGTCAAAATCAGCCCATCTTAGTCAGTCTATTCCTACTCTTTCCACTGCCCATACACGCAATTAGATGTTAAGCAAGGGCACTAAAATTGTTAGCCAACTCCTAATGTGACCCAACTTTGCTTTGTGACTCTATATTTCACTTGATTTTACTGCTAACTAATAAAAAAGTGTATGCAAGACAAATGATACGTCTACACCTCAGTTTTTTGAGTCATTTTGAAGTTGACACTACTGTAGTGGAAAGTTCTGTTACTCTTGTGTTAGCAGTCATTACATTTCTTCTTGCCATCTTCCTTTACTCTGCCAACCTGGCACTTGTGGTTACAGTCATCTCGCACCTACATGCATCAACAGAGCTGTCCAACATGGCTCTGCAATGCTAAGAGCTAAGAATAACAATTTAAAACTAAATTTCTCTAGAAAAAATCATCAATTAGTCATTAATTAGTATGACAAAAACTTTGTAAGAAGTTGTGTAAAAATCTTGTTATAAGTGTTATTTAGTTTTTGGATATGACCCCTGTCTCATCTGTTAACATGGAGGCACTATAACCTTGATTGCAGCCACCCTGAGTCTTTTGGCATTTACCTTCAGTACGCTGTTATGTCATCCATCTTTTTATACAATCTTCAATGACTAAAGATCTTCTTTGACGATAACACATTGCTAGTAAGAGACATCATGTTGTTGTCTACAGTCAAAGTAAAAGCCAATTTACTTGCTTCCTCTCTCTAAGCGAAATACAAATGTAACAACAAGGTGAGATGTTGACTGTTGTAAAAGGACAAAAGTAGGTTTAAAGTTGTTAACAGTACAAAAGCAGCTCTGAGAGGACTTGTAGACAAAAGGGGAAAAGTTTTGTGTCATCTGCAAAGAAGGGCCTGGATTTTACACAAATACTTCCTTTTAACTGTTTGTAAAATGTGGAAGAGTATACTTGGAGTTTAATGAAGTTTAACTGTAGAGTTGTTGATAGTTCCAACAAAGTTAGAAGAACTTGAAACTAAGCTTGACTCAAAAGATTAAAAAAATCAACTAACTGGTCGTGTCTCTAAGAGAGCTTTTTTCTGTGTTTTTTTAACTCCATTATAGCTTGCTGTTAAGCATGCTGGGACCTACAAAAGGGCAGCTCTGACGAGGAAGGGCACTCCAGCTGAATGAGCTGAGGATGCAGCTCAGTACACATATTTATCTCACACTGACTCGCTATTAATCTCCAGCTTGTGCAGCACAATCCTGCCCAACTATAATAACCTCATTTCTGAGGACAGAAAATGCAATTCATAGCGCCGTTGCAGAGAAGTGCAAAATCATGTATCATCAGTGGAGTTATTAGAGATGAATCCATTTCAATAACAAAGCCAACAGCTGAGTAATCAAGGCCGTGTGGAGGCCGAGTGCTTTGTGACTTTTTGGCCAGAATATGAAAGCCTGAAATCAGCCAGGAATGAGACTATTGATTAGACACAGGCTTATGCAAGTGTGAGTGAGTGGGTCCATTGCACACAGACCTAACACACACATAGACACGTACAAGCATGTCCATATACATGAACACACACACACACACACACAATTAGGTAGCCCAGACAACCTCTGACAGTGTTTCCCTCTTCCCCTCCAAATGTAATTACTGCTATGCAACCTTTCCTTTCAGCCTGAACAAAAGAAATGTCAGGGGGCTGATTTTTCTCAGGCTCTCTGTGGTGGTCGCTGCTGCCCTGTGTTTATCTGTGTTCAGGAGGTGGACGTGGACACCTACACATAGATTCCTATTTAGATTAGCCAGAGCTGGTGTGCCTCATTATCATCCCCACGGACATAATATTATTACAGCTTGTTCTTAAGCTGCTTTTGCTTTATAAATTATGCTGGAGACATAAAACTGTCTATGGCATGAATGATGAAGTCATTGTCATGTGCTTGACGAGGCAACCTTTTACGTCTTTACCATCATAAAGCTCCACTTTATATCCATCCTAGCCTTGAGGGTCCTTTCATACCTCCTGAGTTTATTCCCCACAATCTCACACAGCTTCTTTTACTTGAGCTGCCTGAACAGCATACACAGTCAGTGGTCTGTTGACACACTATCACCATGACCACTGGTTTCTATCAGGGTAAAGGCAGACCATGCACTGGATTGGATTTTTGCTGGTTGCTGCATACAAAGTGGTGAGAGCCAACCATGGGAGGCATGCCAGGTGCAGATGGGCTCTAAGCTGTTTGAAATGGAAATAGTACCGCATGATGCACTGCGCCCTTTCTCAGTATCTGACCACTTGCTCAGGTAGCAATGACCTCTGACCTGTCTGTAGATGTGTTTGTGTGTCTGGAAGCCCTTAATGACGCAGTTTGTGTTCAAATATTACTGAATTAACCTAGCCAAAAACGCTTTTCTGGTCCGAGTTTCATCAGTCGGTCTTCCTGTCGGCGTGAAGAACAGTAGCCTATACCTACAGTTTATATAATTTTAATAACTTAATAAAAAATTTAATCAGTAATCGAATTTTTCGCCACTAATAATCGGTATCGGCATCGGCCCCAAAAAATCCATATGGGTCGGGCCGTAATTTGTGAGATGTGCTACATGAAAATAAAATACAGTATAAGTAAGACATACATAAAAAAAAAGACAAATGCTAAATTAGCTAAACAGTTGGAAAAAAAATGTATAAATTGCAATATATTGTATCGCAATACTCACTGTATTGCAAAATGTTAAAAATCGCAGTAATATCAGATCGTGGCCCAAGTATTGTGATAATATCGTATCGTGGGGCCACTGGTGATTCCCACCTCTAGTTTTAATGTGAAATGCCATACACAGAAAAGACCAAAATACATTTTACTACAGTGTTAGAATAAGACCTAGCATGATGTTTCTTTCTTGTAGCCTCGTAGTATGAACACCTCCACACACACACTCTCGCTCAGCACGTGGAGCTGTGAGGGACAGGTTTATATAGCTGATTTGTTTTGGATCCCAGCCTTGTCCTTGTCCCTGCTCTCTCTCTCTCTCTCTCTCTTTCCTCTCTGTGTGTCTGAGCTTGCTGTCCCCTCCCTGCGAGCTGTTTCTTGCTGCTGGTCTTGCAGGGCCTCTCCAGAGAGAGCTGTGTGTTGATCCACAGTCCCTCTCGCTGGTGGAGCAGCCGTGTGCCGGCTCTGCTCTGTTTTAATTGACAGTGTGTTAGAGCTCTCCTGAGATTGTTGGTGTGTGTGCATGTTGAAGTATACATGCATAACATGTTTGTGAGAGCACTGTTGCATCAGTGGTTGTTTTATTGTGATTCTGCGTGTGTGACGTTCTTGACGGCAGAATGTCAACTTATTGAATTAGTGTTGATCCGACAGCTTCAGTCAGCATGAGTATTTTCCTTTTTCTGGGTCTGTGTAGCCCCACTGACCTGTCTCTGCATGGCTCTGCCGGCTGAACACACTGATCATGAAGTCTACTCTTCAAGTTTCTTTCACAGAACATTACATTCATATTGTTGCTTTGTTTACTCTAAACTTTTTAAAATACTAGCCCTGCTCCTGACAGCCAGCTTTGACAGAGAGCTGCAGGGCTACATCAACAAATAAATAGCAGTCGGGTATTTTTCAATGAAGTGTCCACATTGACAGCGAGTGGAGCCCCCTTGGGTGTAAATAATGGTTACTTTCCCCTTTTTCAACAACATTTTACAGATTTACTTCACCACACATGAACTGCTGCTGGTAAAAGAAAGTACTTATAGTTATAGTATTTGTTTGAGCTTGGAATGAAAATGTAAATCCTGTCCAAATGGTCTTTGATGACAGACTTACACTGACGCTTTCTTTTCTGCAGTTATTGAGAAACTGTCAGATCTTTTATGAACGCTGTAAAGCCCTAATACATGCAACATTGCCCGCTTTAAAGGACTTATGAAAGCGTCTTTTTCTTGCTCAGTGTAAACAAAATTTTGAAGATCTAAAGAAGTGAAAATTGAGCCCTCCTCCCCTGCAGAAAAGCAACTTCGGTAACATTCATTGTTACTCACAAAAACCTATTGTGTAAAACCTTTGGACTGAAAGAGGAAAATGCCTTTTCATCTTCAGAACAGATTTGTAACTGTGTGTGTGTTTTATAATGAAATCATGTTCTGCACACATCCACTTTTCATTCGCTCAGTGCTCTGTGTCCCTGCTGCATATCTACTGCCTCTTATTGATCAGTAGGACTATTATACTATACTATTACACAGTACTGTTTGGATCCGTCTTTGTCATACTACTTTATTTTTGTACATGCACAAGATAATCTAAACTAAACATGAACCCATGTGATTAAAAATAACCTTGTAACACTATCATTTGTGGTAACACCTTTGGCTGGAGGGAAGCTGTTATTTTTCACTTTAACAGTTTCTCTTTCTGACCTTGACTGTTCAGCTGAAACATTTTGAAAGCAACATCTCAACCGATTAAATAGAAGCTCCAGGGCTATTATTTTCTTTCTGTTCCCTAAACTTGAGCGTGGCTGTGATACCTTTTAATTCTGTTATACATATTGAGTTACGAAAAAATACATAAGTGAATTACATGCAGCATGTTTTTTTTTTTTTTTTATGGGGTTCACAGGGTTCACTCAGCCCTCTGACAGCTGCTCTGACACCTGCAGGGGGATGTAGAAACAACAAGTGGTCCTATGTTCATAAATAATACAATATTTTCAACTCATGTGCAGCTACCATTTCTTACAAGGATCAAAGTCATGTTCAACCTGTGTCACCAGCCCCAGGATAGAGACTTTGTCTCATGCATGGTTCTGCATCATGTGATTCCCATGGCTGCACTGCACGTACAGCATAAGCTGCAGGTGTGGGCACTGAAAGCACAACAGCTTTATTAACAGTCCGCTGCATTAATGAGCTCCAAGAAAAGACGGGTCTGAAAGCGGGAAAACACACACTCTAATGCAGCCTCTCCTTGATGAACATCTGCCTCAACATCATGCCAGAGTGTCTGTGATGGCAGGAGCGTTAGGCGCATGTTTACTCTTTGCAGGCGGGATACACGCGGATCCTGCATGTACAGCAGTCAGTTCTTTGTGTGTTCAATTTAGGGCTGCGCTGAGATGATATCAGACAGACTTTGATTGTAGATTGATAATGGAAAATAAGAAACGGGCTACTTTTGCTGTTAAACAACAGAAAGTGGCTGAATGACGTGTTTCAGGTCATATGATTAACCTTGTATCTTTTGAGATGTGACTGATACACATGTCCATTGCAGTTACAAACATTTTATCATTTTTACAGTCTGATGCAATCTAGTGAAGGAGTATTCACTGAAAAACAAGCACCAAGAAATCACATGATACATGAGTCCGAACACAAAAGAAGACCTGCGATTCCACTGCTAATGTTTCAGGCAAGCTGTCGTCCGTTTGCGGACACTCCCAGCGGGGTGCTTTAAAGCTGCTGCTGTCTGGGGAATGCTTTGTCACGCCACTAAAGCTGGGTGGCACCTGGGAAGAAACTGTTATACTGCTAGTAGCTCCTGTCATCAGTGAGAGACAGGGAACAGGTTGTTTTGTCGAGCGGGAATGAGAATCAGGTGGGGTTTAATGTGATGCACCACGAGGGCAGACAACCGTTCTGCTTGTATGTGCTAATGAAAGTTGAACTTTCTATAATGTGTCATAATGTGCTGTAGCTTCATTTTTAGCTGCTCCTCAGTATTTATTTATTCTGTAAAAGTTGAGTTAATACACATGTTTATCTTTTGGCACTACTGTTTACTTTCATCCAAACCTATAAATTCGCATTTGGATCATGGGTGTGAGCTAAAAATGCTTCAAGGACTTTGCTCGTGGTTTCCTGCTCGAGTGGAGCACATTCTTCATTCCCTCGGCTCAGATTTTCCTCCAGATATTCAAGGGATTTAAACTGGTAACCCCGCTTCAATCCTGCCTCCAACCTTTGGCTTAGGGTTGGCAAATACTTCCCCTGCTGATTCATCAGTCTTATCTATTACAGCTTTACATTTGCATCCTGAGAGGCTGACTACACCATTGTGCATTTGATATCTAAGCCATGATCAGCTTTCAGTCTAGCTCAGTATAAGTGTGACTGAAAGGATCACTGATAAGCCTCTTTGTAACATGTAGTTTTATCATTGGAGCATGGCAGAAACCTGTGTTTTTCTCGCTGTCAGGCTCACAGACGACGTGTGATATTGCCGCATTTCGGTGCGGCTTAAGATGTGTTCATTTTCAGTCGCACACTGTCACCTGGAGCAGTGAGACTGTTTTGTCTTATATCCCACAGTCCTCTGATCACATGTTCAGCATGTATGCACTACAATGTCATCACTGTGCTGCATATAACACTAACAGAGGTGGCATTTGGTTGTTTTGCGTGAGATGTCTTTGAGCTGAGCTGCTGAAGCTTTCCCTTGATGTCGTCATCACCTCATGTATTTTTTACAGACAGTCTTGTCTTGTCATGTAGGTGTCGTATGTCAGACTTTGTTGCTCTGAGCGACCAAGGCTATTATGTTTGCTTTAATAAGTCTGCCACTGAGGCTGTTTCACATGGTAGTTTGTCTCTCTTCTAGCAAATATTTTGAGGAGGGTGTGATACATGTATTAATCTTGTTGTGGTTGGAAAAATTGAAACTGCTATTTTCATACGTCAACAAAGTAGGTACAGCACATGTTGAAGTGAGTCATCAATCAGAAAACTCAGGAATTTGTAAGTGTTTACAACCTCTATCTCCTGTCTGCCAGCAGTGACCACTACAGGTACATTGTGTGAGTCCATAAACAACATGAGCTTAGTTTCCCTGCATTTAGAACAAGCTTTCGCTCATGGAGTATAATCTAAACAAATGTAAAAATGGATTCTGCAAGTATTTAACAACCTGTATAAGAGTTGCTGCACAACAGCATGTAACCCTGTCAGCAGCATAAAATTGAACACGGTATCTGATACGTTTTGCTCCAGATTATTCACCTAAATAGAAAACAAAAAGGGGACTAGAAGGGAGCCCTGATGCACACCTTTATGGATACTTATAATATTAGCACATAGACAGTCGTGCCTTGTGCATTATCAGAGAGTCCATTAACCATAAGTCTGTGCTTTTAAAGCTCATGGTCAGCTGTGTCTTAAGGAAGAGTGCTGCACAGTGTTCCTTCTCTTAGAGTGCTACAGAAATGACATCTACCACCTTCAATGTGATAGTCCGATGCATTTTTTCTTGTTTTTTTCCCACTGTATGCTTCAGTAATATTGTATGTAAAAATAACACAATAACATTTGTATTTTTCAAAGCACATGGTGTTAAAAAGCTCAGACATTTTGACAACCAAAGTACCGAAACAGTAGCTCTTAGTGTGGGTTGAAATGCTCTCTGAAATCCAGGAAGTATTTTATTTCCCCATCAGGAGAAAGAAAAAAACAAGAGTATCTTTTGACAATGGGGAAGTACCTGTCTGAAGTGCACATGTGTGTGTGTGTAGACCCAGCTGCATTCATGCATGTCAGGTCTGTGCACTTGCTAGCCCACAGAAACCCAAACCCACTCATGCCTATTCTATTTCCAGGCTTCGACCACAGTCACTCCACACTGGAGAGCAGAAATGATTAGCCAGCTTTAAGGCAGCTTTTTGGGGGTTCCTTGTATGGAAAAATAGGGATTCATGCAAAGTTAAACTCCGGTGAAGAGCTCACATCCATGCAGAATCTGGACTGACTTTGGTTTGGTTGGCCAGACTTTGTGGACATTGCTGCTCAAATACTCACATCACCCACCAAACGTAGTTATGCACCAGAGAACCACTCAATTTCTACTTGTATATGACCTACCCTGTGTCTCTTGATGATGAAATGATAAAAGTGGGACTTAAGTGTCTCTTTAGGGAGCATTCAGCGCCCTGGCATTAACATTCATTTAATGTCATGTACTTTAAGGATCTGGGTCAAAGTCAGAGGAGAAAAAAGTGCCTTGGAGATGATGCAAATGGTTGAGGTGATATGTAGCTTAGCAGGCTGCTCTCATGCATTATGAGGCTCTCAAAGGCTTTGTGTTGAGGTTTGGTCGGGGCTTAAGTCACAAGAGAGCACAGTGGCTTTCTCTAATGTATCTGGTCAGGCAAATAGGTGCCTTATGTATTCTACCTCACCACTGGGGTTTGGTAAAAGTAGCGTTAAAGCCTCAGTGTTATAAAAGAAGTGTGTAGGCCAGCCTTTTCTATTCCCACCAGGAGCTGTGTTAACAATGCTTTTTTTGCAGAATCAGGCTCGTAACACAGTTTTAATTATTAAATTAAACATTTATCACAATTTGTTCTGCAACTAAAAATCAATTTGTTTTAAGAGTTTCTTTGAGTAAACTTTTTTCAGCTGAACTGACTGACTATAATTTTGCAGCTGTATTTGCCGAGAGTAGCTTCTGTATCTATAGCGAATGAAGATTGGCATAATTTTTTTCACTGAATGCACCAATTTTAAGCTTTGAAGGGTTCTTTTACTTCGACTTCCAGTATCACATTTCTCAGGTTTCGCTCGCTAATTCACTGAAGCCCCTCATTTGGCCTCTGGTGTTTTTCATTTGAATGCTTGATTAAAAAGTGGTGAACCGTTTGGTGTAATGTGTGCGGCTGTTTTCCTGTGTATTTATTCAGTGGAATAGCTTTTAACTACACTACTGAACAAACTACTGCTCCTGCTGTTACTTCCTACTCTTGGATTATACCTGGAACAAACCAGGGCAGAGTGCAGAGTATTGCAGTGATTAGCAGTATCTGCTATGAGCTGGGGCAAAGGTATTAAAATTAAGAAGAGTATCATTAAACTATTTGTAACAAGAGATTTTTCGATTCCAATTTTATACCCAGTGACATGGGCTTGAGTATTAGTCAAGAAACTGAGTAACTCCACTGATACCATTCTTAATTCAAGCTACTGTGAGGAGTTTCAATCTGGTCAGGAAATGAGCCAAAATAATTGACAATTTGATATACAAAAGCAAATGAGGCTATAAGTATAAGATAGAATTACTTAAATTTAGGTACATAAAATAAAAGGACATTTTATCATTGTATAGCTTGTATTTGTACACTAAAAGAAGCTGAAAACACACTGAGCACAGAGAAATGAACAATACTAACATTATTAACACCAATAGTACCTCTCCTGAAATCAGCAATAAATTAAAGTTTAAAAAAAAGGATTTTTAACCATGAAACCTGTTTTCATAGTCTGTTTTTACTGGTTATAATTAAGAAAAACTTGAAGTACAAAACACAGATTCATAACATCTTGCTAGCCTTAAACTTGCTCCACACTTTTGGCAAACAGCACACTGCTCCTCTTTTTAGCTTTCCTACAGTAGGTACTAGAGGCAGCCATAGTCCATATTATTGCTGTGTAAGCTACAGTTTTGAAGAAGCAGAAACACATTTATATTTTAAGTGTTTGAAAAGGTTTCATATTGGAAGGATGCTGATTTGGCTGCATGCCCCATGCCCAGAGGCTGAAGTCCTGAAAGCAGGGGACCCAGGTGCTTGTGGTCTCCCTTTTTTTGTTTCAGAGTTTCTTACTATATTTAACATCCTATCCTCTAAATAAAGGCAGAAGAGCCCAAAAATAGACTTGTAAAAAGGTTAACATTAGATTGATGCTTTGTGCATACTAGATACTGTATATGAGGTTGTATTGAGGGTTTTTCTGGTATTTGTGTGGTGTCCCAACAACTTTAGAAGAAATTAAATGAACATAACACTGTGACAATAGAAATTCCTAAAGGCTCCTGGGCAGGATTCAGTTCATATAGGAATGCTTTGTTAGACTGTATTAGCTGTAGCAAAAGCTAAATGTTAGAATCAGTTTGTCACAAGCAATTTGCCAAAAAGAACTATAAATGAATAAATACTTGTGTAGGATTTGATGTGAGTGTTTTTTTAGCCTCATCCTGCCGTCTTTGCCTGCCTCCTGCCGTACGTCTGCTCTCTGTAACTCTGTGTTTGTTTTCAAACTAGTATCTGGCAGATCAGATGTGATTCAACAGCTTTAATTTTCAGCTCCTGTCTGCCCTGTCCCATGAGCATACAGCTCAACTTATATATAAGTACATATATATATCTGTCCGTTCTCATCGCCGCACACTGTTGCCATGGTTTCATTGTTCAAATCCTTGGGTGACAATTCCTCATCAGTACACTCCAAACACGCCAAGCTAATTATCTGACAGTTACTTACAGAGTCAATAAAAGAAACCCCACCCCTGCCGTCAAACTGACTGCCTGTGTGCCCGTCTGCCTGTCTCCTTGTTTGACTTGTGCCTGTGTGTGTGTATGTGAGTGTGTATGTTTTGCATAAATCTGATAACCCTGGGCTTCAGAAACTAGATGATTTGAGGCTAATATTAAAAGTCAAACAGACTGGGTCAGTGTGAGTTTATAATTTCACACATCCCGGAAGAGGATATCTCAGGGGTCTTGCAGTAGTTTTGATGTTACGGACCACAGATCTGCGCAGACAGAGAGAGCTTTGTCTGTCATTGTAGTATGCGGTACAGTGTGATATTGCACTACATTTCTCTGGGGTGCAGCTCTATGATGTTTGCTTTCTGTCTTGTAGCTGAGTTAATGTGAAGGGCTAGCTGGCAGAGATAAAAGATTTAGACTGTGCTGATTATTCGCTCTGGTGGTAAAATTCAAGAGCTGATTGGTTGCCAAGAATCACTAAGTTTGAAGAAGGAAGAGGATTATTTATGAATATTCATGAGTATCATTATACAGTTTTAATGATAGAGATAATTAGCAAAGATACAAGTCATCATTTAATGGATTAGCTGATCAGCAGAAAATTAAGAAACAACAAAAAGCTAATAAACAAATTGTTTATTTCTCAAATACGATATTTTGCAGCCTTTCTCTGTTTTATTTGATTATGAATGAAACCTCTATAAATATTGGGCTTTTGTTGAGACAAAATGAGCAAACTGGTGACATCAAATTAGATAAACCAATGACAGCTTTGGTTTTTGGTTTTCTTTGTGGTTTGTAATCACGCAGCAGTCAGTTACCGTAATTATGTCGATTACTTTAATAACTGCTGGTTTTTGTGTGTATTCATCTCTCATCCCTCCATATTTGTTTGTTCCGGTTACACTTGATGCTTCACACAAACACACACAAACACAGCATCAGTCCATCAGCAGCTCGAAGCAGAAGTTCCATTCATGTCAAATTGAATGAAACCACTCTGTCCTTTTGTGGAAGCTCAAGTGCATCTGAGGCCGAGCACCCACTCATCCATCACCTGTCGAATTCACTCCAAATACAAAACAATAAATGCTGCTATATCTGCCATTATAGAAATATCACTTTTATCGTCATATTTGGGGAAGAGTTTTTTTATTTTCTCCTCAATTTTGGGCCTTTATTTTTTCCTGATTCCTCCTGACAATCTGACCAGAAACAACCTGTCAGCTCAGAGTTTGTCCCAAATTATCTGGTTATGTGAGGGCTTTGTACTAACAGCCTTAAACCCCTGGAGTTTCTGGGACTCGTATTTCAAATTAAGATTTGAAACCTGGATGATTATATCAGACCTTAGTAGCCAATTAGAGGGAGGAGCGGAGGAAAAGGAGCCTCTGGGGGTGTTAAAATGCAGCACTAAACATCCCAGCCTTGAGGCTAACATTTAGTGGCATGTTCATGTTGACAGGGGATAAACAGGTACAATCTCACCTTCAAGAGTTGCAGCAGAAAGAGTGAAACAGTTACCTTTACATGTCCTTATTAAGGCTCGACAGTGTGACCATTTCACTCACATTTGCAACTAAAAATAGATGTGTGCGAATTGTTGAGGCAACAAATGTTTTTTCATGTAAATACTGCAACAAAGTTAGTTTTAGGTTGGATATCCGATGGACATTCACTGTAGATCCACCGGTGTCTTCTCACTCTCCATGACCGGGAATAGTAACAGCAGCGCAGTTAAATCGACTCGGCACCCTCACTGTCAACGACAGGTGTTGAATAAGGGACCATCAATAAATTACTGGTTGATGTTTTCAGAAAAGGCTGATTTCCTTCAATGTGACCAGTTGACTTAAAACTGATTTTAAATAATAGTACTTATGTCGACCAATAAGACAAACATTATTTGATCAATTTTCATTATGCCTCTAAAGTTCTTTGTGTGCTCCTTGTGAAAAAAGCTAGTGTCAAGCCCTGAGGGTTGTGATTTCTTTCCTTTTGTATTCAATGAAGATTTTAACAAACAATTAATGAATGAAGAGAAATAATCTTTGACTTGTAATCTATTATAAAAGCAATGCCATCATGCATCCTTATTATCTATTTGACTTGGGCTCTTAGACTAAATAAGTGCACAACGATTCAAACACTTGATTTTGCATTTGCAGTTGCATTTTAGATACCCTGCGTACTCCATTGCACAGATCCCAAAATAGATAAGACATGGGCGTTTTGAGGAGTGGGTCCACAGTCTCATTCAGACTGTCTCAAAATTATGACATGAAAAGATGACAAGATGGTACATGCTTGGCTCTCATGTCAGATTTAGGTCCACGGGGACTACTGAGACCGCATATATGTAGCGGATGTGTAAATTGGCGTCAGAGGGCTCCAAATCAAAACATGACACTTGGCTTTGCTTCGTTTTGCACTCATGACTTTCCCTCCTCACGCCCCTTGTGGGTAGTCCAGTTAAACACGGTTGAAACCAGCATTAAATTAATTCCACGGAGCGTTGCGTGCTAAATATTCTTGCCAAGTGTATTTCTTTGAAAGGACTGTTGGCCTTCCAGCAGTGAAATAATTGGGCTGTCATTGTAATGCTGAGTTTTCTCTTTTTTTTCAACCATTGCAGGCTGGTGCAATTGTGTTAGGACTCTGCAGATTGGTACTGTGTTTAAAAAGCCTCCTCATTGAAGCCCCCCCTTTTAATGTCTAGTACCAATTGGCCTCTCTTTTCACTCTATTTCTGTCTCATTTTCTCTTCCTCCCCTCCCTCTGTGTGTCTCTCTCTGCTTTTCTGTGCCAGCTCTCAGCGAGTTCATACAACTGCTTTCATGTTGGGAGATGTGTGAAATAAACACAAAAGTTGGGCTGGGCTACATCTGAAACAATACATTAACCAGGCTTTTCTCTGCACAGTGTTGGGACGTCAACAAGACCATCACCATGGCTACACAGTACTTTTAACCCAGTTGTGTTTTGGGGTTTAAGCAATTAAAAGATTGAACGTCCTTATCCACCTTAGTTGGCACCAGAACGACTTGTTGGTTAAACATATTGGTAATATTTTTATTATTAAGGGCTCCTGAGCAAGTATGGAAAAGTATGGAAGTAATTAGATTTATTTCCAGGTCTTAAAAAGTATGGTAAATGAAAAAAAAGTATGGAAAATATTTATGTTAAAAGGCTATATTACCACAGTTATAAAATTCTCTTTTCTAAAAAAAAAAAGTAGGTATTTCCAAAAATAAAAATCTAAAAAGTAAGGTATGGAAGAGTATGAAAATTCCAACCGTGAGGGAAACCAGATTATTGTAGCCCCACATTCAGGTCTCGTGTCTACGAACAGCCACCAGCAGGCACTAGCTATGGCTGTAGCTCAGGTTGATGGCTGCTACCATCATGTTATGTTAGTGTAGCATCCAGAAGCTTGCTTTGACTGTAAACTGGCATGAAACCAATTTGAAACCAGCACTTAATTAAAGCAAAGTGCAACCAGCACAAACATGTGGGAGCTTACCAGAGGTTGGTGATGCTAGCTCTACCAATGTTAGCTGAACCTCTATTGAGAGAACAGGATGGTAGATGGAGAAGGGAAAAAAAAGTGAGGTGGGAATTGAACGCCGGCTGCTCACTTTGAGGGCTTTGACTTCTTTACATGGGGCGCATTATTTTACAATGACAGATGTATGTTTGTTTTCACCGCAAATGTCTGCAAAGCAAAGTATATTTCCAAATCCTCACGAAGGGGGATAAGTTTCTGCATGCATACACACCACTTTAACTCTGAAAATACTTTTTTTTTCCTACAATTACTTGAGTTGTGAATTCATAAGTCTCCAGATGAGATTCTCCAAAAAGTATCCTTTATAAATAAGTTTAATCATCAGCACTGTTAGGCTTAGAACGCTCTTTACTCCCCATGGTATCATTAGCTGAGTAAAATACACCAGAATTTACATTCCCCAAAGCTCATGCTTGACTAATTTAATGTCTTCTCCCTTTTTCTTTTTCCATTTCAGAGGAAATCAAAGAGGAATCAGAAAAATTAAGGTAAGAAATGGATTTATTACGTAACGCAGGGGGTCATTTCAGGGGGTTGGGTCTCTTTCTGCGTGCTCAGGCATTGTAAAACTCATGGCTCAACCTCGAGCCTGTCTGTCGCTCCCTCCTGTGTGCGGACTACTGAAAGGGATTAGAGCAGTGTGTGTGCTAAGTGTGTGAGTGTGTGTATGGGTTACAGCCTCAAGTGTGTTTTTGTTTGTGTTTCTCGGCCTGGCTTGTTTCCAGCAGCCCCTTGCCTTCTCATTAATGGCTTTCTTCACGAACCCCTGCCTAATGCTCAGCTTGTTTTTGAGAGTAGTGTGTGCGCACAGATTGGGTGTGCTTCATGCGTTGGCTGCTAGGTAACGTGGGCTGTGGAATGAAACGTAGCATGGGTCCCACCCCTCCTCTTCTCAACCCTTTCTTCCTCATGCGGTTCGTTATTCTATCCATCTTACATTTTTATCCCTCCTTGTTTACCATCTCACACCCTTCTCTTGTCCCGTTATTTCTCTCCTGCTTTTCCACTCTCTTCAAATCAACATTACCGATAAATAACGTCAACCAGATTTTCCCCTCTAGTTAAGAACTTGCAGATCAAAGATAGATAGATGTAGAGACTGTGCGGCCACACCCAACCCACTCAAAGGCTGCTGCATTTATATTCATCTCAGGTGCTTTACAACTCTCTTCTTTTTTCCATGTTATAAAGATGCAATAGTCTCGCAGTTTGACTGGGAATACCAATATACTTTTGAGAGCCTGCGGACCCATTTAAATTGCTTCCTTTTGTGGATTTATGGAGTTGTATAGTTACATATGAAACCAGATTAAAAAAAGAGGAAAAATGGTAGAGATGGAAAAACATATCCGAATCAAAACTTACTCAAAGCCTGAAAGGATCAAAGATTCATTGGAGTAGTAAACATATTTTTTTTGCTTTCATTTTTACTGAAGTGTGCAACACCACATGAAAACAAACAGACCTAAAACCAATGTTTATATATATATATATATATGTATACTAAAAAATGTGTGTATATAACTTATATGAATAGTTTACTCATTTCTCCTCCTTATCTTCCAACTGAACAATATGTCTGTTTTTTTTTCACATGTAGACTTTCACTATGTCTGTCAAGTGTTCCTGAGTGAGGAGTTGCACTTATTCCTACTTTTTTGTGATGATTAATTTTAACAGTATTTTGAAGAAGTATGTAGCCATTAAGAACTTAAAGCTCCTATGTGGATTTTTTGTGCATCTATGAAACAAATTGAAATCCATTTTGATAACTTCATATGATATTCAAAATATACAAGAACATTTGCAGTTTGGTTGATGATTTGTATATCAGAAAATATTCACGATGAATTATACATTTGACTGTCAAAGGTTAACAGGTTGACAAAAGATGCTACCAAAGCATGTGGGGAACAAGATAAGCAAAGGCCTCTCTGTCCTCTGTGGGTGCTGGAAGTTTCTCACAGGAGCTTTAATGACCTCAAAAACTTGTAGATTGTGCTTAAAGATCTGCTTATTGACAGCTTACTAGAGCGAATACAGTCAACGTCTATGTAACATCTATGTAACATGATTATTTCAAGTGCAAGTGGTATCTCTGAGCGAAATGATGAACCATCGAGCTCAACATTTTGAGGCACACGTTAAAGATATCACAGTGTTGAAAGAAAAACGATCCACCGCTACTTCAAAACTCACTCCTCCCGCTAAAAAAACTCCACACAGCTAACTTCAAGCTGCCTCCAACAAGAACACCAAGGAAAATTGAGATGTCAGCTCAAGCTGTCAGACCAAACCCCATTTCATGTCCACGTTGTGTGTATAAGCAGGCTAAGTGTGACATTGGGCTGAATATTAGGCAGAGAGTAGGCCAGCTGACATTAAGCAGGAAGTCGAGGAATAATCCAGAGGAGAAGAGCTCCCTGCAGACACGGCAGCATAAAAAACAACAGAGACAGAGAGTGGGTCAAACCGCACACACACACTCACACACACACAGACACACATAAGCCTTTGGGGTGAATCACAGCTCCAATTTGACGTGGCTGTCCTGAAGGTTTTGAAAATGATTCGTAATTTCTATCATGATGCTCCTCTATATTCTCAGTCTAATTCCTCTTTAATTTGTCTTACTCAGAGCCTGTCTCCTCTTTGTTTTTGACCGTTTTTTTCTGCCCTCTCTTTTTCTAAGCCTCTATCTTTTCCTCCCATCTTCCGCCTCTCTCCGTGATCTCTTGATCTCTCTCTAATTCCTCTGTAATTCATGCGACTCGACGCTTGTTTCCTCTTTTGTTTTCAGATCGTCTCCTTTAAAACATTTTATCCCCCTTCACTTCTTTACAAGGCACTTTATCCTCCCTCTCTTCTTCTCAGTGTGCGCTGTTATGCTTAGAGAGGTCGCCCCTCTGAAAAGAGCTGAAGTCATCCCTTTTCATCGCCAAGACATAAACAATACAACCCCTCCCTCTCTCCCCCCTTCTCCCTGTGTGTCTCAGTTCTGTGCAGTCTGGGTGTGGTAGGGATGCTGTAGACACATGACTGCTGAAAGAAATAGTCTGTTTTTTATGTCTGTGCCTCTGGTCTTATTAAAAAAAAAAAAAAGGAGTTGTATGATTTTATTAGGGGTTAGCTTTTGGGGAGGGAGATGCTTTGTCAGCATGAACACGTGGCAAAGTCTGAGCCTCTGGGATTAATGCCCTTCCCTGAGAGAGACCGAGTAAAACATTGGAAGCAGTCAGGCAGCACATGAAATTCAGATTAAGATTTTGTAAGTTTGGATCTTCTCTGAGCGGCAAGACATTTTGAGGTTGAGAAAGTGAAATGTGAACGGGAAGGGAAGGGGAAAAAATGCTGTTCTTCACTGGTACTTATGCCTGGATCATCAAGGGTGTTGTTAGTGTGTCAGGCTGACAGTCTGCGCTGAATGATCATCGTGTTTGTCTCAAAAGTCTTTATCACTGTTCTGTTCCTGTATGGTTCTTCCCCCCCCCAGTCCGCCTAGTGGAGACAGCAAATCGGGTTCCAGCACTTTACCGCCAATCAAATCAAAGACCAACTTCATTGAAGCCGACAAGTACTTCTTGCCGTTTGAGCTGGCATGTCAGTCCAAATGTCCCCGCATCGTCATCACCTCGCTCGACTGTTTACAGGTCAGTGGGAGGACATGTTGAATTTACAGACAACCGAATGTTTGTGAGAGTGTTTCTGTGGGTTGAAACTATTATATCCACATGGCAGCTATTTCTTTCTGACATAAAGCTCGAGGGGGAAACTCAGTGCTGTTATAATGTCAAATAGTTATTTCATCAGTACCTTAAAGGCTCTGTGAGGAACTTTAACTGCTTGAGAATCAGACTGAAACTAAAACTGATGCCATCCTATGACCCCCGAGAGCATCAGGAACAAGGTTGATCATTTCTCTGTTATTTCTTAATGGCTCAAACTTCTGTGAGGGGTTAGGTGTCAGACCACATGGTTGAGAGCAGATTGAATAAATCTTTTAAACTCTCCCTACTGTAAATACTCAGTGATACATTTAGGGTAGTTTAGTCTGAAACGCTAATACTACATGTTCAGGACAAGAGATAAGAGGTACAACCAAAACTTCTTCACATAATTCTTAAGGCTATCTCTGCATATTTGAACTTTTAACTCATTTGGCTTAGACAGCTGAGTCACAGCAACTAATTTTGGCATTAACCAGAAAACAGGGTGTGAGCCAAATATCTTCATGGTTAGTTAGCTGACATGGCAGGAAACTAACAGTAATATTTGTGAGATTAACAGACCTGAAGCACAGAAGCAAAACATTTGAGCCTGTTAATTACATCTAAGGACAATAGATGTCCAGTTGGGATATTTACAAGATCTAACGGAGCTAAAAATATATATTGGAGGAGTTTTTTTTTTTTTACTTAGGTCATAAAAATACTAATCAAACCTAGAAGTAGGAGGTCACATCCTCAAGTGTCAGAAGTTGTACGTTTGTGCTCATGTTTGTATATGTTTCCGTCTTGTAGAAGCTGATAGCATACGGCCACTTGACAGGCAGCGCCCCGGACAGCACAGCCCCGGGCAAGAAGCTCATCGACAGGATCATCGAGACCATCTGCGCCTGTTTCCAAGGGCCGCAGACTGATGAGGGCGTTCAGCTACAGATTATCAAGGTGTGCTGCTGTCCTCATCTTCAGAGACATCACAGATCATGACAAAATGACTTTACAGCGCTTTATGGCGGTACAGGTTTGATAAGTTTCAACACGGAAAAGCTGCATCTGTTTACAGCAGATCATTTGTTGAATTAGAGTTCGAAGGAAGTTATTGTTTTTGCTTGTTAATCTATCGGTAATTTTACAAAGCTAAGTTCTCTGCTGTGTTATTATCCCAGCGGTGTGAATTAAGAAGGTGGATGAAATGAAAAGTGTAGACTGCACTGCCCCATAACAATTCTCCCTCTTCTTCACACTGGAGTGTTTCTGTGTTTTTAGTACAGGAATTTGTTTGGTATTTGTGGCTTTAACACAGGTCACTGGTTAAAGTGTGTTCTGCTCTGACTTGTCCTGAGAGGAGAAACAGATCAGAAAAATCACTCTCAGTCTTATCTTCTTTTTTCAGGCAGGTTTGTTTTCATTTATTTGTGTGTTTCTCCCTCATGTAGAGAATTTCTCTCTATCAGCTAGGTCTCTAACATTTCCACTCTCAGTGAGTCTTTGTAAGATAATTTCTGGACTTCTTTTTAACACAGTCAAGTCAAATTTCTGGAGTGTTTATAGAGTACAGCACATGTGTGAAAAGCCTAGATACACACAAGCATTGGACAAGGTAACATGTCAGAAAGTGAACATGTCATCTACTTACAGAGCTTAAAGATGGATCCTCTTGTACTTCTTTGCGTGTATTTTAACATTTACTTACAATAAAGGTCTCTTCAGTGTCCTAATAAAGTGCACTATATTAGCTTGATAAGCTAACAGCAGCTTGATTTATGTAAGTCAATATTTTTGGGGCATTTTTGCCTTTTATTGAATAGGACTGCATTGATTTGTTTCTCAAAATGGACAGTTTGTTTTTGTTTTTTTCTAAACTATTTTCATTACATTGCAAAAATTCCTTGTCTATTTTTGCGCTTGCTACTTTAGGATCTCCGTCATTATCCCACAATCCTTGGTGGTATCAAAGTGAGTCTTCTTTACACAGGACCCAATCTCAAAATACTCCAAAATCTTTAGACTAATAACTCAGTATTTCTTCACAGTATTCCCCTGGTCCCCTTACCTGCCTGTTTTGGTATCATATCTCATTTTTCACGTCTAGAGTCTGCTTTACTCAGATGTATCACTTCTGATGGCTGGCTGCTTGCCTTTTCTGTCACCTACACGTTAAAGCAGCCACAGGGAGGTCATATCTGTTGATCTAGATCTTGAACTTTAAAAAGAGAAAATGTATCAGGGCTTATCATAAATGAGATTTAATCCCTATACTGTACTGTTTTATTGACAACAACTATCCTTTGACACCTCCTTTCTACTCCATTCCCAGGCTTTGTTGACAGCAGTGACCTCCCAGCACATAGAAATCCACGAGGGCACCGTGCTGCAGGCCGTCCGCACGTGTTACAACATCTACCTGGCCAGCAAGAACCTCATCAACCAGACCACAGCCAAGGCCACGCTCACACAGATGCTCAATGTCATCTTTGCACGCATGGAAAATCAAGCAGTATGTCCAACACTCTTCCTGAAAACCTAGACTAATAACACATAATGCAGTTTGTCAAAAATGTGTGAGAGAGGGTAACTCCTCCCTCCGGCCGCTCTCTGATTTGACTTGATTTGACTCACTAAAAGCCAAATGTTATATTTCAAAATCAGCAAGGTTGCGCTCTAAAATGCTGAAACAAATTTGGCAAGATGTAAAACTAGTTTTGGCTCGGAGTCAAATTGGATTCCAATATAATGTCTGGCATTATATTATTAAGCTTTCTGCTTGGTTAACTCAATCCAAATATTGCTGATTTTGTTGGAGTCTACTGTTTTGTTTGGGGGTCCAGAGGGACATTTTAGGTGTTGCCTTCAAATCAAAAGCTTGCTCTAATGTCATCTTTTTCTTTTTGAATGACACTTTTCCCTTCCTCACCTGCCTCCCCCCTTCCTTTTGGACACATAGCTTACAAATCACAAGCTATCTTGGTCTCTGGCCTCCAGAAAGCGTGACCGCCAGGTAAAGCGTGCAGGACTGCCGTGAACTTGCCTGATCAGAAACTCTTAAACTCTTCTCTGTGCATCTGTGTTTGAGCATTAAGCTTCTTTCCTCATCCATTCATGCACTCATCCGTTCTCTTCCTTTGCTCCTACACTGCACAGGAGCAGGTTTTTCCGTGTACTTCTTTTCCACCGTATGCTTGCTGTGGCTTTTGTTGACTTGCCTACAAATCATTTTGCTTTCCCCCGCACTGATTTACATCTTAGTTTACATCCAAACCTGGGTGTGGTAAATGTTCTATCACAGGTCAGCTGCGCCTGTCTCATCACTGACAGCTCCATGTTCTGTTTTGTTCCTTTAAAGGCTTAATATAGTTCCTTCAGAACAATGTGCGACTGGTATTGAGTCACAGTCAGAGGAATAGAAAGAAGCAGTCAAGGGTAAGGATAGAGAGACAAGGCAGACTTTGAGGCAGAGGCCCATTGTTGTGTTGTGCTGCAGCACAGGGAGATCCACTTTCTGTGTTTGTGTGTGGATGTATCCTCCTGACTGCAGCTCAGCATGGTGTGATCACACACACACTCACATGCACACACGCAGTGGTTGTCTGGCTCAGTCTCACTCAGCCTCAGCCTTCACTATCCGACTGAGGTGGCATTTAAATAATGAGCTTAGTTTGTTTGCGCCCTCGAGCCGAGGTCGTTGTCTGTCTTGCTAATATTCAATACTAATTGTTTCATTCAGGATGCTGTGTCATTGAATTTGTTTGCTTACATTTCAATGTGACAACAGCAGCAGGCTTATTGAATTAGGGCGAAACAGCTTGTGGAAGGGTGGCTTTAAAAAACGAGACATAATGAGTTTAATCAAGGAAGTTTGTTTACGTGTTAGAAGTGAAATACAAGTTTGCTTTGTGGGAAAAAAAGCAGCAACAAAAAAAAAAAAACAGATTGTATGTGATTGTTCCTTTTGGCAAGATAGAGACATGACTGCCACACTGAAACAAACTTGAGTGTTCCTGGCTGATTTATGCTGTTAGTTGGAGTTTTAATTGGAAGTCACTCTGCTGTAGACTTTAAGTGTTACCATCTATCACCACTGTTTTGTAAATGTGTCACAAATGTGTTGATATTTCCATCTGTAACCTTGTGTCTCTCTTTCGTTACCGTGCTTTTCCTTCTTCAAGTCACTCGAGTCTATAGTTTGTTTTCTTTAACATTTATGCCTGACAAATTGACAAATGCACTTGGACTGAAAATGCACATTGGGCTGTTAAATAAGCTTGGCTGAGAGAATTTCCACTGCTTGAAATCGTTTGCTCTACTCTTGGAACCTGCATCGGTGTCTGCTGTGAAATATTCAAGTGTGCAACCTTGCATCCAAGTATTGTTAAAAACAAACTCTGCCCCACCAGGATGTAATCTATCGCCTGGATTAAAGGTGGGGTAGGCAGGATCTGAGGAAGTGCGAGTTTTGGGGGGAAATCTTGAATGTAAACAGTGCCCCTCCCAACCAGTTTGGGAGGGGTGGACGCTCATGGTCGCTTGTATCGTTTCAATTAAATTCAGATATAATGCAGGGAAATACTTCAAATCAGTGGTGATTTTGTTCTTGAAATTCTGGTGGGGCCATGCAGGAAAATCTCATAGTGCAATCCAGAAATACCAGATATTACTCTCATACCCTCACAACAAAAACACAGCAATAAGTGAGAGAGGGGACCACAGCACCTTTGACGACAAAACTGAATAATGCCATCACACCAATAATGTCAAACTGGCGACATATATTAAATACTCAAGATCGAAACAACTGGACAATAATAAAAACACAAAGGCATGAAAGGCACACACCCAATACACAGCAATCAATATACAAAGCCACCACACACAATATACCACAGCCAAACAGCCATTTTAGCACCAAAGACAGGTGAACAGCTCCCTTGAGGTGCCCATGTGAGGTTGTGTCCACCACACACACCTGAACACGTACCGCCATTTACGCATTACATAAATTCCACTTTCATTCTAACAATATATAAACTACATTATAAATTCCAAGTAGAATAATAGACTCACCGAAGAGGAATCCTTCATGTGACCTTGCTGTCAAAATCCAACAGTCCATGGATGAGTTGACTTTGCCATGTTGTGTTACTACGGTCGCCGAGCTAGCGAGACCTGTGCAGTTCCCACTCTTTCCTCTGATCAGCGCGCATGCAGCCATTTACCATCACGACTCTTCCCCACCTGGCGAAAACAGTGGCACAGTTAACTCGCGCATTTTTGACAAAGGAAAGCATAAAAAATAGGAGAAAAAAGCTTAAAATTCTGTCCTGCACAGCAGCGCCCTCTGGTGGGACCGTGCCCAACACGGACCCCTGATGTAAAGATGCCATTGCTTCAGATAGTTACAAATGGGGCCCAGTCAACGTGAAAGTAAAAAGCATTGGTGCAACTGTAGATACCAATAGAATACCAGCAAACACAAGGTTTGCAGGACTTCTAAAACTAGGATAAAGTGACATAGTCCATGACCATACCTGCCAACATTTGGGTTATAAAATCTGGAAGATTTTTGCGGTGTGCACCGTGCAGTTTTGGGGATAACTTGTAAGGTGGATATGAGCTAATTATGAGAGTATTTGTAATTAGATTGCTTATCCAAATAACTAGAAGTTAAGCTGCACATGTTTTTTGTTTTGTTTTAACAATAAAAGATGGTAATCTAAAAATAATAGCTAAGATATGCCTTGAACTTATTTAATCCACTAATATTAGTGTTAAAGTCCTCATATGTTTTACATGCTCTCTCCCGTACAGCACTCTTTTATCTGAGGCTGCCCTGAACGCATCACTCCGAGACGGTGAAAGACTATCGACTTAAATATCATATCTCACGTTTGTTTCCTTTTCAGTGAAAGCTCATTTTGCAACAAACACTGCTCAAATATAGTTTACAGCTTAAACCGACCTGAATCATCCCAAACTGTAAAGTAAAACTATCAATCCAGTGACTGTGAGACTTAGCAGAAACATTGGACTATCTTCAGTTGTCTGAATACCTGGAAACAACTTTGGACGAATATAGTGATCTTACTCATGAATGAACGTGGGAGATTCCCGGGAGAAATGACACTACGGGGGGCGGGAGATAGGTCTGAAATACGGGAGAGTCCCAGGAAAAACGAGTGTTGGCAGGTATACTTCAGGACCCGAGCTAAACAGTTTAGCGGCGCTACAACACACAGCAGGTCCCGTTTGACAAGAAACACTTCTGTTACAGACACTTCACTAACTTCGTTAAAGCGGTTTACCTTTGCAGCAGAAAGGTTACAGGGTCTGGAAGGGCCGGAAGCGTCCCGTCGTTTATCCTAGCTTCATTGGTGTTGACCCGCCTTTTTAGCTCTTGTCCGGTCTACCTCCTTTTTGAGCGCTCGTTATCCCGCCAGAGTCTCCGGTATTTACTTTGTTTTCTTGCTTGAGTTGGCAGTCGTGGCCAAAGAAGGATTCAGACAATTTTCTGTACCTTCTGGTTGGTTTCTACTGTCTGATATTGTAGCATGCTAACTTTGGTCTCGTGCACAATAGTGGAGGACGTGGAGCGTGCCTCACCACACGAGGCATAATGGTCTGCCTCACAACCAATCAGCACTCACAACCAATTAGCACTAATGCGCAGCGTCTGCCTTACAACCAATCAGGTCGAGGAGGTGAAGAACGTCAGAATGAGCGGGCCTCTCAAAAATGTTAAAATGTTGACTACACAGACATGAAAGAACACAGTGATATTGAGATATTCCCATGTTGAGTAAGTAAGTAAGTTAACTTTATTAATATAGCACTTTTCACAGACAAAAGAGTCACAAAGTGCTTCACATAAACAAAAATAAAAATGTACAAAAACAATTAAACAATTGCCTGAGCAAATAAATAAGTTTTGAGTTGGCTCTTAAAGGAGTCAACAGAGTCAATTAAGCGCAGAGAGAGAGGAAGATCATTCCAAAGCCTGGGGGCAACAGCCTGGAAGGATTGGTTTCCTCTGGTCCAAAAACGAGTGCGCGGAACCATCAGCAGATTCTGATCCACGGACCTCAGAGCCCGAGAGGGGTCGCAAGGCTGGATCAGATGACAAATATAAGATGGAGCCTGACCATGCAAGGCTCTAAAGGTTAGGACCAGAATTTTAAAATTGACCATAGAGGACACAGGCAGCCAATGTAGTGCTTTAATTATAGGGGATATGTGAGTCCTCCTATTAGTGTGGGTTAGAATTCTCGCTGCAGAGTTTTGCACTAACTGAAGATGAGACAGCTCCTTTTTGTTTAGACATGAAAATAAACTGTAGCAGTAGTCTAAACGTGGCGACACAAAGACATGAATGATGAGTTCCGAGTCATTTTGCGACACCATTTTCCTAAGCTTAGAGATTTTCCTCAGTTGAAAGAAGCAGTTTCTCGTCAACTGTTTACAGTGTTGCACTAAGGACATGTCTTTGTCAAAGATGACACCTAGGTTTCTTAGGCTAGGTTTAGCTGACTGGCCTAAGTCGCCCAAGTACTGTTTAATCCCTGGAATTGAATCATCAGGGGCAATAACCAATGTTTCCGTTTTGTCAGCATTTAGCTGCAAAGAGTTGACTGATATTAAAAGCTTTTTTGTATACACGCCACAAAAAGATGCTTCTTTAACAGATTCCTGCCTACCCCACTTTTAATAGAGTATTCACTAACATCACATACACACAGGGATAAAACTGTGCAAATGTCCTGTGACCCATTTCCAGCTCATGAGCCACCCAGCTAAAGCAAAGCAACACTTTCCAGTACTCCACATCAGAAGCAGTGGTACCACATAGCAGCCATGACCCATCAGCCATGACACGGCTGTATGAAACATTTTCCATCAGAAATGTAGTTTTCTGCCACCGACTGACTGAAATGAACACAGCTCGCACGAGCCAGCATGAATCAATTCCACAGAGTTTGTCTCATTGCTGTTTTAGTCGCATGTTCTACTTCTCAGTAAGGTTCATATACATTTCCACGATGCATACTCGCACACTCTAGGTGTAAAAAAAATCCAGGAACTTTTGTCTTTCCAGACATCTGGAAGTGTTTCAGATCTGTTTTTGATTCAGTGAGCCCTCAGGGAATCCAAACTTGTAATTGCTGTGAGAAGTTTGTTTTTGTAGCCCTAACCTGTCTTTTTTGTGTCTGCGTATGTGTGTGTTGCATGTGCTCGCTCTGTGGATGTTTCCTCTCCTTCGTGCCTTTGAATGAGTGTTTGGTTTTTCTTTTCTTTTTTCTTTTCTTTTTTTTAATTCGTGTGACTGTGTGTGTGTGTTTGTGTGTGTGTGTCTGTGTGTGTGCCCCACCCTCTCCCAGCTGCAGGAAGCAAAGCAGCTTGAGAGAGAGCGTCACCGGCAGCAATCCCCCGTCACCCAGCACGCCGAGCCAGACTCCCCACAGCTCCAGACTCACATCCACCAGACGGCCAAGGGTCCGAGCCAGGAGGCCAATGGGCCGGTCACCCCCCCAACCCCCAGCATCAACATCCCATCCACCCCGTCCACCCCTTCGACACCCGCCCCTGAGGGCAGCAGCAGGTCTGTGACCGGGGAGCACGGGGAGCAGCGGGAGCAGGAGGAGCATGGAGAACAGGGGCCTATTTATGAGAATCCAGATCCAGAAAACGGGTCTGATTTCTGCGTGGCTGAAAATGAACAGACTGAAGCAGATCAAGCCACAGCAGCAGCACAAAGTAAGATCATTAGCAGGGATTTCTTTTATAAACCAGTACTTTTTATTATCTATCCTGGTTTCACTTCACTTATCGGACACACATTTAAACATCTCCTTAAACAGTGCTATATTTTATTTGAACTGTGCCTTAAAATGTCATTTGAGTTACTTTTCCCCAAATGCCCATTTGTACTACGGGCTGTTTTTACAAATAACAAACAGCCAAACTCTGTGAAATCCAGTGTGTTTGTTAATAACACCACCAAGTACTTCAGTATACATGCAAATGATTCAGGAAATTAACCCGTCCTCTTATCATTTTTGCAATTCATTCATGAATAGAAAGCAGCCGGGCCCATTGTTTACTGTAGAAACACTTCATACCAAATTCGGCCTCATTCACTTGAGCGAGCTGGTGAAGAAAAGCAGGATTAAAAATAGTCCGTCAGTTGCCGTTTAAGTTTATGCATGCTGGCCCAGAAAGAACACAGCTCAGCAGAACGAATGCCTTGAATTGCCCTCTGCACCTCTTAGTCAAGAAATGGGTTGAGTGTTGTTTCCTAAAACTGTGTGTGTGCATGTGTGTGTGTGTGTTGTTAAAATGCAGCAGCTCAGCAGCATCCAGAGGCAGGGGAGGAAGATGAGGAGTCACCAAACTATGAAGAGAAAGCTCAGGAGATCGTTCAGAGTATTCTGCAGGAGGTGGTCAATACTGTTGCAGGAGGTGAGATGTCTTCTGTCTGCAGTAAAATGCACACAAAATAAAAGATCTCTTGCTTAAATCCACTTTGCTTCAATTTTCAAAGAGTGTATTTGTTGCAGTGAATTAGAGATCAATAAATGGCAGATTCAGGTACCTCTCTGCTCTTTGTCCAGAGCAGCTCCTGCGAGGCCTTTCAATGTGCTTTCTGTGTTCCTGCTGTCTTTGACATTTCAACAGAATATCAAAGCCTCCAAATAAATAACTCATAAAAATGAGACGTAAAACGACCTTTACAAAATAGATTGATTTATCCTCACAATACATCTTAATTGTAAATCAGCCGCACATGTTATTTGTCCTCTTATTATTTGAAACCTCTACTTTAATGTGTCTTTGAAAGGGAGATATCTACTCTTGACTGATAATACAGACTAAACCTTTGACAAACTCAGACCATTGTTCAATAAAACCTCTTCAAAATGAGTCTCTAAACACAGCCCTGTGTTGAAATACCTGGTTTGACTTTCTGGGAAATTTCAGTGTAATTTTAAGTCAGTTCATGCTCCCTGAAGTTCCTGCTGGTGCTGACAAAAAGAAGGTATAGCAGTCTGTCTTTGTGTGCAGAACTTTAAAGAAAATCTTTTTTATGGCTGCTACAAAAAAAAAGCTTTATTAATCTACACACCAAAGAATAGTGCTTGGACACCCCTTTTCAAAATACATTTGCCCTTGAGCAGAAAATTTCCATCAGGCTTTAATGGCAGGAGGGAACATTTGATAGAAATGCACTTCAGTATCCTCTCTGAACCTGAAAGTCTTGTAAACACTGCACAACAAAAACTTGCCATAGTCACTTTTTTTGCCTCTGTACTTGACAAGAGGGTCATGTCAAACTGTAAGGTACAGATCTGATCGGAGTTAAAATCATGCAGAATCCAAGTAGAGGGTGTTTAAGTTTCAAATGCAACATCGCAACCTTTTTAAACCACCTGCTGCTTTCTCTGTCCTCGCTACAGGGCACTGCTTGGACCCCTCAAACCTTTGCTCTGACACCAAGGAGTCCAGCGGCGAGTGTGAGCAGGCAGAGTCAGAGCCAGCTGAAACAGTGACAGAGGGCACCCAGAGCTCCCTGGAGGACGAGGGCACCCTTGGTAGCGACAGCGAGCACGTCCACGCTAACGGCATCCCTGGCACACCCATTTCTGCCAGCTTCACCCCATCGCTGCCTGATGACCGACTGTCTGTCTCATCCAATGACACTCAGGTGAAGGACAGGAGCAGAGTTATAAAAGATTCAGCACGCTAACTGATCAAATGGTTATTTTTGTTATATTTTGGGGCATTTTTGCCTTTATTAGATCGGACAGCTTAAGAGAGAATCCAACCAGTGACCGCTTAACCACCTCTAGGCCATCAGTGCCTCAACTGATTAAAAGTTATTCATAAAGTACAAGTTTTAAAGCAAAAGAGAAACAGCAGAAATGATTTTTTCTACTACTGTTATGTTTCTGGAGTTCACATTTCTATTGAACATTTCAGCCCTGCCACGAGCTCTGTTGGCTAAGCGTCAGAGAAAAAAAAAAGATTTAATCTACTTGATTTAATCAAAAGGCAAAATAATGATTAAGCTTGTCAACACTCAGGCTGTGAGGACTACTTATCCCTAATCAAGGTTAAATAAATCTAAAAGCCTGCGAGGCGCACAATCAGGAAGATGTGAGCGAAAGAAGATGCTGTTAACTACACACTAGCTTTGACTGTTTTTGTTCATCTGCAGGAATCAGGAGCAGCACCCGGGCAGCCACCAGGTGCAAAATTCTCCCACATCCTCCAGAAAGACGCCTTCCTTGTCTTTCGCTCACTGTGCAAGCTGTCGATGAAGCCGCTGTCAGATGGACCACCTGATCCCAAGTATGAATTATATCAATGCAGTGTGGGACTGTTGTATTGCTAGATTTTTCATCAGTTATTTCAAACGCACACTAAAACTGAAACCTGACAAAGAGTGACACAGATATCTGCTCTCTAATTCTTCATTTTCTCCTTTTTCATGATGTTTATTTAGCAAAACCAACATCTGTTAAGTGCAAATAGATCACAGATAAATCAGTGTTCCTGTCAGGTTCAAACCTCTAAAGTAAGGCAGAGTAAAGCCTCTGCATTTCTTACAATTTACAGTGAAACTGAGACTCATCAGCAAGCTCCCCAAAAGGTGATTAACAGAGACATTTAAGTTTGCCCCGGTACATGTTAAAAATGTTTCCCTTTCACTGATTATGTCCCCGTTATCGTGTTTGGAAAACAGATGGAGATCCCATTCTGCTTTCAAACTGTATCCATGAAGATATTATTATATGCAAGTCAAACCGCTCTGCCCCCTCTTCCTTTGCCTCCATTATTGTTGTGTGTAAGTGTGTCGAGGATGAGAATAGACATGAGTCATGGTTTATAATGAGGATTGCTCCAGTGATAGGACTGCTGTTGTGATAAAGGGTGATGAAGGAGACTATGAGGCATCGCTCAGCATTTTCTGAATCACTTCCTGTTTTCTTAAACCCGTGTTTGAGGTTCCTGTTTTAAAGCAGCAAATGAAGAAATATAATCTAGTCATGCTTTTGTTCAATATCTCTTTGGACCATGCTCCTGGTTCTTATAATTGTTTCGCTGAGAGCTGACGCTTGTATGAAACAGGATTTCCTGCATCTGGTTTCTGCGTGTAACTCAATTCACACACTGTCTGTGGACTGACCGATATGTGTGTGTTTGCTCTTTTGCTCGTCTAATCTTTTCATTTCTTTTTCATGTGTTTTGGAAAATTGTAGTTCAGCTTGAGTGTGTTTGTTCCTCCGACAAAGGCCATGTCAATTACCCCAGCACTGATGTGACAGAAGCTGTTTAACCTGCTAACAAGGCTGTTTTACTCTTTGTCACACAAATACCAGACAGCAAACAGCCTAAAGATGCTCTTTGGAATAAAAATCAGAAGTAGTTAGTGTCCCTGAGGTGAATCTAGAGGAACAAAGTCTTTGTGAGAGTATGTTATGAGCTTTTTATGAGAGATCTGTAGTTAGTCGTCTCTTGTTGAATCTGTGCTTATAATAGAGGTTTACTGTGGGCACTCAAATCTGTACAACCTAAAATGTTGTTTAATAATGATAATTGTAGGTCTTTGCTTTGATTAGCCATATCAGACTTGAGTTTAAAAAGAAAAAGTGCTTTTGATTTAGTATGACGTATTTTCATGGTTGGAATTCTGGGTAATGTAGTCTTTGGTACATTCAGGACTAATATTTATCATTTCTGCCACTGTTACAAACTGTGTAAATGACAATAATTCACCAACTTTTGACTGTATTTACAAAAACATTTGACCACCAATATTTCAGTCCATCTTTTATGTATATGTCCATCTTATGTTCGTACTTGAGAAAGAGCAGTGAATCAGTTAACTGACGGTCATTTTGTCATCATTAGTATCACATCAGCGTTCTCAAGGCTGGTATCACTGTAGTCTTTTGTAATTGATAACAGATTTTTCTCATCCTTTATAACAGCATAAAGCTCCATTATGATATATGGAATAATGCAGTTTAATATTCCAACATATTGTTCTTTGAATAGAATTATAAAAATTTGGGATTTTGTTTTGTTTTTGTTTTTTTTTTCCCTTTAATCAGGATATTTACCTTTTGTTTTTTTAATAACTACAGATGTTGCGACAGAAATCTCTCATTGCAGTGTTTTACTGACCCCACAGTTTTCTGTCAAGACTTTTATTTTGAAAATGTTCATTCGAGTCCAGCAATTTTGTTCTCTTTTGTGTTTTATTAAAAGAAAAACTCAATATTGGTGATATATATTGGCAGCTAGCTGACTTGTTCTTCTAACTGGCATCAGGCATTGAAAAATAAATTACAGCCAACCATGTGTACATACTGTAAAACCTGATACAAACACCCAGTTTGTTTTGGCATGAAAGAAAAGGTTAAAATTGTCTTCCTGTATGAATCCTGTATGTTTTCAAAGACTTGCTAGATATCGATAAGGGAGTTAAGCTCAGTAGTGGCTGGGGTTGTATTTGTGAGCCACTGAAGAACCCACAGCCTAAGCTTGTAATTTATTGCCTTGAACTGAGGCGTCTTTTCAATCAAATCAGCAAGCCACAAGATTTCTTCACAAAATGATTTACCGCCATTTTCATTAGATACAGGGTTATGGCCCAACAAGGCAGAAAAGCGTAGAAAAAACATTGTTTGACCATCTTCTTCTGGGCTAAACACAGAAGCACATTTAAAATAACTGGTATATTGGTCACAGCGGTGTGTAAGCCCACTTATTTGATGACAAAAACATAAAAAGTTCATCTTATACAGCAAATTTCATGGCATATTTCTGCATTGCATTCACCATGAGAGGTCATGCCTACGTTTTGAAAGAAATCAATCTTTTTTGGACGGGGAAAAAAGTCCAGATTTTTGGGCACTTGCAGGAGAAGTAGAGACAGATTTTTGTTGTGCCACATAAATCCCACTTTGTCTGCCCGCCAGAGATGGAAGACAGTGCAGAGAGGCAGCCAATCTCAGCATATAAAGTAGCTGAAAGTATGTTTTTCGAGCTCTAGTTTTTCAGTCCTGCTGCAGAAGCACAGTTCAGACAAGCAAAGGCTCTTCACACAGAAAGACTTTGATTTAGTCACGCTGGTAGATCCTTTGATGGCTGCTAAAGAGCTAAACTCTCAGATGGAGACAGATACAGTATGATGTGGTCTCAGTTTGAGTTGCATTCCTGCTTCTTTGAGGTATAACTTTGTTGAAGGACGAATAATTTACTCATGAGTGCTTAGTTTTAGTGAGACTTTATTTCTTTTTATCCCTGGACATATTGTTTCTCTGAACTGTTGGTGCTCATCAGAGGGACGATGTGTCCACTCCAGCCTTGAGCAGATGAGAAGTTCTTAGATGCAGGAGCTAGATGTATTCATAAAGAGTTGGTGTACACAATACTGTGTGCATGTGCAGAGATAAAGACGTCAACTCTCACTGAAGAATGCACATACATGCCCATCTACACTTTCCTACTTTGCTTTTGCTTCTTCTAAAGCTGTGATATATCCTCTCTTTAAAAACACTGAAACCCTTCCTCATCATCCTCCTCCTCCTCTCTCTCCCTGCTTTAGGTCTCATGAGCTGCGATCAAAGGTCCTGTCTCTCCAGTTGCTCCTGTCCATCCTGCAGAACGCTGGTCCAATCTTCAAGACTAATGAGATGTTCATTAACGCCATCAAGCAGTACCTGTGCGTGGCATTATCCAAGAACGGGGTCTCCTCTGTGCCCGAGGTCTTCGAGCTCTCACTCTCCATTTTCCTCACTCTGCTCTCCCACTTCAAGACACACCTAAAGATGCAAATCGAGGTAACAAATTCCCTGACGCGCCTCCTGCTTACCAAGGAGATTTAGGGTTTTGTTGTCAGCATCCCCGACTTGAAATATGAAGATATATCTACTAAGGAAAACAACAATTTCTTGGCTGACACTCTAAATCTACCTTGATGCGGTGACTAAGACATCTAAATGTTTCAAGGTTTTCAAGCTGAGGCGTTGCACCTGAAGAAGTGTTTGAAATTTCTTTCCCAATACAGACCCTGACTGCAGCTGCTTCATAACAATCGGGCATCTCTACTAGAAAACTTCTTGCCTGATGCAATTAATCCAATCCGTACTTCCAAAAATAGGCTTTCTTCATGACAAATTCTCTCCATGTGGTGTTCAGACAGTCATTTTATTAGCTCTGTCTTGATTTATATATGAGGGGGAAACCTGATGAAGTATTTGGCTTTTGCAAATAAGCTTTATTTTTATATCCACCCACCACTTCTTGACGAGACGCAATGGTTTCACACCTTCTCCAGCAGCTAACAGCCTTTCAGGGGAATGAAGAGGATTTCGCACATGCTCTGTGATGAAAAGTTTCTAGAAAATACCAGGCAGGGAACTCTGCTCCTGAGATTTACTTAGCTGCACCTTTCACACGTAGCCCCTCATAGCATGAGCCTCCCCCTGTCAAACAGCAGGGATGTGGAGAGGATCTCAGGAGAACCAAAGCTGTGGTAGTCATGGTGCAATGTTTTTCAATCCTAACCAAGTTTGAAACTACTTTCTATATGTTTAAATTCCCTCAATATCTTTTTCTCTTTATTTTTGTTTCCCCCTTCACCTCATGCACTTGTGTCTTCTTGTAAAATCGCTGCTGGATTACTGTCAGAGTATTGGAGTTGATCTAAAACAGTTAGAGATGAAGGCAAGACACTTGTGCCACAGTTTACATCAATGCTACAAATCGCTGAACATGTCTGTAGTATCATTAAATGAGTGATACAGAAAATACTTGAGAGGAGAAGTGGGTATAAGGTAGTCTCACTTCCTGCAGATGTTGTTTTCATTCCATTATTTATTGTTCTTCCTAGTTCACACAGGTGTTTTTTCAGCCAGGAGGTATTTCAGGTTATTGCTGTTCACACATGCAGCTCACCTTGGAAATTTCAGAGAGTTTTCAGGAGGAGTTTGCATGTCTTAAAAGGGCTAGAGTAAAATTATAGGAGGAAGAAGATGCAAATTGCAACACGCAAAGGTACAAAAACCACACAGTGGAGTTACTCCGATCTCTGCTCGCCCCTGTGCGCTTTAACAACCAGCTTTAGGTTTAAATTCTCCAGTTTTAAGATGTTGAATTAAACATACGCATTGATTCAGCTCCTTCCCTGCAGAGAAACACCACGTACAGTTTATTTTAACACTGAGAGCTGGATCTCAGTGCTGCCGGCAGCTGACAGAAGTGATGGAGGTGAGATGTGGTTCCTCACACAGCTCTGCGACATTCCTCAACGCAGCTGAGAGATGCCTCCTGCCGCTGATATTTTATCACTACTGTATGCTAGAGTTGGTTCAAAGTTTTTAATGTGGGACCACCTGCTGTCTAGCAAAGAAATGTGTTTTTTTTGTGAAAATACAAAGTGGTATAGTGAAAATTCAGGCAGCTAATAGCTGTTTCTCACCCTCTCTGCAGGTGTTCTTCAAAGAGATTTTCCTCTACATTCTCGAGACGTCGACAAGCTCCTACGACCACAAATGGATGGTCATACAAACCCTCACTAGAATATGCGCAGGTTTGTGTCCCTGTAATCCAATCTACTTTTTTAAAACATATGTATGAGTTAAAGAGAAGCAACTAATACAGATAAACCTGCTCGTCTGGGCTAAATATTCTTAAACATCTCAGTTTAAATAGAGCTTCTGGTTATTTGAGTTTTAATTATTACCCTCCACATGTGTGTCTTGTCTGTCTCTGTCAGATGCCCAGAGTGTGGTGGACATCTACGTGAACTATGATTGTGACTTGAATGCTGCTAACATATTCGAGCGGTTGGTCAATGACCTCTCGAAGATTGCACAGGGTCGTGGAGGCCATGAGCTCGGCACGACACCATTACAGGTAATACTTTAACTTTTGGCACCCTTTTATCTCTAATAAATAAATCATTTCTTTTGACATTTGAAGACATTTTGATTTCTTTTTATGTTCCAGGAGCTGACTCTGAGAAAGAAAGGCCTTGAATGTTTAGTTTCCATCCTGAAATGTATGGTAGAGTGGAGTAAAGACCAATACGTCAATCCCAACTCCCAGACCAGCCTTGGTAAGACACTAATGAAAATGAATAGAAGGTGGCTCTAATTCCCAGCTTTAATTTGGATGGTACTTATTAAACAGCTTTTCTGACTTTCACCATAAAAGTTCAGATCAATGTTTTCTGCTCTGCGGGGACTCGAACTGAACTGTTAAAAAGTGTGCATTCAAGATGAGCCTGCCAAGGTTAAAAGCAGCCTTTCTCCCGATCAGCTCTGTTTTTGGCAGCAGTTTATCATCCAGGTTAACTGGGGTTAAAGATAAAGCTCACATCCCTCAACTCAGTTGGCTGCGATCAGTCGTGGGACTGACGGTTGGCATTCATCAGCTACGACTCTGAGGGGGAAGCGAGCATCCATCAGCTCAACTCCTGCCGGAGGAGGCAGTGAGATAAAGCCCACAGGGTCAGGCTGAAACAGGAGGCTTAGTCTTACACAGAGCAACACCTGAAGACAAACTGAACATCTACAACATACAGCGTTCATCCTGTGTGCGTGTGACTGAACCCTTGGTCAACGGCACAGCAGAGGACTGTGTTGATTTCCAAAAAGAGGAGCTCACACCAGGAAACTAGTGTAACTTTGTAAAAAGGCTGGAAAGATAAGCCCTCGGAAATATCTATAGGCTAGCCTGGGGCTGAGCTGTCAGGGCTAACTAGCAGAGTCAGATGTGTTTGCTCGCAGGGGTTTTATCCTGCCAGAACTAAAAAAAAAAAAAACCTAATCTCATCAGTAATCTAGCGGGACATCTAAATTTGAATTTTTAATGTTAGATTTGTGCTGCTGGCTGCGGGGGACTCAAACTAAGATCATTTTCATCCTTGTTTGTTGACATGCTGTAGACTAAATTTCAAAACATTTGATAATGTCAGTAAAAGATGACATCTTTGACTTGTTTGTCCTTGTTTTCTTCCCTTTTTTCATTTCAAAGCAAGAGCAGGTAAAAACTAGACGAGAGAACGTGTTGCTGTGATTTAGATTTAGAAGATCTGGTGCTAGTCTTGCATTATATACCCTGTTTGTTATGAATTTTGCTGTTAATAGCATCCAAAACTAGGAATGGATTTAGTTAAACTAATGTAGAAACAGATGCCATGTGGGTTAAACTGCCGGTTTGTATGTTTGTGTAACTGTAAAAAGAGTTTAACAGCCTGAATCTTTGGTTTATTCCCCGTCCTTCCCCTGTATTCCTCCTCTTTTGCCTCTCTGCTCTGTAACTCTAACTCATAGAAGCTCAGCTCATGTTACTGTGACACCGTCCTGAATGTTTTAACAAGTTTCCGATTAGTAATCAGACGCCCGGCCGAGCTCGAGGTTTCAGCTGCTCCAGCTGAGCTCGGCTTGGCAGGGTTCAAAAACCACCTTTTTTTGGCCTGTAAGTTTTTGGCTGCTTCCTCTCTGACCGTCTGGAGCTTTTTAGATAACCTCAAGCGCTGCCTTGCACCTGCTCTGTTGCGAATAACTGTGTATTTTTGCAGACTTTGGTCTTTTGTGCATGTGAGTAACGTGCATCCCCTCCCTGCTAGCAACAATCATTAAGAAGCCCTCAGGGTCATTTTGTTCTGTGCTGCATTTTCCTCTTTCAATTACACGAGCCTCTCTCCTGAAGCAAAAGATTGAAGTTGGTTCCCTGTTTAAGTCTCCAGGCCGAGTTTGTGCCAGCAACACACTTTGAATTAAAATTCTCACCTTTGTGATGGTTTCAGGCGCCCACTTTGAGCAGTGCAGATAGAAATACTTGTTATTTCCGCTCATCTTTCTTCGCTCCTGGGTTGTCTCATCTTGATGATTTCACTCGTTAGGTCAAGAGAAGCCATCAGAGCAGGAGAGCACAGAGACCAAGGCCCAGGAGACCATAAACCGCTATGGAAGCATTAACTCTCTGGACTCTACAGCATCGTCTGGTATCGGCAGCTACAGCACACAGATGTCCGGCACTGACAACCCAGAGCAGTTTGAGGTCCTCAAACAGCAGAAGGAGATCATCGAGCAAGGCATCGACCTGTACGTTTTTGTTACATTTGCATATCAGTTTCATTCTGTCTTTTCTCAATGCAAGCTACAGTGTTTTTTTTATCTCTATCTGCAGTTTCAACAAGAAACCAAAGAGAGGAATCCAGTACCTTCAAGAGCAAGGCATGCTGGGGACAACTCCAGAGGATCTTGCACAGTTTTTGCACCAGGAAGAGAGGCTTGATTCAGTAAGAAATTACTCTCACCTCATTTAGTTCAGGATTTTTCGTTTACATTCATCCTAGTGTTTTTCAGCTTCTGGTTTGTCTCCTTCATGTCTTAACAATACATTATAGACCCAGAAACTTTGGTCTTACTTGCCATGACAGACACAAAACGGCTCATCCATCTCCAGCTGCTTTATTTGGCTTTGACTGAAAATAAGCGACTAGAAGCTAAAAAGAAAAAGCAGAATTCTTGGCTAACAAACAAGTCAGTGTTTTGTTCCATGTACTGGATAGTCAGACCAAACAGAAGCCACCTAATAACTTTATTCCTGTTGGACGACATGAAACAGCGACCCCGGCCCTCAAAAAGAGCCTTACAAGCAGCGTGAATGTTAACACTAATGAGCAGCACACTCCGCCTTGATTGGACGGCCTCGAGGGTGTCTGCGCGGGGTAGTAATCAGCGTTAAAGAGCTTTCATAACATCTTATTAAAAATGAGAGTCCTTGGATGCAGTGGCATTAAAACAGAGTCAAAAAATGAAAGTCTAACATGTATTTACCTCATCCACACTAGATCAGAGGCTCTTGTAAAGCTCTACTGGAACATACAAGTGGTGAAAACACAGAAACATAATCTTCCTTTTACTGTTTTAATCAATTTTCCTTCTTTTTATGAGAGGAGTGCAGGCTGAGTTCAGTCACTTCAAACCAGTGATTAAGAAGAAAGCATACTTTTGGTTCTTTCAGCAGGATTTTCAAACTTTCTGCTGTAATTGTCTGAGTTACACTGTGGTATTTCAAAATAAGCCTCACCTCTACTCTGCTAGACTCAAGTGGGAGAATTCCTCGGAGATAATGATCGCTTCAATAAAGAGGTGATGTACGCCTACGTGGATCAAATGGACTTCCAGGGCAAAGACTTTGTTTCTGCACTACGTATGTTCCTCGAGGGCTTCAGGCTCCCTGGAGAGGCCCAGAAGATCGACCGGCTCATGGAGAAATTTGCTGCAAGATATCTTGAATGCAATCAGGGGTGAGTTTACTTCCCTTTTTTTGAATATTTTGACATTAAAAGTAGGGCCGGGCGATATTGCTTCTAATGAATATAAAGATATATTGAGGAGTTCACCTCAATAACAATAAATGGACGATAACTACTCCACAAGCTGCTCACCCCCTCCTACATTAACTTCGTCTGCCTCAGCCGCCGTTACAACTTTTGAACCGTCCTCCATCTCCTCACCTGTCTTTCCCTCTTTGTTATGGACTGGATGGGGTGGAGTCATGCCTCTGACATAGGACAGCATCTTCAAGAGACATGAGACCATAGCCTACCTACACACATCCAAAACCAACTTTTATTACCTCCGCCAAGGAGGTTATGTTTTCGGTAGCGTTGGTTTGTTTGTCTGTTAGCAACTTTACGGAGAAAGTTGCGTTAAGTTTTGCATTTAACTCTCTAAAAATGGCCAGAGTCTTTAGTAAAAAATGACACAAAAGGATCTCAATGAGTTTTATGAGGTGTCAAAGGTTGATCCTGATCCAGACAAAATTCCGGATACTGTGATCCAGAACACACAAAAATAAGGGTGTCGTTGGAATTTTCAATGCTGAAAGATAACCAGTGGGCGGTACAGTGGTGTAGTGGTTAGCACTGTCGCCTCACAGCAAGAAGGTCCTGGGTTTGAATCCGGGTCAGGGCATTTCTTGTTTTAGGAACATTATGAACAGTGAACATACCAGTTTAAACACAAATAAACATTAATAAAAGACACATAACAGTAAAAGTTTTGCTGTGAATCACAATATAAGGGGGGGACATGAGCTGCTTGGTGGAGGTCTGCGCTCTCCGAGTGCTTTTCTAGTTTGTTTATTTTTTTGAGACAAAAATATTGACATGGGCAAAATGGGGTCCGTTATAGTCGAAAATATTGGTATCGATAAATTTTCGGTTTATCGCCCAGCCCTTATTAAAAGAGCTAAGTCTGAATTTTTGTGGCCCATGTTTGTGTTTCACTTCATGCAATCTGTCTTTCCCTTTCCTCTTGTTCTCTTCAATTTTCAGGCAAACCCTCTTTGCCAGTGCTGACACCGCGTACGTCCTTGCCTACTCAATCATTATGTTGACAACAGACCTTCACAGTCCACAGGTAAGCGCTTCACCTCAACAAGGAAAACCTCTTTTGGGAAAACATTATTGCGGCTGTCATTCCCCCAGACCAGCAGCTTCTGACCCCCCATCCTTGTCGTTGTCTGCTTAGGTGAAGAATAAGATGACAAAAGAGCAATATATCAAGATGAACCGAGGCATCAACGACAGCAAAGACCTACCTGAGGAATACCTCTCAGCCATCTATGACGAGATCGCGGGGAAAAAGATCGCAATGAAGGAGACGAAAGAGCTCACCATGAAGTCCAACAAGCAGAGTGAGTCTCGCTGCTAAGGGAGGTCTCAGAGATATATATATATAAACAAATATGACAGTTTGACAGCACCATCTCCACAGAAATGAAAAACAGACGGTAGAGAACTCTTTGGAATATAAAGTTTTGGAAAGAAATAATGCAGAGTGTTTCAGATTATTTTGATTTTATGCAAAAAAAGACAAACACTGAAAAGCTTTAGATGGAGACACAAAGGGTTGAGAATTGGGTGGATATAATACAGGATACACACAATGAGAAAATTGAAATTCTCTGCCATGTTGGAACTGGACAAACGGACAAAAGAGGATCCTTTATGAAGTTCAGAGCAGCCTATTACTGAGATAGGGTGCAGCTTATCTATGTGCAGCATCTGAAAAAGCCAGTACTGTGTTTGGAAAAGCTCAGACTGTGTTTTTGTTCGTGCTTTGCTCCTCATTCAGGTGTGGCCAGTGAGAAGCAGAGGCGTTTGTTGTACAACGTGGAGATGGAGCAGATGGCTAAGACAGCAAAGGCTCTGATGGAGGCTGTCAGTCACGTCCAGGCTCCCTTCACCAGCGCCACACATCTGGAACACGTCAGGCCCATGTTCAAGGTAGACAGGCGGACACACACACACACACACACACACACTCACTATTTAGTTTTGCTCTTCTGCTCATCTGTCTGTTTTTTCCTCAGCTGGCATGGACCCCCTTCCTGGCTGCTTTCAGCGTGGGGCTTCAGGACTGTGATGACACTGAGGTGGCCTCGCTGTGTCTCGAGGGAATCCGCTGTGCCATCAGGATAGCGTGCATCTTCTCCATCCAGGTACTGCGGTCTAAACTAGCAGAGAGTTGTCTTGCTGCTTCAGATGTCGTACATCATTCTGACACACTGCCTTGTATCTGCAACAGCTGGAGAGAGATGCATATGTGCAGGCCCTGGCGAGATTCACCCTGCTGACCGCCAGCTCCGGCATCGCAGAAATGAAGCAGAAGAACATTGACACCATCAAGACCCTCATCACGGTCGCTCACACCGATGGCAACTACCTGGGCAACTCCTGGCATGAGGTTTGAGATCTCATTTCACTAAAAACTATCCCTCATTTGCTGTTTTTCCTCACAAGACCGTTCACTGTATCATCTCATCTTATCCGTCCTCCTCATCTCTTCCTGTGCTGATTCAAGCAGTGAACCACAATTGGCTTTATTCCTGATGGGATTAATGTTTTTTAAGAACAACATGAAACAAGCAAGAGCAGTCTCCTGTGGGTAACCGCTTTAAAAAGGAGTCTAAAAACAACAACACTGTGTTAAAATGATGCAGCGTTTGTTACTCTCTGGATAAGCAGTAAAGATTTGCAGCTGTAGCTTCCTGGAATAGATGCCTCACCCCAGATGACCTATTTGAAATCTAGTGTTTTCTGAAGATGAAAAATCACGCAGTCAGAAGACTTTTTTTTATGCCACATACTCCAATCTAATGTTTTGACTCAGTTTTCGTTTGTTTTGTTTATTTCCTAACTCATGTCATGTTTCTGTCTCGTGTGCTCCTTTTCCTCTGACAGATTATGAAGTGCATTAGTCAGCTGGAGCTGGCTCAGCTGATCGGTACGGGGGTGAAGGCACGCTATATCTCAGGGACGGTGCGAGGCAAAGAGGGCTTCGTGACAAGTACAAAGGAGCAGAACAGCGATGAGTATCTTGGACTCGGTCAGCATGACTTCATTACTACAGTGAATTAGCCCAAACTACAATGACTTCTAACTGTGATGCACATCCTTAGACTCCTAACCTCTTTATTTGTTTTGCTCTGTAGTTGGAGGGACTGTGGATAGAAAGCAGATTGCCAGCATTCAGGAGTCCATCGGAGAGACCAGCTCCCAGAGTGTAGTGGTGGCTGTCGACAGGTACCGCAGACGTCAGGAATTCATTAATTCGAATTCATTAGGCGTACAGGGAGATGGTTTCTCACTTTTGTGAACTGACATTTTAAGATTTATTATGAATCCAAAACCAATTTTAGCGCATGTGTCTCTTTGGGTTACTAATTGACAGAATTTTGGTTCTTCCTGACTTTTCTCCAAACTGTTTTATTTCAGCTCTGTAACTTCTGACCTACCTGCAGTCGTATATTTCAAAATAAAAGCACACAGTTACAATGCAGGAAATGAAGCAATTAAACAGTGAAGTACATCAAAATAACAGCATGACAAACAATTGTTTTATGAGGCATTGTCTTCTCCAGAGAAACTTCAGTCACAGAGCCACTGATGTGGATAAATCCCTAATTTGAAATTTAATTTAATTTAATTTATTTTCCATTAACATCATGATAATATTGTTAGATTATATGTTATTACCACCACAATCATGAGGTGAAAGTCTTATATCATGACAGTCCTGTGACAAACAGATGCCGCAAGAGTAAAGATAAAGCTCAGAATATTTAAATATCAGTACATTTTAGTGCACCTTTGTTTAATCACTTTTACTTCTTGATTTATGTTCATTTTCTCGCTCTTTTATTTCTGTGCCTCAAGCTGTACTTCCAACATCCGCCTGATTTAATTTTAGGGTTATGGTACTAAAGTCGTTTCCAGCTTTTAGATGCAGATAGAAAGGATAGACAGAAATGTTTTGTACATTATGCAGAGTTTCACTGAACAGATTGTACTTTTTTCTTTTTGAATTGTTAAAATATATTGATGAGGAGAAAACCTTGACATCTGCTTTCACTCTGAGTTTTTAAAGTCATATTTAATGATAAATTTCCAACTCAGTGCAGCACACTCAGTCTGTTTTTTATTGACATGTATTTTTCCCCTTGCAGAATATTCACTGGTTCTACCAGACTGGACGGCAATGCAATAGGTGAGTGAAGTTTTTGGCGCTTCATGCTGTTGTGTTCTTCTTTTTACAGCGAGGACAGGTGCATTCAGGCTATTTCTGATCACTGTGACTCACTTTGCCTGAACAAAGCAATCTTTTCTTCTCTTATTGGAAACGTCTTGTCTATTTTTTTTTTTCAGTTGATTTCGTGCGCTGGCTGTGTGCTGTGTCCATGGATGAGCTGGCCTCGCCCACACACCCACGTATGTTCAGCCTGCAAAAAATAGTGGAGATCTCCTACTACAACATGGGCCGCATTAGGCTGCAGTGGTCCAGGATCTGGGAGGTTATTGGAGACCATTTCAACAAGGTGGGTGAGGATTCTGGAGATGTAATGCCATGAAGCTGAACCGTATTTTTAAGAAATAAAAAAAACAGTGTAGATATAGATTTATTTATGTCTAATAGGTAGGATACTTTACAACCTTATAAGCTGTGAATCTTGAGGATTATCTTCCCCCGTTTAGAAGAGACTGAATAAGCAGCAAGAAAATTTTTATTTCTCACCTACTTTCTGTTTTTTTTTACTGAAAGATGACTACACTCTCTAAAAACCAAAGAGAAGTTGTCAGGGAAGCTTTTTACTAGTGTGATTTTCAAGGAGAAATGTCAGACTGGCACTTTTCACCAAGTAGCTCAAATCTGAATGGAACGGCAATGATGAAGTGAATCCTTTCAAAAAATCATCTTTAATCATGTTGAAGTAAACAAAACAAAGCACTCCTTCTATCTAGAGGGGTTTAGGTCACCTGTTGGATCTAAAAACTTGCAAAAGATAAAAAGTTCAAAGAAAAAAATTGTGTTTGTCTTTTTGCGCAGGTTGGCTGTAACACAAATGAAGACGTGGCGATCTTCGCTGTGGACTCTCTCAGACAGCTGTCCATGAAGTTTCTGGAGAAGGGAGAGTTGGCCAACTTTAGATTCCAGAAAGATTTTCTACGACCTTTTGAGCACATCATGAAAAAGAACAGGTAGAGAGACAACAATGTACAGGATGATGTATTGTGAGCAGGTGGTTAAATGGAGAAACATCACAGTGCAGATCTGTAGTATTGGCCCACACACTCACTCGCAGTAGTTACTATTTCTAGGCTGTTTCGCCTCTCCACCTCTGTATCAGCTCATCTGCTCTTCAAGCTCCTTCTCTCCGTCTTGGTCTCTCTCTCTCTCTCTCTCTCTCTCTCTCCTCTTTATCTTTCTTAAAGCAGTGAGTAAGCATGTTGTCTAGTTTTTGGCTCAAAAAAGCAGCAGGCAAACATTTGAGTGACCCATTTCAGTCTGTTTGCATTATGCCTTTCAGTGAATTCATGTAAAAGCTTTTTTCTCCACCCCCCCTCCTTGCTCTTTCCTAGACGTTTTTGAATGAATTTGAGCAGCTTTCAGTTTTAAATGAGTTTGAATCTGGCTCGTGTAAATGTCTGCGTGCAGCACGTCAAAAGGCAAGCTGTTTCACTGCAGCACCCTTTTTTTCATTCATGTGAAAGAGAAGTAGCAGTGTAAGTATAAATCCACCCACAGACTGAACAGGCTGAGAGCTTCCACAGAGAGGAGATGGCAGGCAGCCATGTAAACCCTGCAGCGCAGTGTGTCCATTAGACTCTCTCATGCTGCCTTCCTCTGTGCGGTTTGTGTGTGTGTGTAGCTGTGTGTGCAAAACTAAATGGAGGCAGAGTTTTTCTCTCATTCACAACTACAGAGCAATTAGGAAAGCTCTTCACTATGGCAACAGTTGCTGCAAAAATCTGTTGTGCAGAGAATAGCCAGAGTTGGGAGAATAAATCTGACTGAGAATGAAACTGAGGATGTTTAAAAAAACCTTTCAAAGATGATTGACACTCATAAAGAGGTCACTTTTGTTCTTTTTCAACTAACTTGCCTCACCTCACCCTTCCTAGTGCTTCTCTTTCTAGTTTTTTTTCCACTTAAATATGTTTTTAATCCCTGTTTTCTCCTTCTCTTCTTGAGTGAATGAGTGTTCTATTGCGAACATGCAATAAATAATCAAAACAGAATATAGGACGTAACCAAACACATGCACACCATAAATAAAAGAAAAACAAAGACTGCTGGCAACAACCTGCATGTGTAGCCGAGGAAAGGAGTAGGAAGAAGTTTACACTACTTTAATCCTACCCCTTTAATCAACAGTTCCTATAGTGATATTTTAATATACACATATACATAAACATCATACACGTCTATACATAAATATATGTATACTATACTTACAAATACATACACAAACATATACCACAATATGTGCACATATATCTACATATACACAGTTTGTTTTTTATAACTGCCATTACCACCCTGGGTCAAACTACTGCTTTTCATACCTATATTTGTTTAATAGTTGTGCTTTGAATATTCTTTTGTTCCATAATTTAACTCATTTGTCTCACATCCAGATCTCCCACCATCAGAGACATGGTCGTCCGCTGTATAGCCCAGATGGTTAACTCCCAGGCAGCAAACATCCGCTCAGGCTGGAAGAACATTTTCTCTGTCTTCCACCTGGCTGCTTCGGACCAGGATGAGAGTATCGTAGAGCTGGCCTTTCAGACCACCGGACACATCGTCAGTAAGTCCAGCGCACACTGACACACATGGTTGCAGTAGTAGTCCTGTGTTTGTAGTTTGTGAGAGGCAGAGAGTGCTTAAGGGGGATACATTTGTCTCCATCTTTCTTCACATCTGTCTTCATCTACCCCTTTACTCTTCTGCTGTCTTCTCTTTCTATCCGTCTCCCAGCGAATGTATTTGAAAAGCACTTTGCGGCCACCATCGACTCCTTCCAGGATGCTGTTAAGTGTCTGTCCGAGTTTGCCTGTAATGCCTCCTTCCCGGACACCAGCATGGAAGCCATCCGCCTCATCCGCCACTGCGCCAAATATGTGTCCGAGAGACCACAGGTTAGCGTCAGAACAAACAAATTCTGTGTATTTAAACGCCCAAACTGTGAATTTTATTCCGTAGTGGATGAATGAACAATGAATATTGTTGAAAGAGTATATGTGTGCAGCTAAAAACGCTCGGAGCAAAGCTTTCGCTGTCATTAATTTCTCGCCTTTGACATCATAAAATCCATGCATCAAGAGAGCGTAAAAACACTGTGTGGTTATAATTCATGCAAGAACATGGACACCATTCATGCAAATGTGTTTCAGAGCTAAGCAGGAAAATTCTCCCCCGAGGCAGATGGTACAGTGTTTCTTGTTTGTCTGGCAGGCCTTCAAAGACTACACCAGTGATGACATGAATGTAGCGCCTGAGGACCGAGTGTGGGTGCGGGGGTGGTTCCCCATCCTCTTTGAGCTCTCCTGCATCATCAACAGGTGTAAGCTGGATGTCAGGACCAGGTAGGAGGGGTTTACTGTGAGCCTTACACTGCAGGCCTCAGATAGTTAGCATCATCAAAGACCTAAAAGTTGACATTTCAGCTCCCTTTTTTGTTGGACATACAATATCGTCAGGATAGAGAAGGTTTCGAAGCATGTAATAATAAAGCAAATGTCAGCTCTCGCAACTCTGAAAGGCCAAATTTGTGTGTGTGTGTGTTTCCTTTCCTCAGGGGGCTGACGGTAATGTTTGAAGTAATGAAGACATACGGGCACACGTTTGAGAAACACTGGTGGCAAGACTTATTCAGGATTGTCTTCAGGATCTTTGACAACATGAAGCTGCCGGAGCAACAGACTGAGGTGCACAGCAAAACACCTTTTCATATCTGCTTTTATTTAGTGTTGGAGAGAGAAGCAAGTGGAAAATATCTCACCAAACTTGTTTTGAACCCTCAGAAAGCAGAGTGGATGACCACCACCTGCAACCATGCACTTTATGCCATCTGTGACGTCTTCACCCAATACTTTGAGTCCCTCAGTGACGTCCTGCTGGATGATATTCTCGCTCAGCTCTACTGGTGTGTGCAGCAAGGTAAGCAGAATACATGTTATAACCTCCTCCTGTCTGTGTCCTTGCTTTTGTTTTACTCTAAATGTCTGATAAATGAAATTCAGGGTTGTGAAATCTTGAGATCTGGTTTTGTGTGTGGTGGTATGATCCAGATTAGAGCCTTTTAAGTGCAGCACCAATACAAGTTCTGCTTATAAAAAAGATGAAGGTCAAGCAAATGTGTTTCACATTTTTAGTTTTATTTTAAGTTTATAAAAGGCATAAATCTCAGCGGACTCTAAACTCCGCTTTTTTGTCTCCCCCTCCTCCTCCTCCTCCTCCTCCTCCTCCTCATCCTCCTCATCTGTGCCCCTGAAGATAATGAGCAACTTGCCCGTTCAGGCACAAACTGTCTGGAGAATGTGGTCATCTTGAACGGGGAGAAATTCTCCCTTGAGACCTGGGACAAGACGTGTAACTGCATGCTGGACATCTTCAAGACCACCATCCCACACGCGTAAGCTCTAAACCACTGTCGATAACAACCAGCTGTAGACAAAGTCAGAAGAATAATTTCGACGTGAGCTGCATCACTCTCTACTTATTAAAGCAAAGCAAACTGACTTTTGAGGAAATTCATTATCAGTCAGCAAACACTCAACATGGCGTGGAGGATGTCCGAGCTCAGACCATTTTCTAGCCTGTTGTTTTTCATTCTGTCTAAGACTGAATGTGATTTACTGAGTAAACTGTTTTTCAGGCTGTTAACATGGAGACCAGCAGGAGCGGAGGGAGAACACTTGACAACACAGAGCCTGTCAGACAAACAGCTGGTGAGAAAAATCATTACTTTTCTCAATAGCATTCACTCTTTGCCGTATTTGTTAATTCTGTTTGCATATTGCTTTGACAGTTTTTATTTCCAAGACTGAAAATGTTTTCCTCTGTTAGACAGACATCTTTTCTTTTACATAATTAATGTTCCTGTACTGTGTTAGCCAACTTTAAAGCACTCTTTCTATTGTGATTCTTCTCAGGACTCCATTTCCCAGAAGTCTGTGGATATTCAGTCTCGCTCTGACGACCAGCACTCTATCAGCAGTTCCGACAGGGTCACCATGGAGAGCCGTCGGCAGAGTCAGTATGGTTCAGCCTCAGGCATGTTGGAGGACGGCTCCAGGAGCAGGACCCCAACAAGTGAGCCTGTCACTTTAAACAAAGACTCACAAATTATGAGTGTGTGTGTTTTTGTGTTCTGATGGTCGTCTGTCTGTGTGTTTCCCACAGAGGTTCAAGAGCAGCGTTTGTTCGCGGCTCTGCTGATAAAGTGTGTGGTGCAGCTGGAGCTCATCCAGACGATTGATAACATCGTGTTTTTCCCTGCAACCAGTAGAAAGGAGGATGCTGAGAACTTCGCTGCAGCTCAGGTACGAACAAAAGAACCATATTTCTAATGTTGGTCTGAGTTAACATTTCAAACATCTCCTCTACTTGGATCTACTTTTTCATCATTCTGCGCTGCAAGACTAAAGATGAAAACACTCTTGTGTCTGTGTAAAGCGAGATGCAGCGTATGCAGCAGACGTCCAGGTGGAGACCCAGGACCAGGGCATGTACCGCTACCTGACCTCAGAGCAGCTCTTCAAGCTGTTGGACTGCCTGCTGGAGTCACACCGCTTCGCCAAGGCCTTCAACTCCAACAATGAGCAGAGGACTTTACTGTGGAAAGCAGGTAAGGCAAAAATGAGTCAGACTGTGATAGGCACTCTACCTACAGTTGTGGTTCGGGTAGTGGTACAGAAATATTTTTAAGAGCCGTGAGTTAAACTGCGTCCATCTGTTTGTGTCTGTGTTCAAGGTTTCAAAGGAAAGTCAAAGCCCAACCTGTTGAAGCAGGAAACAAGCAGCCTGGCGTGTGGCCTGCGCATCTTATTCCGCATGTACACGGACAAGAGCAGACAGAACGCCTGGGAGGAGGTCCAGAGACGGCTGCTCAAGTAAGGAATACTCATGCGATGCTTCTCTGTTCCTCTGAAACAGCTGATGGAGTAAAATCCTACAAACTCATCCACCTCCAGTGACATCAAATATGACTCTCATCTTGTGGAGGGTACTTAAAGGGATATTCCGGAATAAAATTAAGTTAGGGTCAAACACAATGTAACACCGAGTTAGACACCCCCTCGAGAGATGAATGTAACCGACCGCTTGCTTCTCTAGTTATACCAACTTTAGTCTGAGGAGCCATAAACAAACCTCAACCAAAACGCCACTCTACAGCCACAAATGTGGGGTGACGCAGCTCAAGGAAGAACATTTATGATCATTTATTCATGGAAAGGCAATCAGACCGAGACACTAAGGCAGAAGAACTACCGCATCTGCAGTGCAAAATGATTAATATGATGATTATTACTTAAAGGAAATGATAAAGAAATGATCATAAATGTTCTTCCTTGAGCTGCGTCACCCCGCAGCAGTCAATGGACTCGCCCGGAGGTCTCGCTACAAACAAGCGGCTGCTAGAAGAGAGTAGAAGAGTTATGTTTAGTCTCTTGGCTAAAGAAATCAGGCCAAGTTAAAAAGATATTTGGTGTCTAGTACTGTGGCTAGGACCCTATATGTACTGTTGATAAAGTTAGGTGCTGTTCTGAGCATTATTTATGGCTATAGAGTGGCGTTTTGGTTGAGGTTTGTTTATGGCTCCTCAGACTGCTGTGTATTGCTATCGTGTGGTGGTTACTAAAGTTTGTATAACTAGAGAAGCAAGCAGTCGGCAACATTTATCTCTTGAGGGGGTGTCTAACTCGGTGTTACGGTGTGTTTGACCCTAAATTAATTTTACGCCACAGATGCGATTAGATAAAAAAGGGTACTTCCTTTCAGTTTTGGTGCATGGCCCATACACAGAGGTTGTGATCCTCACGCAGAGTGCCTGAGTTTGATTCCAGTCTGTTGCTTCTTTCCTTCACATTACTCCAGGCTCTCTCTCCCAATTTCCAGCCTTATTTGCTGTCCAAAAAGCTCCAAAACAAATCATTTTCTAAAATCGCTTAGATAAAAATGCCATCACTTCTTCAATTTCTTCCATTACTTTCTACCCCACTGTTTTCCAAACTTGATAATAAACACTAGATGAGGATAAAGAGGGTGGGGCTGCTGTGTGCAGTGTTGTCATATGGTAGGTTCATGACAGCTCCTCAGTCAGCTCCTTTCCTATCTGTTTTTTTTTTTTTTTTCTGGCGCATGACGATCATTATTTCACTCCGCCCTTCTTTTCGTTGTTCGTGAGTACATAAATATGCGCTCCGAGCTGAGGGGCATTTTATCGGTCATGACACGGCTAAACCCAAATCCTCTCTCACACATTCACTCTCACCCTCCAACGTGTTAATATAAAAATCACGCCGCTCCAGGCGGAACTGTCAGTACTGACCTCATAGGAAGGAGAAAATAAAACGAGCGTGTGAGGAGAAGAAAAAGAAGAAGAAGAGGAGGATGATTTGATGTCACTATCAGCACACACAGCAGAGAAATACACACACTGGGTAGTTCTCCGATACAGACGTCGTATGCTGTAAGGAATGAGCGCACTGATGTTTCATTGTTCACTCAGCACTGCTGTCATCCCTGCGTCTTTATCCAGAGTCTCACAAACAGCCCTCACCCTTTTTTTTTCTCCCCCTGCTATCTCACCCTGAGATCAATGATAATATCAGGATAAAGCAGAGCCATTGTCTGTCTCCACCACTTGCATTCATTATTACAGGGAAGATTATAAAAAGAACCTGAAGGAAGGGTGAGGATAACGACCCAGAAATCCTAACTTGTGCAGACGTTTTGTGTCATCATGCCTTTCTTTTTATTTCTGTCATTTTTTTCCTCAAACATACGCCATCCTGTCATCCAAGAGCAGAACAGGCACACGTTTTCATCCATGAATTACACACACACACACACACACACACACACATTACTGGAGGCTCTGTGCCAGGGTTGATTAGCACAGGGTGCAAAGCAGATTTTAGAGACGGTTAGGTCACCGTGAGGTGGAGGAAAATGGAGCTGTGAAGGTAAAGGAGGTGGAGGAGAGAGGGAGGGGAAGAGGTGGCTAACAGATGGTGTGATGTCAGAGGAGAGCTGCAGGGTCGGAGAAGAGAGGTCAGAGGTCGTACGGGTTGTTATCAAGCTCAGACTGGAGGAAAAATCCGAGTTTTTTTGTTTGTTTGTTTGTCGTAGCTTCATTCAGTGACTTTAATTAGCAGATGCTGAGCAAAGGCGGTCTGTCTGCATCACAGTCCAGCAGTTTAGCATGTGATAAATGAGGCGGGGAGGCAGATGCTTCAATACAGCAACACCTCACTGAACCACAAGACAACCAAGGGATTTATCTTTATTTATTTGTCCTTCAATGCTTTTTTGTTCACAGTCAATTTAAGGCTCTTCTTTAATTTTGTCTCTGTTTGTTTGTTTTTTTTGTGCAGTGTGTGCAGTGAGGCTGTAGCATACTTCTTGGCTCTGACCTCAGAGAGTCACAGAGAGGCCTGGACCAACCTGCTGCTGCTCTTCCTCACCAAAGTGCTGAAGATCAGTGACGAAAGGGTAAAAAGACAAATCTCTTGGCGCTATTCCTGACCTAACGGGTGTGCAAAACTGTGTGTGTGGGCGTCCATGATGTTTTACAGTGAGGTCTGAAACACAAAAGTATCAGCTCAGGTAGCTTTATCAAAACACACTGGAGCAGATCGGTCTCATTGGCAGCCGGTTTTTAACACTTTCAGGCTGTTTAAATGAAAAAAAGAGGGATTCAAAATATCTTGATCAGTTTGGAGTCGCCTCCTGCAATTTTAAGTCCTTACAGGAGTTCATTTCTCTTTATTACACACTATTTCTCTATTACTCTTAAATTACTTTATTTACTTTTAAAGATCAGCATTTTATTGGGAGGCTGTTTAGTCTGTTTGTGAGTCATTTCTTTTATTAACCACAGAAAATCACAGTCTTTTTAAAGTTTTGACTCAAGCTGAGAGAATTGAAGAGAGTTAAACTGAATAAAAAGGATGTTAAAGCACTATTGTGTTTATTTCACAACAATATAATAAGCTTTGGATGATGCATTCAACTCTAGAAGCCTAAAGTAGGTAAAGCTAAAAACCCGGTCTCTCTGCACTCTACCTTTGACCAATTTTACCTTTTGAAATGTCGTCAACTAGCCTTGCTTCAGATATCATGTCATAGTTCTGCGCACTAGTGTTACAGCGACATGTTTTTTGTACCAGTGTTATGACAACACGGAGGAAAAGCCTTCAGTATCAGCACTTTTGGTTTGTCATTGTCACTTCCTCACCGACCAATCAAAATGAAGAAAATTCGAGACTGTGGCTAAAAGGAAACCAAACAGCCTGTTTTTTTTTAAGGTTATAGTTTCTAGGTCGTTTCTTTGCTTGTCATTTTTTACTGTTTCTTTGTAGCATTACCTTGAACAAAACTTTAATCATGAAGAGCATTTTGAACCGATTTGACAGTCAGTACTGAGGAGAAAGAGAAAGACAAGTGCTGTGAAACAATGTTTATAACCTAGCAACTGTAAGCGCTGGTTCAAAGCGGTCTGAATTTCAGGTTGCTTGCGGCGAAAAACAGGGAGTTGACGGTGAACAGACTCTTAAATAACAAAAAGAGATTAGAAGAGAGTGATGCTGTTTTCAACTTATGTCTGTTTTGTATCTTATAATAAGCAAATAAATCAGATTTTAGTTTCATAATCCTGTTTTCCATTGGTTTGTCTCTCATGCTCTTTGTCTGTCTGTCCTTCAGTTTAAGGCCCATGCGTCCAGGTACTACCCTCTGCTCTGTGAGATCATGCAGTTCGACTTGATCCCTGAGCTCCGGGCTGTTCTGAGGAAGTTCTTCCTGCGTATTGGCCTTGTGTTCCACATTGCACAGCTGCCTGAGCCTGAAGCAGAGCCTCAGCCAGCCTGTGTCTCACAAGAGGTGGATGCAGAGGTGGCAGAGATGGCAGAGGACGCTGGGGAGGAGGCCCAGTGATGCTGCACCACAGACAGCCTGGAACACAGAGCTCCTGTGCAGGTCCCTCCACGTGGTTTATTCTGAAAAACTTGACTTTAATAGCTGATTACAAATTGGCTGATTGGTACCACCCACCCACACCCTTAACCCTGTCACAAGACACAAACGCAGACACACACCTACACACACTAACAACCCAGACGGAGAACACAATATCACATTGAATCAGTGAGGTCTTGTAAAAGGTGTAGCAATGCCTCCACTGGAAAAAACTACTGATAAACAGCTGACAGTTATCATATCTGATCTGCTCAGACAGAACCTGTTTGTGCTTCTTACTGTATATTTAAAAAGTTAAGAGAGGTTTCAGCAACATGCAAAAGGACATACTGAGTAACTATGAAATGTGACACACATTGATAGTGATGATCTTTCTGTCTGCACAGCAGATGGCTAACATTAGCATTGATAGCCTCTACTAGTTGTACAGATCTGCCGCTGTGTAATATAATCTTATAACACTAGATTTCATTTATTTTTGTTTATTGTTTTCCTCCTCTGGATTTGCTGCACTTGATCTCTTTTTGAATGCACTGGAGATGTTACTTTTGTGATAATTTATTTGACCGTACCATCTCCTGCAGATTGTCCTATACAGTATGATTTGTAATTGAGCAAGACCACGGAAAGTGAAGGGTTAAATTATTCCATTTTATATGTTCTTAGGTTTTTAAAGGAGAGACAGTGAATGATAACTGGGCTTCTGAAACTGGACGATAGGAGAATGACCTGATTCTAGCTGCTTTCGACTCACTAGTCTGTTTTATGTTTAGTTTTCACTTGTGTACAAAATCAAAAGTTAATAATATATTTAATGTTTTGTTTTTTTCTTTGGTTTGGGGAAAAGTTATATGTATAGAGAAAAAGACAGACGTTAGCTGTGCTTTAAGAATGAATGGGATGCGTTCCTGCTCATGGATGTAGAAAACAAAATGTATATGATACAGCAATGTAAAGTTTTCTATGTTGCAAAAAAGATTATGTACAACTTTCTGTACAAAACATCATCTGGCATTCTAATCAGGTTCTAGGTCAATAAAGTTTTTGAACTTGGTTGATTTGAAAAGCTGAATCACTGACTTCTAAATGGTTGAATTGCAGTCCTTTTATTGATCTCCACAGATGATGAGCCAGACCAATAAGATTATTTTAAATTTGTTTTACACATCAATTGTAGTATCTATGAGCTACAACATGAGGTCAAAAACCTAGCATTATGGTCAACTTACCCCATACACGGGGTAACTTGACCATAGGAAACGACTTTTTTTTGGCATGTTATATTATCAAGACAGTTATGTTTACACTCATTCTGTTGGTTTGCAGGGATGAACAACATCTTGAAATATATGCAGATACACTAGTTAGAGACAAAACTATGATTGCCTTGATGTAGTGATCTGAAATATGAAAAATGGCTCATCTTACCCCACTCTCCCCTATTCATGGAACATCCACACATGTGCTTCTTATAAATCTTCATTGACTACATCTTAAACGTAGGTTTTAAAGTGCACTTTCATACAGAGAGGAAACAGCCGAGTATAATGGAAGACATTTTCACTGTCAGATTCTGGTCTCTAAAAGCCATGAAAGCTTCATTATCTGGCCAAATCCCACAGCAATCTTCAGTCTGTATCCCAAAGAAGGACAATCAGTCAAAGAACCTGCTCCACTTGATGCTGTTTCCCATCTTTCAAACCAGCCAATGAAGCTATGTGAGGCGCTTTGTCAGCCAGGGCAGAGTTTCCATCCTGCTGTTTTGCCTCTGTTTCACAGCATCTGATGTGCCCGGTCGCAGCCAGGCCTCCGTGGCAACAGTGCCCACGGATACAGGCCTCCCAAGGGCAGAGCTTAGAGATAAGACATCAGCTTCATCTCCAGACAGCCACCCTGGAGGGGACAGAAGGTTATCTATCTATCACACATTTCTTCAGGCATGAAAGGATGCTTTAAATTCAGCATATGTGTAATTAATTCAAGGTGGAGTAACTTCCAGTTCATGTTTTTCTGAGGTAATAGTTAACATCTGCTTTACTTGGATGACAAAGCTGCATAAAGATACTCAAGCTGGGGTCTATAAAAATGACAGTTTGTCTGATGTATGTTTCCTCCTCTCACCTGTGTCAGTATGTTGCCTTGGCATGTGTTGTTGTTCACAGGGTTCGTTCCCATATTCAAGGTTTTTATTAGTCCCCCGCGCAGACTGACAGCCCCTCTGATCTATAGGGTCAGCTACCCCCTGAGCAAATGAAAACAACAGCAAACAACATTTTACTTTACAACTAACAAAAACACATTTCAACGGATAATGCTGCATTAGCTCCTGAGCACTGTACTATATCATCACGTCTCCTCCGTGTTGCTGTCCTCTCTCTGGACTCTGCTGGTGTCTGACGTCTCTGCTTTTGAATCTGCTCTTCGCCTGCGCCCCCACCACTGTAAACATCTGACAAGACCAGACAGATATCAGAGGCCTCAAACTTCCCTTGAGGCAAAACAAAAATTAAAATCTCTACATTTGGCAAATCCTTTGTCGAGAAGCCTTGGGATGAAAAGGATAGAGGGGGGAACTATTCAAAAGCCTCCCTTCTTGCACCAGGCTTTGTAGCTATTTCTCTGCTGCCCCCCCTCTCCTGGCGGCTGGCACTGGGCTATCACCACCCTGCAGCTGGTCTGTGAGCCTTGCACCCAGCACTGGCAGCAGCTGCAGCACAGAGACCAGGGCTGGCATGTGTTACAGTTATCCTGGCACGGACACAAAGAGCTAAATTAGCCTGGCAGAGAGGCTGGTCTGGTGTGGTATTGTGACTGTGTATGTTGCTGACCTCCCGAGCCATGTCACCTTTGTGGGGAATGATTGAAGCCTCAGACAAAAGAAGCTTGAGGCACATTTTGTTCAAAATGTTAACACTATTTTCATACTTGAAAAAGGACAGGAACAGAGGCTCTGTTTGGCCAGGCTTACCAGTAAAAACACTCTGAGATGGCAAAATGTCGTCTCTGTGGATGTATTGCTCAGGCTTGTTCTTTTGAGAGAAGAATTACACATAACAGGCACAAATTAATAAGAAAACCAAACTGCTATATGTTTCAACAAGATAGTCCTGATAATAATGCATATTTAAATTGTGAGAATCACTTACAGGATGATAAAAGTTCATGCCCTGGTCCAGAGAGTCTGCATTTAAACACATTTATTATTAGTAAAAAGCTTCACAGTCCGGGGGGAAATACTGTGCTGTCACTCACCGTGCACATGCTCTCCCCCCATGAGCCTGATTTTACGCTTCTGTTCACGAAGAAGTGCCTGCTGTTGGATGTCCAGACTGTGTGCATCAGTGGGAGGGTCAGGGTACATGTGACAAAGATCCTCCCGAGATGCTGTGTCTGAAAAATAGAGGATTGTGCACTTGTATGACGTAATAACAGCATTAATGTAAAAGCTAGAACAATTCTACTCAGCTGCTCACACTAAAGAAAAACCCGAACTTTTCCCTTTTCTGTCTACAGTAGTTTTCTTCCCTGAAAAAGCGCTCTTGCCTGTGACTCAGCAGCCCTGCAGACTGCTTACATCCTATTGAGATCTGAATGAGCGAAATTAATTTAATAGAATTTAGCTTTCAGATGTTAGCTTGGCGTAAAGCCAAACTAAATATGTGGAGGTTTGATTAGTGATTTTGTTAATTGGTCACAAAGTAGCATTTCTTCTTATTTTGTTGGTTTAACAAGCTGCAGCTCTGCAGAAACTCGGTCTGGGAAACCGTCCAAAGCCATTTCCTTGGTCGCTCGCAATAAATTCTCTGTTTATGCTGCCAAGAGGGCCGTCGCTGATTGAGGCCTCCCATGACCCCATGAGATTAAAGTTTGAGTGTAGCTCGAGGGAGACAGGAATGATGATGCGCCGCAAAGTCCAAACCAGTGATCCTCATCATGTCTATACATTCGCACCATGACTGAGGCCATTATGGGAGAGCTTTTTCACTCGTTTTCTCAAGGTTGGAGTTCAGAGTCCAGGCGCAGAGTAAGCAGCGTCCAATTAGTTTCAGTTAAATGGAATAAACCAATTCGTCATGAGAGGATGACACACACTTCACTGCTTTTATTTAAGCGTTACAAGTCAGATGAAGCAATATCCCTCTCTTACAAAAAAAGAAAGTAGCTGCAACTTTTTCTGCAGCTTCAAGTGAAATGAGTGACCTCTTTGCAGCTGGGACTACTTTTTCACTCAAAAGGAATTAAGTCTCTCAAGCGGGCTGGGGTTCACTGTCCATAATACTGCAGAAGAGAGAATACTTGGAGGATATAGATTTAAAGGAAACTTAATGTGTTTTTGTTCGCTTTTCTTCTGCAGAAACAAAGTTTGACATGGTTCATAAAGAGTGTATTGTTACCTCTGTATTTGAGCTGGTTGAACTCCCTTATATTTTGCATATTAGCACATGCAGTTCCAGGGGTTGGACTTCTGGGTGCTGACTGAAAAGCTCGCCTTTGTGACATTTCAAATGCATCCGCTCTCGCTCGCCCTCTGGGTCTGAGAAAAGAAAGAGAGCACATTTTAACACACCGTCCTGAACACGCCGCAGTTTTGCTCACTGACCACAGCTTCCGTTTCCACTTGATTCACCAGCCTCCTCAATTAGGATTCAATTTGAAGCGAATTAAATTAGTTTTGTTTGAAAGTGTGATGTATTTGGACGTAACACCTGGTTTGTGTGCGTTAAGCATTTCCACATGCTTTCATAAGGCCTAAAGCTTGAGGCATCTGGGTAAGCAGCTTATTCTGGAAGCAAGGAAAAGCTGTGAAACTGGCAGCAGCTCAAAGTCATTTCACTGCTAACTTATTTGAAAAGAGGCAAATACTTAACAAGTAGCTTTTAGGACATTCACTCGTAGTCCTTTTTGGAAATGGGGCTAAATGACAAACTATATTATGTGTTTTTCAGTGTTCAGAGCCTCTCAAAAGCAGACACATTTCCTGCAAGGTGGTGATAAATAGAAAGTAAAGTTTCCTTCAGGGATCACATCATTACACTGCTGCTGTAATGAGTCCCTGAAACGAATGAGAGCAGAGATTAGATGATGGCCAATTTGACCTGGGTCACTTTCATTAGCCCAGAGCTCAAGAAAACCTCCTTAAATACTAATAGCAAATCAAATTTGCCTTTTAACAAGACCAGATTATTAGTGTGTCTTCACCTTTGTGCATCAGGGAATGTCTTTGATGAAATTGGACCTTAAGGGGTCGAGCACATCGAGTAACTTCTCCAAATGAATGTTTTTAAAGTTGGGTAGAAACTGATCAAAGCGAAATCATTCCAAGCATGCTACACCCGCACAAATCACCCCTGCTGCTCGGAGCGTGTAAGAGCAGTACCTTCTGTGAGAAACGTTGGGCCACTTCTCTGAGTTTGTCTGGTTGGTCTGAGCCTCCAGTTGTCTCTGCTCATTTCGCAAATGCCTACGAAGGGCTGACAGCTCTCTGATCACTTCCTGCTGACCCTCTAGAGGAAGAGGAGGGGAAATTCATTCAGCCAGATAAGATATTTATTAGGTTAAGTTCAGATAAGGCAGGAGAGTCCTACCTTGTAGCTGGGGTGCTTTTGCAGGGACTTCTCGAAAGTCTGGAGCTGACACAGAGGGCTGCTGTGAAGGAAAAAGAAGTTATTTAATATTCTAGTCTACATAAAACGGCCTGGATGTTAAAAATGAGTTTGCGACTTACAGTCCCGGAGGAGAGTTGGCTAACTACAGAGGGAGGTCTAGATGGAACAGGATTCCTGTTCTTCCTCTGCAAGGTTGGGATGGGAGGAGAAGGCTCCCTCTGCAAATATACAAGCAGATTAAATCACAAGAAGTTGCATGAAGTTGCACTCGTGAATTTTCAGGTTCATCGTACCTTGTAACTCCACGCTGCCTCTCTCTCCTCTCTAACCTTCTTCTCAATTTCAGGTTCGTTCTTCTCAATTTCAGGTTCGTTCTTCTCAATTTCAGGTTCCTTCTTCTCAATCTCAGGTTCCTTCTTCTCAATTTCTTGCTCCTGCCTTGCCCTCCTGTCCTCCCTCTTATGTTGGATTTTAGGTTCATGGATCAAGCTTTGGTTTTCCAGCCTGTGCTGCAGAAAGTAAAGACAACTGTTCGTCCAAAGCACGCCGAGTGTCATAAGAGCCTTCCAACCACAAGGATGACAAACTTACCTCCACTTTCTTCTGCTTCCTCTGCTCCTCCTCATATTTCAGCCTTATGCAAGCCCGTTCGTTCTCCAGTCTCTTGTTTTCTTTCTCCTCCTCAAGCCTCAATCGTTCACTCTCTTCTTTCTGTTTTTGCCTTTTTTCCTCAATCTGTCGGAGACAATAAGTTTAAGCTCCATTTTACAGCTTTTACAAAGTTTTTAAGGAACACCACTATGGCTGGAAATGTTAAAAGGAATCTGATGTTTTGCTCGATCAATGACTTCAAGCACTAGACTGGAGGCTGTGATCTAGGACCTACCTGTTTTCTCAGTTCTTCTCTGTACCCATCCTCATTGAAACCTTCAAGGACAAAAGAGACTCAAAGTTATTGATCTCTGAAGAGTGGTCTAAACTTAATGAGCTAAACAGTCATCTGCAGACGCTGATGCTTACCTGACAGTTGGCGAGGAGGGGTTTCTCTGTCTTCACGGCCTGGAGAGAGCACAGTCCTCATCAAAAAGCCATGTAAGTGTCCACCATTCCTGGAAACTGGATTCCTTTGGGACTCCTTGTTGGTCCTGTGCATTTGAGTTAGGTTACCTACAAGCACAGGAACATTTTAGCAACCCTTGAAAGTGTTGTTTTTGTATTTATCATGATAGAGAGAATCTGAGGTTTGGCAATGAAACATGAAGCAAAAGCCTACTCACTAATGAGGTTGCCATTTTGGTCTTTAATTGGAGCCCCTCCTCCACTTCTCCCCCAAGGATTGTACGCCATCGACTCAGCCTCTATCTTGGCATCATAACGCTCCTTCTCTTCTTTCTCTCTTTTCCTGCGCTCTTCTCTGTCTTTAATCTAAAAGGAAATGTTTTGAATGTTTTTTAATTTGTCTGCAAGCTCATTGATACTTTCATTAATTTTTTGTTTAATCTGCAGTTGTCGTCCATGTCTGACATCTACCTGTTGTCTGAGTGCTTCTTGGTAGCTCAGGGCATTTTCTCTTCCGTGATTAGACTTCTCTGCCAGGACACCACCTATATTCATGGGTGTCGGTGCTCTACGAAGAAAGAGTCAGGGAAGCAAATGATGAGCATAAATGACAGAAATTTTACTAATTTATCACACTTTTGACTGCAAAAATGATGGTGGTGGCATCGACACTGACCTGGTGCAGTCACTGGGTCTGACAGGAGGTAGTCTTTGCAGAGGACTGTGGAAATTTCCACGCTGCTGCTCCCCTCCAGGTGCACCATCTAACAAAGAAAACGCAAGATAATAAATAAATAAAACTAGTCATGATTTAGTCAGTTTCATCTTTCTGCCACCTTTTTTTCATACATCAAAATTAAAACCTGGATTCGTCTGTCTGCTGTAGTTAGAAAAGTTTACAGGCTTTTATTTTAAAAGGAAAAGACATAAAACAAGCTTTAAAATAACAAGAGTTGTGATGTTGTACTCTGATAGTATGGAAGGTGAGGATCTAGAGGATTCCTTGCTCCATAGTAGTAATAAGCTGCATCATAAGGAGTCTTGTATTGACTGTTCACACTGGGAGTTACAGGAGGAGGAACAGCAGCAACCCTGAAAACACAGATCACAAAACTCAGAGAACTTAAAGCTGAGTTGCTTCATGCATGCAAACGCAGAGTAACAAGTGCACTACCTTGGCAAGGCCACCTCTCCCAGAATGTTTGAGAAGTCTCGATGGTAGTTCTCATTAAAGTAGTCCAGTGAGGGGACACCTTGGGCTGCCTTCGACTCTGATCGAGGTCCAGTTGTCCCTGTTAGCCGCCTGAGAGCTGTCCCCTGGTCCACATGGGACATTCCTAAGGGAACATGCTGCTCTGAGTCCTCAGTGGGTATTTGATCTCTAGTCCATGGATATAAGTCTTTTTTTGCAGGCTTCAGATCTATTCCAGACTGTTTGGAGCTATGTGGTTTCCAGCTGTCATAGCCCAGATTTTCAGACCCAAAGTGCTTCATTCTGTGGGGCTGATCCAACAGGAGAAAGACAGAAAGTGTCACTCAAGGTGATGCCAAAATCACATCAACACTGTCTATAATAGTTGTAAAGAATTAAAATGTAGTTCAGTTTATAACACTGTTGAGTTACTGTGAAATGTAGCAGAGAATGAGGCACAATGCTTTTGTTAAAGTTAGATAAAATCTTAAAAAAAAAAAATCAATTTTATAACTTCATCACTTTGAGTCTGGTCTGGTCCTGCTCTACCTCCTTCTCAGGGTCTGTCACTCCAGTAGCAGCAACCCCCAGCTGTAGTTTCTTCTCCCTGAGCACAAAAAAAAAAATGCCATCCTTCATTTCTTGTCAACTCTCAGGAGTTTTTGCAGTAAAACCACTCTCTGCATGTTGATTTATTGAACAAAAAAAACTCACCTCGTCTTATTCCTTTGCTGTTCAGCTATTTGTTTCAGCAGCTCTTGCTTGTATTGCTCTTTCCTCAGCTGAGAGGCCGTCTGCTCCTCTGCCGCTCCTACATGACAAAAGAAAGGAGCTGTAAATGTTCAGGATTCGTCAACAAAGATGCTGAAAGTGACAGATACCAAAAGCATAATGAGATAACGCTGGGGTTTTTACCAATAATAAGCCCGGTAGCATGTTCTGCTTTATCCCAGCTGGTTGCAGGTCTTGATCTTGCAGCTGCCCTCATTCTGTCTGGCATTTCCAGACTACTAAACAAAGATAAACAGATCCTGACACTTTACAAGACTCATCCAATTAATGGCAGGATAGAAGGTTAACAGCACAGTTACCAGTTCCCTAGAGCCACACCCCGCTACCGAGTTACATCATACACATTTTCCTCATTTGCTTGCACAGCTTTCTGGTCTCAAAGACAGAGGGTGAAGCCTCACATTGGCTGCAGTCCAGCTTCTTAGATAAAACTGGGTTGAGTAATTGTTTACCCGGAGCTGGGCCAAGACTCACCCTCCATCCCCGCTCAACAGCTTACTCAGTGTGGCTCAACTTTAATGGCATGACAGGAAACAATAAAAGCTGAGAGAGCAGGAGAGCAATAACTGTGTATGGCAACAATTATCAATACCTGTCTTGGCTTGGCTCATTTAATCAGATTTTTTTCATTGATTGAAAATATTTATGAGACTCTCCAAAGGGGTATTATTGGCCTTTCAGCTCTGTGAGTGAATGCCGTTGCTAGCAAGGACGATCCTGTTTCAGTGGGATGAATTGCATTGCTGTCAACGTAGAAATAAATATGGGCTTACTCTGGCTTCTCAAACAAGGCATTGTTGTTCTGATCATGACCACCAGAGGCCTCTACCTCCTGAGTACCTTGAGGGGCTCTGCCATTGAAAGAGACACGACAGGTAAAAAAGATATACACCACTATCATCATCATCATCATCATCATCATCATCACTATGGTTAGATGATAAAGACAAAAATGACTCAAAAATAGAAAGAAAAAGCGACACCTAGTAGCTCTGTGCTCTCTGGCCCTCCTCTCCTCTTTGTACTTTAGCTCTGGAGTGTCTGAGTGTCTCCTAATCCTTCTGATCACCAGCTCTTGCTCCCTGTCAATATCCAGCTCCTCCTCAGAGCTATACGACCCTCTTTGTTTGATGATTTGCCAACGCCTCCGTCCCCGCTGGGCTGGAATCCAAGCGCCTGTCCTTTTTCCATTACCCACCTCCTCAGTCAAAGTCGCAGCATCTTTCCTGGATGAAGGGCGCTCCCAGAGAGGAGGGTGATAATTTGTGGGCATGTTGGGGATTTGAAGAGGAGAAGCAGGAGAGGAAATGCAAACAGCATCTGAAGCCTGAATGTAAAAAAAAGAGAGAAAAATGTTGCAGCTTTCACAAACCTGCTTTACCACATTAGATTTTTTTATCATACAAAAAAATGACTGAGATTGTTGGTTTTATTTCCATTACCTCTTTAGTGACAGGAGGTACAACCCTTTTAAACTTTCTATTCTGAGCTTGATTCTTTAGGAAGAGGTTGTACTCTTTATTTCTCTCCTCTCGCAGTTTTTCCTGTGAGAGAAAACAGTTTTAATGATGTCTTTCATTAGCTGTGTTTGAGTCTAAGCTATCACTTATACATCAGTATTGAAACTAAATTTAAAAAACAAATAATATGAATCAGCATCTGTTTGAAATCAAGACATAGAGGTGTAGACTTTAATGCAGCTTTATTCTTTGATAATCAGTGCCTTCATTTTTTCAGCATAGGGTTTACAGCATAACTGCTTTGGCACAGTCATACACAGAGATGGACTTCAGCCCATTATCAAACAGTCAAGGTCTTCATAAACTGGATCATTTAATGACTCCAGGTGCAATTAAAGCGACCCAGGTGGGACTCGAACCCACAATCCCCAGCTCCGGAGGCTGATGCCTTATCCATTAGGCCACTGGGCCACACATCAATGAATAAGCTTCCCTTTGTCTTATTGGCAAACTTATGAGCCCTGCTAGTGAGCAGTTGCTGTACAACACAAAACACTGTGTAGTTTCTTTTTCACATCAGCTTACATGCACTCTGTGGAAAATCTATGATCGATAGAAAACAATAGAGATGTCACACACTGGTGTACAGTCGCACACAAATAATATTAACAATGCTAATGTTGAACTATGCTGAAGATCCACTCACACACACACCTGGACTGATGTCTTGTCTTTAATAGGCAAAGAGAGACCCTGGGGTTGTGGATGAGGTTTGCTTGTCTTCAGTTCCTTTTTCTGGAAAAAAGGACAAAGGTCTTTTTTTACAAAGGCATTCTTGGAAAAATTCAGGACTACCTTTCCTCCTTATTGATCTTAAAGGATGAATTACAGAACCTGAGATCATTGAGATTTATACAGTTTATTGTCCCCAGAGCCAGAACTGAAATGGGAAAGAAGGTAATCTGCAGACTGAATTTAAGCTGCAAAATTTGGTGTCTTTGACTGTTTTTAAATCTGCGGTTAAAAGGCTGGAGTACAAACTCTCAGAATGTCTCTGTTTAAACTGATGTTTCCTCACATTTTTGTTCTGTATTGAGTCTGTGTGTGACTGTTTGTTGTAACTATGTATTGCTGCCATTCTTGGTCAGGTCTCCCTTGCAAATGGGACAAACCTGGTTAAATAAAGGTTAAATAAAATAAATAAACCAGACCTTGGCAATATGTTGTTTGTAGTCTAGCTGAAGCTCCTCCTTAAGTTTGGTTTTCCTTCTGTCATAATCAGTTCCCAAAAGCAAACTTAGGCCAAAACCTGCCAAGTATAAAATACATTAACTATTAGCCACAAGTATAAGACATTGCATTACAATCAGAGACTAATTCTAGCTTTGTATAAGGGAATTTTACCATACCTGTGTCTGCATATGAGGATATTCCTTGCGTTGATGCTGGAGGCATATTTACCTATGGTATTTATTTAAACACACTTTACTGTAGAAAAGATTTAAACATTGTAGTGAAACATTTAATATATTTTCTCTTTAGTAAAATAAATAATAATAAAAAGAATAATCATCATCATCATCATCAAACTATGGCTATGTAGTTTAGCGTCACTTCGAAGCTGTGGATATCTTCTCGGGTTCATGCTCTCATAAAAGTGTCCTACCTTCAAATGTGTGTACAAAGATTCCAAAGTTTAGCAGGATCTCAGTCGTGTCCACAAAATAAATTCATTACACTTTCAGATTCATTACTATCAGTGTTTTTGAACAATAATTTGACTTAACAGACCAAAACCTGACAAAGACTCACGCCTGAAACTGTCAACATGGCGCAAAGCATCATTTCGTTGCTATGGGAAACCATGACACACGGGCTTATCTAAGAGAGGCAAGCTAACACCACTGTCTAAAATGAAGAAATCTTTACAGCAACCACTCATACTCACTGGTTAATAGCGTGTATCGTACATTTAATACATAGAAAAGTATTATTGCGGTGCCGAAGTCCAGTGGAGCAGAGCTATCATAAACTTGTTTCTTACAACCGCCGCTAGATGTCAGTGCGTCCCCGGCGGTTGGTTGTGGTCTTTTTAAGACTAAACCATGTGTCCTGATAGAGGGGGGTACGTATTTTGCCATAAGTAGTATGCGATGTAAAAATACTTGTAAGTGAAAAGAAATTGTCGTGTTTGGATATAATTTAATGTAAGAAATTGGCAAACACAATAACAAATATGTGTAAAAATCTAGTTTGCGTGTCAACAACACAAACATCCCATGTAATCTCACTTTGGTTTGTTGGTTTGATCCAGTGTCATGGCTCCCTAACTGAGTCGGCTTGTGGCCCAGTTACGGTGTCAAATATTTTCGAAAATCTAACATTTATACCCTTGTTTGATCAGAAACTAGCTTTTTAAGGATCTTTGCTAAGAAATTATTCATCATGGCTGGTAGCAGCACGGCTCAAAAAACATGGGAGCTCTCTAACAGGATGCAGGAAGTTCAGAGCATAGATGAAATATATAAATATGACAAAAAGCAACAACAAGAAATCCTCGCTGCAAAGCCATGGACAAAGGAGTGAGTATAAAGTGGGGTTTCTTCGTCGTTTAAGTGTGTTTTTGTGTGTGTTTATGGTAAAATTTGACAGTTTATTGTCACAACACCCTCGTTAGCCTTTGCTACTAACTAGCATTACTTTGTCAACACACCGGAGTCCAACAAACTGTACGTTGTTTGCATTTGTAATTCCTTTCTGTTCTTACTATTGTTGATGTTAAATCAATATATTCTCTAAACCCACAGTCATCACTACTTCAAGTACTGCAAGCTCTCAGCTTTGGCCCTGTTGAAGATGGTGATGCATGCTAGGTCAGGGGGGAACCTGGAGGTGATGGGCCTCATGCTGGGGAAGGTGGACGGTGAAACCATGATCATCATGGACAGCTTTGCCTTACCTGTGGAGGGCACAGAAACCCGAGTCAACGCCCAGGCTGCAGCATATGAATACATGGCTGCTTACATCGAAAATGCCAAACAGGTTGGACTACGATTTCCAATAAAGGGGCATGTCATAGAATTGAAGTTTGAGTCAGGAAGAGCCAAACTTCTTATATACCCTGTGATGAATTACTTTCTGTAGATGTGATTGACTGCAACAATAGATTTTTCAAGAAATATTTCATTCAAATTTGATAGAAAACCTATTTTCATCTTTGTAAAAATAAGACTGAATTGCATGACCCTAAGGGAAAAATTAGTGTACATAAGATTTTGCTAATTTTAAGACCATCAACACCCTCTACTTTGCAAGCCTGTGCTTTATAAGGCCATTATGGGCATAGTTGCAATGTGGAGGCAGGATTTCTTGGTGTTTATGTGTTTTGTCTATTCTTTTGTTTATTATTCTGCAGATTTTTAACTGCACTTTTGACAGTTCATCAATCAAATCAAATCAAACTTGATTCATCCGTTAGGAACTTCATTTGCAGAGAGAGCGCCAGTGCAGGAACAAATAAAACATAGCACTTGTTCATTCACAAATCACAATCTAGAGTCCATAATAAATACAACAAAAACATTAAATACATTAAAACAAAAGGTCAATCATACTAGTCCTCCTCTACAGTATTGTGTAGCAATCAGCTGTTAAACAGGCGGATGGAGGTGGGCCTCTTTGTCTTCAGTGGGAGCAACCTGTACCTGCGCCCTGAAGGCAGCAGAGTGTAGCGAGGGTGCAGGGTGTGTGAGGGGTCAGTAGAGATTTGGTTGCCTTTCCTCAGGACTCTGGTGTTGTAGATGGTGGTGAGTGACTGCTGTTCCTGACCAATGGTTTTGCTGCTGATTTTGATCATTTTATTAAGAGTGTTGCGGTGAGTGAGCCAAACCAGGCAGTGATGTTGAATGTGAGGATGGATTCAATGAAACATTTATAGAAAACAGCAAGAATGAACTGGTGAACCTGAAGTTTTCAGAGCTTATGGAGAAAAAAGAGGCGCTGTAACACATTTTGAAAAAATGTTCCTGACCAATGAAAAAATGTGTTCAGTATTGGCAGTATGGCATGCTGTATATTATACAATTAAGCATCATTCACATCATCAGCGATAGTGTTACTTCTTCATAAGTCTTTGATCAAATTAATGTTCAAATCCCATAATATTTGGACAAGTTTCATGAACTTTTTTGGTATTTCAAAATATACACAATATTTATGTCCTGCTGCAAATGTACAGTATTCTTCAAAACATTTTTTTTCTTTAAAAGATACCAATAAAGTACTGCACAAAATACTAACAACTGTAATAACCAAAATATATCATTACTATATTGTTTTACTTAAAATGTACCAATTGTTTTTAAATTATTACCTGACTTTTGTCTGAATTACATTTGTATTAAATCTACTAGGTTGGTCGGCTGGAGAATGCTATTGGCTGGTACCACAGTCACCCCGGTTATGGATGCTGGCTCTCAGGGATAGATGTCAGCACGCAGATGCTCAACCAGCAGTTCCAGGAGCCTTTTGTTGCCGTTGTGGTAAGTCTCTGGATAAAATTATAATTTTTTTTTAAGCTTACTGCCGTGACTTCTTCTGGCACTCTGTTAAATTGTTACTCTGGAAAGTAACATCTTTCTTCTATTAGTATGACAATACAAGTACATGTGTGTAACTGAGAAGGGCCGATATTATTGATGTTTGGACTGTAATTATCCATGTGGTACTGATGAGTATTTTGCTATTGCAACCATATATGCTATGTACACACAATTTGACAGAGACTTTGGTTGAAATGCTACGGGCGGCATATAATGAAGTGCTTATTTTCAGCACACTGACGGATAAAGTAAAAGGCTCCTGGTGGCCAGATTTGAGTGGTCCCTTGAGGTTGGTTTGACCCCTGACTTTGTTTTCCTGTTATACTGTATCTTACTTCGAACAGATCGACCCCACTCGGACTATTTCTGCAGGGAAAGTCAACCTCGGCGCCTTCAGGACTTACCCAAAGGTACAGTAAAAAACATTTATTCTGTCAGTTGTCTGTTACTTTTGATTCTCATAATGTAAAAAGATTTTTTGTCACCAGTTTTTCTGTGCATGTAAAGGTTAAAATTTGGATGTTTTTTTATCCCTGAACAAGATGAGATATGACCTATTTTTCCTTTGGGTATTTGTTTTGGACTTGACAGTTCGTAGAGCTCTGATAAAACAACATATTACAGTACATTCACATGTCATAAAACACATCTACTTATGTCACCATAAACAATGTATATTTATATATATGACCAAAACCAAAAAAAAAAAGACTACATCACAAACAGAAGCACTTATATTGTTTACAGTTCTTTGTATTTCCTCTTGGTATTATTAGGGTTACAAACCTCCTGATGAGGGACCGTCTGAATACCAGACCATCCCCTTGAACAAAATTGAAGACTTTGGTGTTCATTGTAAACAGTGAGTATCTGTATATTTTTACATCTTTTTATATCATTACAGATAAATTTACAAGAATACCATTAACGTGTGTACAAAGTTAACTTTAAGGTTTTCACCTGAACTGCAGTACTTAAATATATGAAAATATAAGAATACTGAGTACTACACTTATGTTCCTGTTTTGTTTTTTTACAGGTATTATGCCTTGGAGGTAACTTACTTCAAGTCCTCCCTTGATAGGAAGCTTCTGGAACTCCTTTGGAATAAATATTGGGTCAATACTTTAAGCTCTTCAAGTCTCCTCACGGTATGTAAGCAACACAAGAAAGCAAAAAGTCTGCTAATTGTTTGACAGTTTGATTTATGGTTAATTATTACTCTATAACTCATTGAGACATGTGGTCACCCGCTTGTGATGTTGTGATTTATTGCTGTGTAGAAGCTAGGAGTCCCTGTTTATTGATACAAGTAATAAGCTTAATTTAAACTTTTTAACAAAGGGAGATATGTGTAAAACTTTGACCTGACTGCAGTGATACAGACACCGTCCTGGTTCACCGTGGATCGTCTCTTTTCCCTCGTAGTTCATTGTAAAGTTTGAAAGCTGGGAAAGCCTCATGTGAATTCCCATTGTGGATGCAGTCAGTCCCAAGCTTGACTAAAGAGTCTAAATAGACATCAGGCTTATCCAAACAGTGAGCTCTTTGGCATTCTGGATGAAGATGAATTGACTACATGTCAAGAAGGAGCTGCTCCCTGGGTGACAGGCTTTGTCAGCTGCTACACTGTCACCATAGTCAGGGGCCCCTGTGTCATTGTCTTTTAATTACCTTTTTCTACTAACAACACTGCCTCACCTTAAGCAAACTTTTCCCGACTTCTTTTCATTCACATGACACACAAAGTGCTCCTGCAGCTTCTTAGACACATTTGTTGCCATTCTGCAAAATCCTCTCCCCTGTGGGAAATCTGTTGTCTATCTTTTGTTGGTAAATTGTGCATAAATGGGTGTCTGTGTTGGTGGTGGGTGTGTATGTGCGTGTGCTTGTTGGATGGTCAGAACTCGGACTACACCACAGGCCAGGTATTTGACCTGTCGGAGAAGCTGGAGCAGTCTGAGGCCCAGCTGGGAAGAGGAAGCTTCATGCTCGGGTTGGACACACATGACAGGAAATCTGAGGACAAGCTGGCCAAAGCAACACGAGACAGGTACAGTAGAATTTTTTTTTGTTTGTTTTAACAGAGAAGTAGTAATCTTCTGCTGAAATAAATGGGCATTTGAATTCCCCTTCTTTGGTAATAGTTTGCTCTCCTATTACTTAATCTTACATCTGAGACCCAAAAAGCAAGGTGGTTTATAGAATCGCTTTACATATTTTCTGTTTTTATTTTTTTAAATCTGGCATTCAGTATATTCCACCTCCTTTCCCTATGATTTGGCAATTTAATTAATTATAGATAGAACGGCTCTGTACCATTTAATGAAAATTGTATCTTTTTCACTGAAAGTTATTCAAATATTTCTGATTTAAACAAATGACCAAAGGATCTGCACCAAATCTGTTTTACACTTATTTCAGCATTATTATATGCACACGTGTTTAGCCTAGAATATACGAAAACATGTTCCAAAAAATAAATCCAAACAACACCGTCAGTATTTGCAGCTCTTCTCGGTCTGTTTATATCAGTGTACATCAACCACTTTTGTGTGCTGCATGTTTTGCTGTATAAATAAACCCACCTCTGTTATTCACTGTGGTTTGTTTCAGCTGCAAGACAACCATCGAGGCGATTCATGGCCTGATGTCTCAAGTCATCAAGGACAAACTTTTCAATCAAATCAACACATCTGCAAATTAACCCTGAACCACAGACACAGTGGAGCTCACCTGGATTTCTTGTGCATGTCTAGCACTTACTGGTTTGTGTTGAACTGCTGAGGGTGATATCTGTAATGGGAGTGCTTTTTTACTCAATTTCTTCTTGTGTCCTAGAATTATAGATTAAAGAGTTGGGACTTATACAGAAAAATAAAGCATAGGCTGAAGCTGTATATGTGTGTATTGTATACTTATTTAGCAATATTACAGTCAATTTTTAGCAGCATAAACTCTTGCAGCTGGGCTATGGAATAAATTCTACTATGGATATTTTCCTAATTGTTTGAGCCCTATGTAGTTTTATAGTGTAAATTTTGTTGTACTTTTTTGCATGCTGACATATTCTTATGTAACCTGACATTTAAACACTATGTAATTACATTGAACACACAACCTGACCCAGCACCAGTCAGTCATTCAAGTGCAGCCCGTCACATCATTACATAATGGAACAACAAACTCAGGCTTCTGCATAGGTTCAACTAGGATCAGCTGCCATGTATGGGATGTCTCTGCGGAGTCACTGCAAGCACAGTTTGGCTTTAGGTGGTACACGCTGCGGCAGAGTGGCCAGCTCCTCAGGTTTTGGTGCAGCAGTGATGCAGCGCAGAAACAGAAGCCGTACACACTGGAGTCTATTCAGCCAGCACGCCTGCTCTCCATCGAAACAGACATCCGCCAAGTCTGCGATTTTTAACAGACAGAAACTTTGGCCTGGGTTTGTGTCAAGTCTTTTTTTTTTGTGGTATTGTAATGGCTAAATGTATATTTTTGATGTCATGTATCACCGAGGAGACCGTCCCAGTGGGACTCAGGGGGTGACTGTTTTTTCTCATGAGCATGAGCTTTGGCATCACTTCTTATAATGATTTTCTTGTACCATTATTTAAGCTATACTTTAGATTGAAGGCTGTTCAGTACAGCGGTTTGGAAACAGGAAACTTATTAGGTTACATTAAATGTTATTCAGAAAATTCAAAATTTTTTAATAGGTTATCTGCACATGCGGTCGACTGAATAGCTCATGCTTTTGCCAAATATTTAAATATATTACATGCTTGACTGTCACAGTGCTGAGGAAATATTTGGAGTATGCTTTTCTAAAATAGTTTCACCTCATGTTTGGTCTTTCTAAGTGATTTAGGATCAGAGAAACATATTGAACTCATTGAACATGTAAATATTGGGATAATCACCAGATGGAGATTTGTATGCATGACTTCAAGTGGAATAGGAACATTTATGTAAATTCTAATCAAGTCAAATTGTGGGCAGCCAAAAATCCGTTACACGTGGATTTTACCTTACTTTTCAGACATTTACAAGTCTTCGATTCCAAAGTATGTTCCTCATTACAATATAGAAAAGCTTTCATAGCTTCATTGCCGTGGAATGCTGTCCCATTTGCTGTCCACAGAAAAATAAGTGAAGACGGACTGAATGACTTGTCAGTGAACGATGTGAGTGCAGAAGATTGATGTGGCCCGTGATTAATAGCTATGTGTAACTACAGTATTTAAGCCCTAAAATCTAATGACCCCACTAAGATCTTGAGATGTTATGTTTTGATTAGCTCCCAAGGGAATTAGTTCCACCAGCCTGGTGCCATGTGTGAAGAAGCTGATCCGAGCGCAGAAACCTGGAGCTGCTACACTTCCTTTTTAACCATGTGCTTCTGCATAAGTGGAGGCAAGTCACTCTTAGAGGAAACCTCAGGTCTTGACATGACATAGGTTAGCAGTACACGGGTGACTGGTTGAAGGGGCTGTGACCCTAATTTGGAATGCTACCTTTAAAATAGAAACTACAGAATGAAATACCATCGTTTTAACCACCAGTTATAGAGTACAAACAATTCTCCAACACATTTGGTCATGTTCAATCATAATTTGCGTTATGTTTTTTGTAAGACATGTAAAAACGGTCTGTCAAAAATTTGGAATTTCTTATGTAAAGAAACACTTTTCAGTCCTATTAGAAAATAATAATAATAATAATAATAATAATAATAATAACCCCTAAAATAAATAAATAAGCCCTATAATAATAATGATAATATTAATAAAAAATATTATTATTATTATTATTAGTTGTATTATTATTATTATTATTATTATTTCCCAACCGGTATACTATCGCGTTTCACGTTGCTGTCTATCTCAACACAATACAGTTAGAGTCAAATGAAATATAATTAATGTCATACTTGTTTTATCGTCCACTAGTACAACCCCATAGTTTTGGTGTATCTAGCGCAAACAAAATCACCACAAAACGTGTTACTGTAAATTTCCGCTTTGCTGGTGTTTTAACACATTTTGTGACCCTTTGAATTCTGTGACCGACCCTTTGCTTTCTTGGTTTCCATAACGACGTGATGTGACAAACATAGCAACCTAAGTACCGGGTAAGTTGTTTAACGTCAGTTGACTGCCACTACGTCGTATTAACTTCGTTTCTGGATACATTCAGGGATAAGAGAGTTAAGTTATTGTGCTGTTTGTCAAATTTTATTTTTTTAAAAGAGGGACGTTGTGGGTAAAAGAGTTTCTAGACGACGGTTTACGAGGGCTTTTAAGCTAGCCATGGAAGTAGTCAGTGTTATCTACCTATGTTACCACTGCCCTTTTATTTTCCTCGTCATTCTATTGAATCTGTCTATGCCTCCTATAGCTTTGTGATATAAAATTTCCTTTTCCTCACCCTAGCCTTGTATGCTTCACACAGTGCCTCTCACAGTGATAAACTCTTATTCCCAAGTCCCTTGAGAGGGGTGACCCAGTGGCATGTTTAGTTAGCTTACAGCTTCTGTCAATACATCAGCCCTGGTTTATTGATCAGGGTCTCCTCTCTCCTGAAACCTTGGTCTGTTGTGTTAAGATGAAGTGTGGAAAAGACCTGCTATCATTTTACTCTACTCACCACTTTCAATGCTACACATACTGACTGCCACATAAATAGCTTCTAGTCATGTGAATACTTACCTTCTGCAGAATAAAAAAGAGCACACTCAGTGTCAGGTAGTGCTATAAAATGACCCCCTCCTGAGCACTACTTTGGGAATTGGCTGCTGTAGTTACTACTCGAGAAATTGAGTGCTCACTCAACCTTTGACCTTGACAAATTTTCTAGATATGGTGATGCTTATTTTTCCATCAATTATCCTTATGAATTGACAAGTAGGTTTTAGGCTATTAAAAATTCTGGACAAGGTTAATCTCTTAAACGGTTTGTCATTTACAGATGAATATTATAGATAATGTTTGTCTGCCTGCTGAGATGTATCTTTGGTCATGATTTTTTTTTCTTTCACACAGACAGCTCACCGCTCTGCCGTGGCCTGAATGCTTGGCTGAAGCTGAAAAGCATCCTCTCTAAAGCACCCTCTGAGACGAGCCGCCATGGTACATCTGACCTTAGATCTGATCGCTAAATCTAAAAACCACTTCAAAAAGAAAAGGGGCCTCTCTTTCCCAGAGTACCTCCATGCTCTCACCCACCTCCACTTTTCCAGCAAAAGCATTGAACACATTGTAAGTAGCTATTATTTAAAACATACACTCCATATATTTGCTTTCCCTCTTATGTGTTTTTTTGTTTTCTTTTTCAAGGGTGATATCTCCATGTGTAGAAACCTCACTGTACTCTACCTGGACTATAATCAGATCACACACATTTGCAACCTTGACTTTGCCTCCAATCTCACTCATCTGCACATGCAGAACAACAACATTACTCATATGGACAACCTCTCCAATCTGCACAGGCTCACCAAACTGTGAGTATGCACGTTGAAGTGATTATTGTGTTGCATTTCTCATGCCAGGATAATGATTTTTAAGCTTTAAGTGTGTCTGAGAGTGTGTTGTTTTTAGGTATCTGGGTGGAAACAGGATTGCAGTGGTGGAGGGCTTAAAAAAGCTCGGTGAGCTTAAGGAGCTTCATCTGGAGAACCAAAGGCTCGCACCTGGGGAAAAGTTGCTCTTTGACCCCAAGACTCTCCTCTCTCTGGCTGTATGACCTACTTTTACTCTGACCTGTACACAGATAGTATAGGAAAAGAGGCATGATCCACATACCTTGACATTTTGGGGTTTCTCTGTATTTAATCATGTGTTTTAAAGTGCTTTCTTTAATGTTAGAAAATGTCAAAAGCCTGGTTATCTTTTTATAAAGCTGTATATGAGCTGGAGATCAATGTGCGAGGTTACATATCAAGTTGAAGAGATCTCTAGATTTCTCAGCGGCCAGTGATCTATGTGAGAGCAGTATTGTGCTGGGTTTGATGATGTCAAAGAGACCTCTGTTGCTCTCTCTGGTCTGACAGATCAGTTGGGTCTTCTTGCTTCAAGTACCACCCAGGCCATGGATAAACACACCAAAAATTTCAGCTTATGGTTTGTTTGGATAATTAAAGAAATTGCTGTGCAAATTTAAAGAGTTCCAGCCTATATAAATGTGCCATTATAGAACTTCAAACCTGGATGAATATTTAACAGCAGCACTTTCTGGAGACAAAGTTTGACATGATCCTCCCAGTCTGCAGGTATTAAAATGACATATGTGTATGGGTAAATCAAAGTTTATTTTTTGAGCTTTTTACACAAACGATAGCACAGTAATGTGTTTCCATAATGTGTTTTAAAGTGGTTTCAGAAACAGTCAGACTTGTGGTATTTCTTTTGCGGAGGGGAGCTTTTAGATATACATTATATCTGTAATTTTCTCTTATTGTATCACTTGTATAATTTTTATTCTTCCTTAATTATTTTCACAGGAGTCTCTGTGTGTCCTGAATATAAGTAGCAACAACATTGATAGCATTAAAGACATGATAGTTTTGAAGGAACTCCGGGATTTTTCTGCAGCTGACAATAAACTACACAGCATCGAGGTAAGAATAACTCTTCTAAAAAGGACTTTCAAATGTCTCTTAAATTATTTTGCTCACTGTGCTGCAATCAAAGTAAATACCACCACATCACAACAACTATGTGTGACGCTGTGTATCCACACAGCAGATATGAGTTGATCAGGTCAGCATAAACATTGTCCTGTAGTGTTCTGCAGTCATGTGTGAAATGATATGCAGAACAGCGTTCTAAAGAACCGAATCCTGCAAATCCTGCCGTATAGGTTCCCAGTCTCCATGGCTTGCACGGGGTCAGAATTATTCAACAAATCAGCGAGCTATTCCCCTGACACTTTCCTCGCTGACAGTTTTAAACAAGCACAAGTTTCTCTCTTTCCTTGGGAGGTTGATTTTTCCTCTCTGCCTCAGAATCCTCTATTTGATACTCTCAACCAGCAAAATTCAACTTTACAGGACATTCATGTAGAAAAGAGATATGGACTTGTTTGAAGAATGGGCTGCTTGGTTTTGAAGGTCACTTTTTAATAGCAGAGTCTTTCTTTTGTTTGAACAGAAAAGTTAACTGAAAATGTTGATGACTCTTTATAACTGAGGCGACTAAACACAAGCGATTTTCCTGTGAGCACTTTGATACAGGTAATTACCGTATACGTGTCATTTAGCTGATATCTCTATAATTTATACAACCTCTCTGCCATTATTGATCCAGAAAAGACAGCACTCCAAAGGATCAATCCCTTCTTTTGCCCCATTTGCTCAGGATCCAGAGGAAACATTATGGATTTTTAAAATAGATTATGACAGGCAGTCAGCCAGGGTGACAAATGGGGAGCATCTTTGGAGGCCGTTAGCTGTGTGCAGGGCAGAGAGGACAGGGGAATCGAAGGCCTGGTCAAATACAGGTTCATAACTGGCCCATCATTAGTCCAGACAAGAGAGCCAGCCGAGCTCGGCGAGTATCATGCTTCTGCTGTTCTCCACGCCCCCGCGTGGGGGGCAATTTGGCGCTGGGCTGCTCTTCAGTGAGGGCCTTCTGAGTGACGGCCCTGACACGATCATTTATCAAAGCCTGGGAGCGCGCGGTGCTCAGGGGTCCCCTCTGAACTGATTGCAGTACGAGCTGGAAAAGTGGAAGCGCTTTGGCCAAGACAGGAAGGCAATGAACAATCAGAGCGTGTCCAGAGAGTGTTCATATTTCCAGGCTTGGATTAATGTGCCTTTAGATAAACATACAACTGCAGGCAACTGGCTGGAGGAGCCAAGCTCACACCGCCCCAGGAGGAAACTTGTAGTTACATGACACCGGCGACACTGTTTATTAAAATGGACTGATGTGTTGTTTATGCACCTCTATTTGCCCTTGTACTTCACATTAACATCCAGATATACCAAGTCTTTAAAAGTTATCCTGATCTTTGTCTCCGATTAGTAATCCCATAGAAATTGATCATATTTGTCAAAGATAAGTTGTCTATTGTTTCCTGATAAGTTATTAAACAAAGTGTTGGTTGTGCCTAGGTTGAGGTGTTATCGGATAAAATGAGTGCAGTTATAGATCAAGATATTTTCCCTTTTTTGTCCATTTTCAGGAGTTAGAGGAAGTGCTCAGCCACTGGCCTCAGCTACTTCAGATGAATTTGAGTGGAAATCCCGTGTGCAAAAAAGCGAAGTACAGAGACCGCCTGATTGTGTGCACAAGCCTGGGTGAGACATACCAATTCTGTCCCAACAGCATCTCAATCCAAACTTGTACACTATTGCTTGGACTCACCCAGGCTAAAATTGAAGTCAGTGATGATTAAGAGTGAATCCTACGCTGATTTATTCACACTTTCCATTTTTAAAATTAATGGTAGACTGCTTACTTTCTTCATACAGTTATTCTTGATGGAAAAGAAATTACTGAGTTAAACAGACGGTTCCTTATCAACTGGAAAGCAGCCAAAGAGGCAAGGAAGATCAAAAACAACCAACATGTGACAAAAACTCAGTCGATTCCTCATCCCTTAACTTGTAAGTTTTAGAATTAGTTGCTTTTAAAATCTTTTGTAAGCGCTTTTCCTGTATTTTAACAATTATTCAGTGGTTTTAATGCATGCTAACAATGAATTCATTAACACTGCATTAACAAATGAAAATGGTTCTTTTTATCGCTGTTCACTTTGATTTATTTTTGATGAAGTAAAATGAAGACTTTAAGTATTGAGGAACAACCACAGCCTTAAAAGATATATGGATTTTTCTTGTCAAATGTAGAAACTACCTGAAAAGCTTAAATTGGATTTTCAACAACAAATTATCTACTTAAGATTTTTGATTTTATCTTTAAATTGTGTAACTTTGTTTACTTTCTAGGGGACTTAAGCGTGGCCGGTGAGGGTCCACATCTTGGTCACATCCACAGCCATGTTAAAATGCAGCAGTTGCAGCCACAGTCTCTCAGGTCTGCCACCCCTGATCACAGAAAACTGAGTTAAAACCCACACCACTTAAAAAGTACAAAATAATTTCATTTTTGTTGTTATATTCTCAGCATGACAGGTGAGTGTCATGCTAAAAATATGATAATTTTTATTTAACAGCTGTCACTCAAAGTTCATTTTCAGGATCACACAGAAAGGTTTAATCTAAGTGTCAGTGTAAAGGTTTTTTTTCATTCTGTGATTGAATGTTTCCCTCATTCTTTCTCATTCTCACTATTGTGTGATCATGTTTTCCCGATTAGCAGCGCTGTCACAGAGTAGTCGCACAGTAGGAGATACAATCTATGAGAGGCGATCAGTTTTTTTATTTTGACTGTGACTCTTTTTCTCTGATATCACAGGGCACAGAAGTTAGAGTCAGTAGTTTGACTGTGTCATATTTTCCCATATGCAGACCCCTGGATGGCTAAGATGTAACTGCCAATTCATTTAAACTTCCACATGCACACATATTAGCCAGAGCACAGGACTAACTCATAAAGGCTGACAGGACAGAGAACAGGCAGTAGAAGCAGTTCAGAATCACTGCAGAATTCATCACCTATAATAGATTCAAGTTGTTTAAATTAGAGTTTTTTTCTCATCATATTTAAATCTTTTACATTTGGATTGAAACTGAAGTTCCTTTATGATAATAAACACACTTGAAATAATCTGATTTTGTCAAGAAAACTGTTTAAAGAGTAAAATAAAGGTCCTTTAATTCCCCTCACTTTCCCATGTGGTTTATTTCTAATTAAATATTTGAGAGAATAAGTAATCTATTCCACTCAAACTGTTACTTCCTGATAGTCCTGCAATTTTACCCTGTGTGTATTTTTTTTTCTTTTGCCTGAATTTTCAGGAATAAGTGACCAAGAGATGCAGATTGGCACAATCTAAATGATCTCTCTGCCCTGTTATTACAAGGATTTACATTATCTAAAGCTAACAATACATGCCACTGTTTGTACGTTTGTGATGAATGATGCTGCCCTCTTTTATTTCAAATACAGTAACGATCCGGATGTGTTTATTGTCATCATTAAAATTTTGAGTGAGCATTAAGGTGCCACGTGGGTGTTTAACCTCGAGAAGATGCGGGGTTATTAGGGAAACAAGCTGACTTAACCTCCCCCCTACCCCTCCGTGTAATTAGTGGCCCGGAGCAATAGTGTTACTCCATCCTTACAAAAACAATGTTTATTAAGAACAGTCCGAGGATATACATATTATGAATTATTCCTTTCATTAATTTGCCGACATCTCCGTTTGGAGCCTCGGAAATCAGAGTGATTAATTTCTGAGTCTCACAAGAATTTCCTCAATGCCTGCCTGTTGATTGCAGCGCTGGACTTTATTTATTAGTTGTTCCAATGAGCTTGCAGTTCAGGACACACTGGCAATTAGTCAATTGTTTTGCATATCGCCTTACACGTGTCAGCTTGTCTTCACGGTCTGCTGCAAATAGCATTTTTGAAAGACCAAGCCTTATTTGTGACTATGACGAGGACATTTTTGAGGTGATTTTGACTTACTTTTTGATAGGGCCAAAAAGAAAATACAGGGTCGGGTTCGCAGCCAATTAGAGCGGGATCTGACCCACCACATATGAGAGTCAAAGGAAAAGGAAAGTCCTGCCTCTGGCGTTGAACACGAGCCTCTGCTGCCCTCAGACTGAGAGAAGTTAGGAAAAGGAGAGAGCAGTCTTCGCTGCGAGAGAGAGAGAGAGAGAGAGTGTTATGGGCCGATGATTAATTACTCCTGAGTGAAATACTTGTCCTCCGCGTTGTGTATCCAATAAATTAAAGGCTCCTGAGACCTTTACGCACTCAGGTGAGGAGTTGGATGAGCGCGCAGGGACTGGTGCGCACCGCTTTCTGCATACGCACAGCTTTATAAGGATAATCTGGAAGCATACGGACTGATCTGCACTCAAGACAAATTCTCTTTTGAAGAACTCTTTGGACTGTCTTCATGTCTGTTTTCAAAGCAGCGCCTTTGAAAGCCAACAGAGGTAAACTCCACACTACCATCAGCCACAAACTGATCTCATTATTTTGTGCACTGTCAACATGCCTGCTGAAATTTTGGACATATGAGACGCATAACCAAGAGTCATTAGAGTCATCTGACTTTGCATTTTATAACTTTTTTGTGCAAACTTTGACTCTTGTGAGTTTGCAAAATTAAGCACTTTTGTATAATATTTTCAAGAACAGACATTTGGCTTGACATCTTTACCTATGGTTTAATAAATATGTGCATGCATGTTAAATTATTATACAGAGGCATATGAGTGAAATTTAAAACCCTTAAGATATCTATTAAATATTGGCACTTAAAGCATGAGATTAACATAAAAAGGTGCAACATAGAGGCCGAGGTTCAACAGCTAAAGTGACTTTAAGATGTTATTCTTCAGGTCTGTAAGTGCACCCGGATGGTTGGAAGACACACGCTCCGGATGGACAGCGCTTCATGCTCCGGGGTGGTGGTGGATGACAGCCCAGCATCCAGTCCAAGCTCCAGTCCTAGTCCAGACGGCCGCCGTCGGGAGCTCCAGCGGGCCGGCAGGGTGCTGCAGAGCGGCGGGCTCGTTGGCAGAGGACGCCCGGCAGCAGCGAACGCAGCGCGGGAGAGGAGCCGAGTGCAGACCCTGAGGACCGCGTTCCTGGAGCTTCAGAGGACTTTGCCGTCCGTGCCGCCGGACACCAAGCTGTCCAAACTCGACGTGTTGATACTGGCCACCACCTATATTGCCCATTTAACTCGAACACTGCAGGAGGAAGGAGCAGAGGAGGGAGAGAGCACAAAACAAACAGAGGCTTTACACTCTTTGAAAGGTGAAGGCTACCTGCACCCAGTTAAGGTCAGTAAAAATAACCCATAATAATAATAATAATAATAATAATAATAATAATAATAATAATAATAGCAAGAAGAAAAAATATAAAATAAAAATAAAATAAAAAACATTAATATAAACCACTGCTGTAGCTAATGTAACCAACTTTAAAAACATCAAATCAATCCTTTTCAGAGGTTTCATATATTGACAGAATAAATGTTTTTTGCAGAAATGGCCTATGAGATCCAGACTGTACGTCGGAGCATCCGGACAGTTCCTCAACACCTCCAGTCCTTCAGAGTCAGAGAATCAAGGCCCCTCATCCTCCAGCTCCCAGTAACAGGCTTCAATAATCTCTATGACATGATTTCATTTGTGCATGTGTCCATGCTGTTTATTGTTGCCTTATGATTGTAGAATAAATATCATGTTTCCTTACTTCCACTAAATCCCTGTCAATATAGGGAAAGGTTGTAAATTAATATATATTAATTTTATTGTACAGATTCTGGGGATACATACATCATGTTCCTGTGTTGATGTTTTGGTTAATCCTGTTTGCCCTGCATTGTGCAGCTCCATACATGTCCCAGGTATATTTGTAAATTCCACGGGGTAACGAGCCCGTCATGCTTGAGGTGTGCACTTTGAGTTGAGACTTTTGCACTAAATGCATGTGTGAATAAGTCGACATCTGTCATGTGAAGTGGTCTGTCAGAGAGTCAACAATGGAGGCTCTCCGTCTCATGTTCCTTCTTATTTTTACATGCATGGTTGTAAATGTATTTGTGAATAAATGGCTGCAGTGAAAGAAGGGAGATTTTTCTCATTAAGCCTTTTTTGTTTTAAAAACGTGTGATAATTGAGTTTATATTATATTGATATTTTTCCTTTTCCACCTGATTATTCGTTATAATTTAATGGTACCTTCACTCACTCAAATATAGTCCTATAGAAGCTCATTTACAGCAACTAACAGAGGCTTTGGCTGAAGGCCTTAGGGAGCGTAACTGCAAATAGATAACAAAATGTACATTTTTCAGTGTCAACGGTGTGAATATTAACGTCATAAAGGTTTAAGTATTAAGACAAGCTGAGTTTACTTTCACATTTTACTATTTTTTTATCTTAATTTTTTAGAAAAAAAATAACCCAAATGATTTATTAACTTTAAAGAGAATGTCGATATTTCTTTAACTTTGTGCGTGTTATTACTCTTACTGTCAAAATTCGCCTGTTACACATGAAATAGCAAACCACATTAATAAAACAGCATGTTTGTAGAGGAGTATATAGGTAATGTTAGATTTAATACAGAGTGGCTCGGTTTTATCCGTGCTGATCTGACGAATATAAAGATAATCTGATCGATATGTCACATATAATCTACTTAACCACAATAAAATGCATTTTTTTCTTCAAATCGCATGCACATTTCTCGCAGTAATGACATTTTCCCCTATTACACTGACGCTCACACTAAAATCATTGCAGCCGTGTAGAGGGCTGCAGTGCGCAGCTTTAAGGCGCAGCTTGAGGAAGTCCTTCCCTGACTTTCTTCCTTTTTTACCACCATGAGCAGAGAGCGGAGCTGCACCTCGTTACCTCTGCAAACTAAGACGCTTGTATCATGTACAGACTGCGTTACAAAGGTAGGCAATTGTTGTAGAACTTAACATTCTTCAACAGCTATTTTTAGTAGTATTTCGAGGACATTTTTAGGCGAATTAGCTCTAGCTGCGTGACACGTTGGCTTCATGTTAGCTAGCGGCTAGCGCTAGCTCATACCCTCACCACGTGGGAGTAAGCTTTTTGGTTTGGCACTGTATCTGGATTATACTGACTCTTAGTCCACTGTAATTTAAATATTAACTGTTTCATGCACATTCAGAGTTATAGTTTTGGGTAAAATGTGTTCTTCTCGTGTGATCACGAAAGCTCATCATCGAAAACACGTGTAGGTTAGGGCTGGGCGATATGGACCAAAAGTCATATTCCCATATACTGAGGCTGAATATCGATATGATATATTTCCCGATATTGTTATTGCAAAGTGAGAGCAGATGTTTAGTCACAATCAAGGCAAATATGAGATGTCACAAGTAGTTCTATTTAAACTGGCCAGATGAAATTATGTTCAGCTGTTCAACGGACAATAAAGTGGAAACATAACTACTGTATAACCACAGGAGTCCCTATTTTTCTTTTAAATTGTCACTCTATAAGGTACACATTTAAATGAAAAATATGTCTTAAATAAAAATAGCCCCTAAAGTAAAATAAGCCGATCTTTTTCTGAAATAAATTTATTTATATGAGAAAAGCATCAACATTTTGACAACTATAAATGACCTATTAAAGTCAAATAGCAGATTTTTATCTTCTCTCTAACAAATCCACAGATGCAAACGACGAAAACTACAAAAGAATTAAATATGACAAAACCTAGTAAGGGCAGCACTTGTATGTATAAAGACAGAACAAAATGAAGTGCTCAGTTTTAAGAAAATTGTTCTGAAACATCATTTTGAGATTACCTATCTTTCTTTCTTATTTTCTTTACAGTCTCAACCAGCTGCACAAGACTGACAGATTATGAACTCAAACATTTCCCCCTCTCTCTTTTTTTACTTTGATAAACAGTTTGTGCTGTCTTGAGGCAGACATTAGAGGACAGACAAGTGTGTCCTTCTTTGTTTAAAGATTTTGTGCGAGAAACACCAACCTGTCAACAACAGCATCTGATATCTGTATATCAATATATGTGAAATGGTCCAATTCCACATCTCATTTAAAAATATATCGATATATCGCCTAGTCCTAGTGTAGGTTGTGGTGTAAATGCAAATCAGGGATCAGCATATACTTTACTATTCCCACAAAAGTCATACAGGGAAGTTATGCGGCACATTCAATCACCACTATGCAAATATCTGGTAAAATGATCGCCATTACTAATCGATATGTCTCTTTCTTTAACAACGGACTTGTCTCATCCTTTAACTAATGCAATAAATCATTTCCAGGACAGTTCAAAGAAAGAAAAAGCACCCCATGTGTCAGTCATATTCATGCAACTCTGTCCATATCTGGTTCAGTTCAGGGGTCATCGGAAAATCTGCTGGTCAGGGAATAACCGCCTCCTATTACTCAAGTAGAGAAAGTCCTCAGTCCTCCTCTGAGGGCCTGAGGTCATGGCAGAGGTCGTGACCTGCTGTTGAACCCGTCCTCAAACCTGCAGTGTTAGCCATGCTCCCAAGCTGTGTTACACTGCACCCTTTGACCTCAAGGTGATCAGTCATCTTTGGTCATCATATTGGCTTTTCTTGAGTACGTCTTATTAACACAAGTTGGGAATCAATAGATCACTCCAGAGTGCAATTAGCTGTGTGGATTGGCAAAGTTAGTGTTCAGATCCCATGGGAAACCATAGCAATTGAAGGTGATCACTTTCTCAAAACCTGAATCCTGCTTAAACTAATTTTGCTATTAAACATTTTTGTTTTAATAGATATGCAGACGAAGAAGACAAACCTGAACCATAATGGGATCCCCTGACGAGGTATGAGTCAGTTCAAATAAAAAAAAAAGTTATGAATGAACTTGAAAGATTGTGGGGGAAAAAAAATACATTTTCCTTTTTTAATTTCAGATGTCAGGATACCACTGTATTCTACAGATGGACAGTGTTGATCTTCTCAGTGTGGACATGAAGGTAAGCCTCATCTGTTCAGCTGTTTTTGGTTGTGATTTTGACATGAGGCTGTCCTTAGCTGGAATAGTGATGATTCTACATTTTTGCCGTTTACCCATCAGACTATAAGATGGTGACACTGTGACTAACTGAAAAACCAGCACAATAAGATCAGCCTGAACTAGTTATTAAATATAGAAAATCAGTCATTCTGTAAATGATTAAAATTAATGTCAATTGTTATTTCTTGTTTACCCTCCCTGGCTCCAGATGTCGAGCAGTGGTCACAGATGATGCACAGGGTGTACAGCGATGTCTCATGTTTAGTGCAAGGTGAGTTCCTTACTCTACTGTTTAGAAATGCCATGTTTTTTGTTTTTTTTTTCTGTGTAAATAACATTTTCATATCAACGTTTTAAAGTGAAAGTAGATGAGAACAACAGAAAATAACACAATTCAGTTGAAAAAGAAAGCATTTACTGTGGTAGTTTAACTGAAGACCAAAAAAAAAAGTTTTGGTGCTGGAATAAGGATGATTTCACCTTCTTTTCGCCGTTTACCCATCAGACAACAGGGTGGTGAGACTGTGATTTTCTGAATTACCAGCTGCAACTTTGCCTTAACTCTTATCTGTATCATACCATTTAGGAATATTATTTTAACTCAAGTTGAACAACAATTGTTGTCTGTAGGTGGGAAATGTTAACTTGATGCATGGAAATGGACTAACTCTGAGGTCTTCCATATCCTTAACAGGAGAGCATTAAAAGCAGCAATGGGACAGAAACAGACTGTATTTGCTTCATGTAACCAGTGGTAAGTCAGCCACATGTTTTATTAGTTTTCCTAAGATTTTTTTTTTAATGCCTTGATCAAAGAAGTAATGATGAGTTCACTTTTCGCCGTTTACCCATCAGACCAAAATGGGCTGCTGAGAATGTGACCAACTGAACCCAGAAAGATTTAATTTTTTTAACAAACAATGCTCATCAGCAATTTGACACTCAAATTGATTTTTTTTTTTTTTTTTAAATAATTTTCAAGGCTACAGAAGATTGACTGCTGAGGAGACAAATGACTAAATGAAAGGTAAGTGCCCAAAATATTTTTGGCCATCATTCTATTAAGCACATCTAGAAAATTAATTTTTTGTTGTTGTTGTTTGTTGTCCTAATTGTTCTTGTTTTTCACATTTGTTACAGTGGAGTTGAAGCTGGTGGATCAACATTCAGAGGATCTGAAGATGTTCCTTTTTAAGATCGCTTCAATCACCATTAAAATATGTTTTATGAACTTTACCAGCACATCTGTGTGTTTCTGATGTTGAATTTTCTAAGATCAAACAACACCGCATTAAATGAAATTAAGGGTGATTTTAAAAAAACTTTTTGATTAGTTTTCAGCCAAACCGAGAAATAAAGCAATACTTCAGTGACAAATTGATTGCGTGGTTAATGTGATCTTGTGTGACCTACCTCTGCTTTTGCACCTTTTGGAGAGGTCTTACTCTTCGGTGATGTATGTATCTGCACCTGGTGCGTAGGTGAAGATAAAGCGTAGAATAATCTGGTGGAGCTCATCCAGGGTCACGTCCCTCCTGTGCAAACCATCCATGTCACCGAGGTCACAAGGAAACACTGCATCTGGTGGAATAACGAGAGCAGAGGCCCCTGTAGAAAGAGGAAGGAACCGAGACCTCTGCTTATTCTCCAAATACTGAGGGCTGATGAGATGTGTCAACTACAGTATTAATTTAACCACGGTGTTTAATATGCAAAGAAAAAAATCATGTTTGAATAGTCAAACTAAATGAGCAGGAAATGCAAGTTGCACCGAGTATAAGGTTGAATCATTAAATTTGTATAAATAAAAGTGCGGTTTCAAATGAATTTAAACCAAATTTCATTAGTACAATTAACCCACCGTGCCTGAGAGTGACCGAGTTCTCACAGAGAAGCACGGCAATCACAGCATCCTCCTCCAGCACCAATGTTCTGAGGCATAACTTGCAGTGAGCCTCAGCCAAAGAGATCCTTTTGAGAAAAAAAAAATTGCAGAGAAAGCCTCCTTTTATAAGGGCCTGCTTTAGTTTCTTTTAATACGAATGAAAAATGATCTGTGAAACTAAAGTAGGATGTAAACATAATATAAATGTTCAGAGAGTTAAAGCTCTGACACTTTTGTCCTGGAGTCAAAAACAGATTTATTTTGATAGTTTTAGCTTTACATTAAATGTGTCAGCACAGTGAAATAGTTTTGTAAACATTTGTCATAACCAAATGAAAAATAGTCTTCTGAGAGTATGAAAGTTCTCCATCTGGTGGATAAGAGTGACACTACATCAAGTAATGATCTATAACCTAATACAAAGGTACTGTAACTGAAATGAAAGGACATTTAAACATCACGTCTTTAGGTTCTTGCTTACAGTAATTTGACTGAGGCCACAGACATCTTGACACCCTGGCTCTGTGTTCGGATTCTTCGGCTGGCCATGTAGTAACCATGGATCATTTTCTCTGCTCCGGGGCTGATCTCCACTTGCAGGCCCTGTGCATGAGCGATCAGCTGGTGCATTTGATAAAAAGCAGCGACTATGATTTTAGGTCAATGTAAAAGCAATATAAGTAAAGCAGTGTATTTTACATTACACTTTTATTAACCTGCTGGTAGTCCTGAGTAGAAAACTCCCAGCTGGATGAATAGAGGGGTTTTCCAGGCTGCACTGCCTGCTGGAGGGTGTGGACAGTCTGGGCAAGAAGAGTCTGCTCTCCAACAACATCCCTACACTGAATGACCAGGCCAAAAGCATCCGCCAGCTGGATTGGTATGGGGCCCATATCCTGCACATAAGGAGAAGACTGGGCATCAGAATGGCATCTGATGAATTATTTCAGTGTCAGCCTGACAGTTTTCTACAATAACAAGTGAGCCTCTAATAAATCTGACAGTAGAATGTAACATGGAGGATTCATTAAACTTGTCACGTACTTTCCCCCTTGCAAAAAGGGTAAAAAATGCTTAAAGTGTTGGCTTTTTCTCTGTGGCTCTGCTGTGGAGTAATGCATACTGGGCAGGGCACTTCCTGAAGAGATGTAATTGTATCAATTTCCTCTTTTGTCATGTGGATCTACAAACATCTGCACTGAGTGAAATGGGGCATGTCTTGCATTTAAAGCACATTATAACCAGAGGAGTATTAAGAATTTTTTGACAGGGGGTAGTCATGCTAGAGTATCAGGGCTAGGGTACCAATAATAAAGGTGTTGCATGAAAATTTGTGTAAACAAACATGAACGAATACCATTTATTTACCTTTTCCCCTTCTACTAACAACAACTATCTTGACTAGTGACATTCAAGCATCACAAAAATGTGTTAGAGAACAGAGCAGCAACATTTAATCTCAATTTTGTGCAACCCTTGCAGAGCCTGGAAAGTTGATCTTTTCCCACCTCAGATAAGGCAAAATGCTAACCATGATTAAGGACTTTGGGGTAGCACTAAGAATGGCCAATCAGGTTATAGGGGTTGTTTACTCATAGGCCATTTCTTGATGTACCGCTTTTGTACATCAAGATTATGTCTCTTATCTAAAACCTTCTACAAAAGTAATAAAACATCATGTTGTGATTGGACCCACTGCAGCTCCCAGAATGGCACTTTCCACCTTCCCGGACCGCCGTGAAGCATCTGTGATGGCCCAGAAACTACATTGGACCGGGAAGCATAACTGCTGGTCAGCATCCTCTCCATACTTCTTCCCTGGTATGAATACTGACGCTGTGCTGCTCTCCAGAACTGATAGTTATTTAGACAAAAAGAAAAGCAAAGTATGTTGGTTCTTAAAGTGTTCATTAACAAATCTTTTTATTTTACTACATGAACCACTTTGGTGCTTTACCTGACTGAATGGCATCCAGTCTTTCCTTTCTGTAGCAGCCCAGATCTCCCAGCATGCAAACACCGCCAGTGGCTAGCAGAGCAGATCCAGCGTGTATGTTAGCTGTGCCTGTTCCGTGTTCGTCCCGGGAAAGAGATGCAAACATCTCCCCTGAAGCCTGATGCCTCACCCCACGACACGCCAAGCCCAGGCCATATGTCATCAGCCTAACACAATCACAGGGGTAAAAGGTAATGAGGAGAACCATCTCAGGTCTCTAATGCAGCGTGTAGATTCAGGTAAACCTTGCCTGTCAAGTATAAGGGTGTCAGTGGCGACAACCAAGAGATCCAAGTTGTTAAAAGTATCCTTTGAACCTGCTCTCGTCTGCACCAAGCTGAGCAGCAAGCACAGCTTTAAGGTGTTATAGAGCCCTGGAGGAGCCACATGCAGGCCAAAGCAATGTGCCACAATTGCAGAAAACCTCCAGGGGAAACCTGCTGTGGCCTCCAAGAGCTTCTGGAAGCAGGTGCTGAGTTTATGGGAACCTGCAGGTAGAGCTATCTTAAAATGGTACCATGCATTATAATAGACGGTTGGTCAGATTTATCAAAATAAATCGTGACCATAGTTGAATCTCTTTTTAAATACATTACTGCCTCACTCTCTGGCTCCCACGGTTGGACATTATTTGCCTCCACACTCCAGGTAATGCTCGGCCACTGGTGCACATGTGCAGGAATGCCCAACACTCTGTAGAGTCGACCGATTCTCATTGAGTTACACAGCTCATCTGCATGAATGGGGAAAACAAAGAGAAGGGGAGGTTCTGTACTGCATGGTGATTATCTAAGAAACATGCATGCCACCTACAAACCAGTGCCAAGACAAACACAGAGTGAGGCCTACTGAACAAAGATTTCTCTGTGTGTGAATAGCACGGCCAGCTAATGAGTGTTCCTTGCACTTATTAACATATATGTTTAGTAACAGGAGCCTGGTGTATTGAATTCCTCTGCAAGACTGGGTCAACAGAATATGTTAATCCCGGTGCTGAGATTTGCTATGCTCTCATGGGTACTGGCTGGACAATGTTATTAGAAGGGACAGAAACACTTAATATACTACTGTGAGGCGGCTAGCAGCACAAAAAAGTATTTATTTGAACTACTCCCCACTTAGTTTATGTTTCAAAATGAAGCTCATTTAAAAAGAGAGGGAATTAATGACAAACCTCAGTATACTTGACTGTGTAAATATAAGGTGCCACATTTTCAGGACTGGAAGTGAACATTATATATGAGATTATTAAAGTCACATCACACTTTTTTTCATAGCAGGATATTGATATGTAGTCCTAAATCTGTGTAAAGGTTGTGAAATTCAAATTAAAATCAAGTCTTTCACCCAACTTACACCCTTTTTTCCATGCTATGCACCAGGAAAGAAAAACAGTGTAAGTAGCTACTGGTTAGAGACTTCAGCAGAGTTGCTGTATGTTGACAATTTCTAAAGCAGTTCACTGGTTGACAGACATCACAGAGTTTCTTAAACATATTTGATAAGACTATGTTGCTACAAGTAGTTTTATTTATCAAACATATTTGATTGATCAGTTATCGGGCTGATTAGCTTTGTGAAAAAGAAAATGATTAGGGTGAGCCTTATTTCCAGCAATAAAAAGCCCTCAAACTTCTAACTCTTCTGATGTAGACCTACCTCTGAGAAACAGGGTGACAGACTGGTACCTAAAGGAGCCTTGCTGTTTGGCACTGAGAGCATCCAGTGCTTTGACATGGATTAACTCTACAAGCTGTTTGTCTGTCTCCATAAAGACAAATTCAAAAACACACAGACAAATACAAATCACAACATTGCACAGAATTTTTTTTTTGTATGTAGCCTCTTGAACTTGTAAACATTAAAAATCAGATACTATCACCTCCCAGCACTCTAAACTTCACATCTTCTTTCAGTGGAGAGCTGCATACCATGCAGCTAAAGTCATTTCTCACAGTAGCTGACTCTGTGGCTCCCGGTGCATGGACACGAATGTGGTGAAATCCTAAAGGCAGTATGAGAAATGAAACCAAAGAGATTGTCTTAAATAAAAAAAAAAAAAGGATTTAATGTGTAGGGGAGACCGGGGCTTGTTGAACTATGGGTAAGTTATCACATTGCAATTATCTGTCACCAGAGGGCGGAACAGACAAGTGGAATACTAGTTTTATTATTATTTTGCACCATTTTGCACAAAAAATAACTTAATATATTTCAAAATAAGCTTCTTCCAGATAAAAATCCCAGCAGTGAAACATGTGGACTTGTTGGAGGAGAGATTAAGACATCCTGTCATACCTCAATCATCGTTCTGTTTTAAGCTAACTTTAAGCTAGATCTAGAATTAGCAAACATGGTAGTTTGGGACAACGTGTCTCAGTCATTTTGGGGTTAGTTTTCACATGTTTAAAAGGGATTAAAATTAACATAGAGAGTCTGCTTATCAGAAGTTGTCACACTGAAATTTTTACTTAAGTTTTACAGCAAAAAGAGCGGTTTATAGGAGAGGAGAAAGTGAGAAGACGTGTACAGGAATTTCAAAAGAAAAACAGAACATGGCAGTGCAGTGCCTGATGTGACGCTGAGGACAGTCAGGCAGGTGACCCTTGCTAATAAATCAATCTGGACTACAATAAAGGACTTTAATGTCAACTACAATACCTTTGGTCTTGATGCACATTTTGTTTATATATGATGTATTGATTCCAAGAAATATATGAGTGTAAAAAGTGTGACAACAAGCACTGGTCTCCCCTATAAACTGTCCTGTCACTCTAACCTCTGTCTTATTAAAAACTTCTAGAGGCCATAAGAGAAAACAAAGGTTAAGCAGTGTCAATGTCCCCCTCCTGATGTACCTATAGAGCAGGGACAATCATCATTCATGCAGAGGAACCTGGCCCCCTGGGTGTATTTGGTGACCCTCGTCATGGCAATGACCAGGCCCTCCATGGAGACAGGTCTCATAGGACCATATCCACGAGGAAAACTACCAAGATCCAGCATGTACTCAGGGAATGGAGGCAGGTGTGTTAACTTCAGTATCACATTTACCTATAAGGTACAATCAGATGCTGTATGAGCTGATTATTAAGCTGATATCAACATCCTTCATCCACACACATAATCTTTCATACCTGGTTCTCTGTATGTATTTTTTCAAGAAGTGAGAGTGTCTTAATGGCCAGGAAGCAAACCTAAATGAGGAAGTAGGCAAATGTAAGTTATCAGTGAAATATGACTGCGAGTTTCAATTTGCTAACCAAAAGTTTCACTCACAGACTGAAACAACGCTGTGGCTTTTAGAGGATCCTGAAGAACACAGTCTCCCAAAACAGCATCCACTTCCATCACATCAGACGGATTTACACTAATACAAAACCTGTACACTGCCTCAATCTGTTGGGGGTCTGAATGAATGAGAAAATCATTATTTAAGTGCGGCTGAATAAAAGTGGCGTTAGCTGACTTCTTATTTACCTTGCAGCAGATTTAGCTCACCGTTAAATCGTTTGCAGTCTTCAATCAGTCTCTGTAGACCACCACTTCTGTCTAAGTAGACCAGAACAGGTTCTTTTAATGATAAAATGTCCGCCATTTGTTTTTGCTAAGAAAAAAAACTACCTTACAACGAGCCAGATAAGCTAACTAGCATGGCGAAGTCAACCGTCAATATCTTTGGTGACATTTGCTCACGCGCGCTATCCTCAACCAAGTTGCCATGGTGACAACTAGCTAAACGCCTAAGGACAAGATGACCGGGATGTTTAGCATCGACGTTTAAAGCTACTTTTTAAGCTATAACATTGATATTTCTGTACTTTTATAAGCATATCCGTTTTTTAAACATATATTTTTACGCCAGAGTAAACAGACTTTACCCAGCGTACTTTTCTTTGATATTTTTATTACTGTGCTGGAGTACAGGCCTGTTAAAATGCAAGGCAAAGCAAGGCATTGTGGATTTACAAGTTCTTTAAATGTATCAAAGAAATGAATAGAAAAAAGAAAAAAAAAAAACACAAACTCATAGTAAAAAAAATCCACAAGACAACTGTAGAAGACTATTTTGTACAGACGTGACCTACAAACCATAATGCTCTGCTTAGTGATCTTTCAAGTAGTTCCCCATTTCCAGTTTAGTTAAATGTATATGATACATTAATTACATATTGTGTAATAATTACATGGACTAACACACTTTAATCTGTGATGAATGTGTGATTGCAAGTCCAGGGAAATTTTCAAGTTTTTCAGAAAACTATGTTGATTTTATTTCAGGGATAATTATAAGGCTTTAAAGTTAAAGGCTCAATTAAACACCACCGGAAATTACAGAGGAAGGCTGTCTTTCATTCTTAAAAATATCATCTGTTATTTCATTATTTATATATTTATATAAATACAAAATGGTAAAATATAAAGACTTTTCTGGCACAAGTTGTTCCATCCATGATCCATGTAAGTGCTGCGTCCTCTCAGCTGCTTGCTTTGGCTTCATCGAACAAGTTCATCCATGGTACAAGTTCTTCCCTTTAGTCAAAAGAAGTTATGATGGTTAAGGCAAGTGAAGATCACGCTGGGAATGTTTCATAGGAAAGAGTCGTCAGAAGGTGGGGCATAGGAGAAACCAACAAAGGCATCGTCGGCCTCCATTACACTGGCATTGACGATGGAGTGATCTTGAGACCAGCAGACAGAGTTGGGGACCATCTCGTCGGTGAACTCAGGATCAAAGTTTGAGATATCACAGTAAGAGCTCTACAAAAACATCAGTGAAAGAGGGGACAAAAATACAGGTGATATTAGCAAACATAAGAACTCTGTTTAATGACAAAAAGTAAAGCTTTTGACCCTAGATAAGGTTCTTATTTCCCACTGTTTTATGTACAATAATGATAAAATGGCCCTACCCAAGAAACTATACTTAAAGCAGATGAGGATTTCAGATGAGATTTATTTGACCAGATTCTGCATATTTAGTGTATCAGTCCGTTTTGTAAAGGTCATCAACAACAAGTGGAGGTACTAAGTTTTTATGGGAGAAGGGTTACTAACTCTAGATAACAATAAACACCCTGGTTTAAAAGGATCCATGCAAGTGGTTTTTATTCAAGCACAAAAAGTTTTTTTTTAATAAGATAAAAACAGTAAAGGGAATTCTCTGAATAAGCCGTCTTCCATAAATATGAGATAAGCTCTATAATTTATTTGGCAGTTGTTGTCACCTTAAAGTCAAACCACTATAAAAAAGTTAACAAGTCATTATTTATGAGACAAGAAACAAATAATTACCACATGGGGTGTAAATGGGGGAGGAATCTTCTTCTGCTCGAGGTCATCCCAGTTAATTGAGGAGAAGAAGCAGTGTGCTTTGATCTCATTCTGAAAATATAGAAAAAAAAAAATTGGGTATTGACACAAAGTTGAATAAATATGTTGATTCAGTGAAAGGAATCAATAAACCTGACATTTGTGACATGAAGGCCACACTGGCCACCAGAGGGAGCCTCAAAATGTTCATTCCAGCTCAACGTGTATGTTCTGTCTGTACGTGGACATTGTGTACACAAGCTACTCACAAAGTCATCTCTAGAGCCCAGTCTGTGTGTGCCGTCCTTCTCCAGCAGGCCCTGGAGAAGGGACCAGGCTGTACTGGATGCACCAGGACGCATCACTAACGGCTTGTGGAGGATGTTGTCATACATTTCATGTGTGTCCCTGCTGTAGAATGGCGGCTGGGATAAAGGAGGAAAAAGACAAGCAGAGGCATGTAAGTGAGTGAGACCCGACACAGAGGTGCTTTGATGTACAGCACCAAAAGAACCGTTAGATTTACTGCTTGACATCATGTCAAAACTAAATATATTTTTCAGCACCAGTAGTCAGGGCTGTGATCAAAAAAGAAAAAAAAGTTAACAGGCGCTGTAAACTGTGAGCTCAGAGTTAAAACTCACCAGACCAAAGAGCATTTCATAAAGCACTGAACCGAGACACCACCAGTCTACTGTGTTATCATACGGCTGCTTCCTCAGGACTTCTGGAGCTAAGTACTGGAAGGAAAGATCAGACATAATAATATGACATTTAAAATTTGCTGCACAGCCTGAACATACACCAACCAAATGTATATCCATAGTTTTTTCTCGTAAAAACTTATTTTCCTTTTGGAAAGTGTGACTCATATTCCTACACATACAGTACATTAGCCCCTAGACAAGGAACATTACTTTAAAAATGATTAGCCACACTTAACTCTGAAACTCTGTCAATGATTATTACTTTGTCACTTCACTAGAACACCCTCGTGCAATATTTCCAGTAATCGGATATATCAACGTCTAACTCATACCTCAGGTGTCCCACAAAATGTCATGGTGGTGTCTGTCTGGGAAATGCCTTCCTTGCACAATCCAAAGTCAGTCAAAATGATGTGCCCCTTTAAAGAGAGCACACAGAGATGTTTTTAGACAACATGTGCCACACAAGCAGCTCATTATCCTCTGGGACTGAGGATTCTATTGTTGCAGAGGAATGTTGGCTGTGGCGTTGCTCAGTCAGTCCTATTCACCGTTCCCTCACTTTCCCAATAAGGCTGGGCAGGAAATCATTGGTGGGACTTAATCAAATCACACGCTCTCTGTCCAGCTGGGACAGGGAACAATATTGCTGCTCTCCAAGGGACAAATATGAGTGATGATGAATGAGATTTATTTGTTAATATTATGATCTTTGATTGAGTGCAAGTACTGTTATCATGGGTGCACATACATTGAACAGTGTTGTGTTTGGTTAAAACGCAAGAACACTCACTTCGTGGTCAAGAAGGATGTTTTCTGGCTTCAAGTCTCTGGAAAAAAATTAAAGTCAGTGAATGAATTCCATTCCTTCAGATGAAAATTAAGATTGCCACTAGAAAATGTTTTCTTTCTGAACTGTCTTCGATTGACTCTAATGAATTAAATCAAAACCTCTGTAAAAATTATCCTGGCTGTACAATATAACTTGTATTCAAAGACATCCCTACAATACCAGGCACAGAAATCTAATGAGATGAGATCTATATAAGACACACCATTGCTTTAATCGGTCAACATGTGCTTATTATTCACTCTTATAACTCTGTAGCCTTTTAAAGTGGATGACATGAACGTCTAATACAGTAAATGTATATTAAAATATAGCGTCATTTATTTTCTTAGGAGACTGTAAATCTGATAGATGGACTTTGTCTTTTATTCTGATCCTCAAGAAAGCTTTTAAAACTTAACACTGGGCATGTGCTTACTCAAATGAATCTGCAAACATACCTGTAAACAATGTTGAGAGAGTGCAGGTACCCCAGTGCACTTGCCATTTCGGCAATGTAGAATTTTGCTCTTGGCTCTGGAAAGGTTCGCTCTTTTTGAAGATGGAAGAAAAGCTGCAATGAAAGCGTTGATTATTGTACCACATCATATAAACAGCGTTGTAGGAGCATATTAAGGAAATCAAACAGTCAAAGTCTGCTTTCACGTTTTTCTTTGTGTGGCAGCCCTTGATCTGGTTAATACACAAGTAATTTAAGCTGGGCAGTTTAAATATTTATCTAAATCCATTTACATGTTGCTGATCTTTTTCAAAAGGGCATGAGTCAGATTTTCTTGGTAACAGATTTGAGTTAGTCACTCTCACGCAGTCAGTCACACAAGGCAGCTTTGAAATGCTGATCACACTTGAAGGAGATCAACAGAGGAAGTTACATCTAGGAGCTGTTTTGGAAAGTCTTATGACCTCCAGCAAGATTTTCACACCTGGACGTGAGTTAAAATGCAACAGTGCTGCCAGAGGAGACTTTCATTAGAGTTTCTTTGATGCCCATTTCCTGTGTTGCCACTATCTTTAACGTTTCTTGTGACTCATATCTGCGAGAACACCTCATTCACAAGACTGAAACAACTCACTTCTCCTCCATTGACGAAATCCAAGACGAAGTACAACTTGTCTGTTGTCTGGAAGGAATAATGTAGCCCGACCAGGAAAGGATGTTTCACGTTCTTCAGCAGCACATTGCGCTCCGCCATGATGTGTTTTTGCTGTTTGAGAGAAATGATGTAATTATTAAATGATTATAAGGGCTTGATTGATAAAGAAAACAGTGTGAGGGTCATAGTTGATGGGAGAATTACCTCTTTTCTATTGAGAATGACTTTTTTCTGTAAGACCTTGACTGCATAATACTTTGCATCGTTTCTATGTTTTGCAAGGAAAACCTGCATCATAAGGAGGAGAGAGCAGAGTGAGCATTGCATTAGTGGAGTAAAACAGAGATTGTTCTGGTTTAATTCTTACTTCCTGCTTGGAAATGCCAATGTGATGGCTTTAAACATTACTATTGTGATCCAAGACTAGCAGGAATATATAAATCAATTCAGTATAATATTGTCAAAATGCAACATTAAAGACAATACTTAATCCTAACAGATCTATGATTTCATCTGTAATTCTTATACAGGGGGTGAATGGAAAGTGACAGCATATGCCTGTGCTGTGTTGTTCACATACCTTCCCAAAACTTCCCTTTCCTATGACTTTCAAAAAGTCAAAGTCTGTAGGCTTGGCACTGAAACAGAAATTTTATCACGTTACTTTCACAACTGTGGGAATCTACTCAGTGTTGTAAGACATGATGCACTTTTGGACCCAAGTGCAGCACATGTTCGAGTATATCCACAATAGTACCAATGAATGATCAGACAAATGTAGTTTTTCATGGTCGATTAAAGTAAAGGGTGCCTTGTCTGTGAAGTTATTGATTTTCTTCTGATGCATTTGAGTGATGAACATACTGTGGGTTTCCAGATGGTCCCAGGTTAATGTTTCTAGAGGTAGAGTTGTTCTGTAAACGAAAAGAAGGATGAAACTTTGTCAAGATTAGTTTCGAGATGTAACCACAGGCTAAAACTGAAAAACAAACTTAACATTTATTCACTGGCCCATGAATAGCTCTTATCTGTGTGACAACAATGACACGGGAGACACTTGTTTACTGTGTGTGTTTACTTTGAGTCTATGACGTTTGAACCACGCCTTAGGATGCTGGACTGAATCAACACCTCTGTGGAAAAGCCCAGTCATTACACAAACAGAGGTGGAGGACCTAGCTACTCAACACTGACCGTACAGATGTGGTTGTGAACTATCAAAACTATAAATGGAGCAAGTGATGAATAAAAACTGGTGGGATGGTTGCTTACTTTGTCATCCTCATCCTCCGAGGCGTCTGAAAACTGTTGCATTTTGTCCATCAGGAGGAAGGTCCTCACATCTGGACTGTAAAGTTTGAAAGGGACCAAGAAGTTACACCAAAGAAGCTTGAGTAGGTAAATCATGACAAAGCAGAGTAACATCTTTGCAAACTACTTGACAAACTGGAGCTCTGGAAACAAACAATTGAAGTGCTTCTTTTTGATAGTCATGGATTGTTCTTAATACCATCACTTACTGGTTGCAAAGCTGAGGATTTGAGACAAGCCGCTTTATGAACTCATGTAGCCCAGCTCTTCTCTGCTTGATGAACTCTGTGGACGGATGCAGAAAACTGTTATTTCAAAATCACAACAGGAAATGTGAAACAGTCTCAATGCTAAATGAGTCTTACCAGGGTCAAAATTGTCCCCAAATATCCTCTTGGCAGGAATTTTTAAGTTCATAGATGGAAATTGTTTCCTTAACTGTATCAAGATATAAGAAAGCAACAAAGAAAGTTAGGTAAAAGCAAGAAATCTCTACAGTCAGAGGTATATAACCATTACAAGTGTCAGTATAAACAGCTCATATGAAACTAGTGACAGAGAAAGAAAGTAAGTTATAAAAGAAGAGGGAGTCAAAGTGTCCGAAATGAATTACTTAACCCCTAACCCCCATGTGGGGTTTCACTATATAGCTGACTATGTAGTGAGCTCAATTACCGGAGGTTTCGCACACTACATGGCATGATGCAATGCATTACGGGATGCCCACCTGAGTGAAAATTCGAGTTGCCTATATGGGGCATTGGAATTGATCACTCAAGTTTCGGTGCTAACCCCCATACAGTCGCCTATATAGGGGTTAGGGATCCATTTCGGACACAGCCAAAGACTTTAAAGCAGAATTCTGATTGAGTGACTATGCTCTATGACTTTGAAAATGACATTTGAACCACTCACTATGTTGTAGAGTTTATCAAACTCTGCGTAACGTCTGAAGACAAACCATTCCAGCTGTCCAACATTGACTATTACTTTGTAAACCTGGAAGAGGGAAGAAGAAGAGTCCATGTAAACACATAAAGAGTTTGATTTAATGACATGAAAAACTTTGATGCATGGTACAGTCATTTCTGTCAAATGGCAGTAACATTTTCTCTAAATCATAAATTAAATGATAGGCAGACCATTTTGAACATACTGTGTAACGCTTTTTCTTGTCCCTCTGCTCATTGTGGCAGGGAATGCTGACACTGGGGTGACTGCTCTGCTCTTCCATCTTAGGGGCTCTCGGCATTTAAAGGAGTAAGGTCAGAGAGTAATGTGTCCTCCTCAAGATAAGGCTTCAAGTGTGCCACTGACCCATCCCCACCCTGGGTCACTGCTGCTGAGGAGAAAGAGAACAGAGAGCTCTGTTATTCAGGTCTTAAAAGTGGTCTTCTCTTTTTTTGCTAGGTCTACGTTTCAGTTTATGGATCTTGTTGTTAAGGATATTGGCTCATCCACCAATCTAGTTTTGAAAATCTGCCTAGCTGTCAACAGGCAACTGTTAACATGCAGTAACAGTATCACAATTATCAACATTGTGTCTCTTTTCTCAAATATATGTGATGAAAATGAACAGCTACAGAAACCATCAACCGGAATTTGCCAAAAATAATTAAACACCAGATGCGTCAAAGAAGAATAAGCTTTTCTTTCCATGATCAAAATCTCAACGAGTGGTCTCTGTGCTGTCTTGAAAGCTTAAGTTTGTGTCGAGAGAGAGAGCCCAGGCAACAACAGTAAGGTCAGTGAGCTGCAACATGACAGCAGGCAGGCTCCCTCCCCCCAGCACTGAGTTAACTCCATCCTTCCTCTGAGCAGGAGCGCCTCATCCTCCCTCTCATCTGACATTTAAAAAGGTAATACTGAGATCACACACTAACTACTGACTCTTTTAAACCATGACTCCTTTACATGGGAGTTACAAGTCTTCTCTTATCTGTGCATCCATCGCCCACATCTCTACATAGAGTGTAAATGTATGCTGATTAAGATCACACATTGACCAAAACATTAGCTGAATCACTCATGCTGTGACTGTGACATTCTTCCTGGTTCTGGTCAGTAGAATGGCATCTTTAAATAGACTTCCAGCAGTCTTTGAAGCTTCAGTTGCACAATAGGTTAAGAGTGAGACCCCCAGAGCTCTTCCTCAATGTTCAAAGAGAGAAATACAGCCCATTGCTTAGATACAGACAGCAGTAGTTGGAAAAGCTCTGTTCCCTCCAGATGAAAAAGTAAATGAGTATTTGTAGGCTAAATGCTGAACACTTAGTGGGAATATCTCTTTTCCTCTCCGTGAGTTATGCAATGTCTGTTTCTTTTACAACAAAGGTCTTTGTGTGTCGCTCTGACTTGCCCATTGTTTAATGTGAGTGAGGTCAGCCTAGTTTGTTCAGTAGTTTTTCACTTTCTAGGCACAGCCACTCTTACTCTCACTGTTGTTTGCTAACAACACACGGAAAACCTGCTTAGGGTCAACCAATTCTCTCTGCGCATCGATCTTGAATGCATCCTGGAGAGATATCTCATTCTGCTCACGTCAGGGGTGAGGGTAAGGCAAAAAGAGCGGCCCTCTTTAGAATGCATGTGTGCATTCATAGAGACCTCCATGCCCTCTTCATCACTAGTCTCTCATGTCGATTTTTCTTTCTCTTTTTTAACCTTCTTTTGGTTTCACTTTGAACAACACCTGTTGGAAAACAAAGAAACATAAAGACACTGACTGCATTATTATTGTCCTTTGTCATAAGTGTAAGCCTATTCTGAAATGTTGAAAAAAATTAAAGCTACAGGTGTGTGTTATATCAGAGCAATCCACTGTTAAAAAGCAACAAACTTGTTGCAAACGTAAAAGAGCCATGAGCCACTTTTTTTCCTATATTGAAATATGCAGACAAAATGAAAAAAAGAAAAGTTCTGTTTATCATTTTAAATAACATAAGATGAACTGTAGATCATATAAACTTTCCCTGATTAATCTTCCATTGTTTGATTACGCAGCAACATCCAGTGTTGAATTTTGAAGGCAATGTGGAGTGCACAAGACTGCATATCCTAAAGCAGTGGTTCTCAAGTCAAGTCCTTGAGGCCAGCTTTCCTGCATGTTTTGGATGGTTCCCTGCTCCAGCACACCTGATTCAAATGATCAGCTCGTTATCAAGCTCTGTAATGGCTTGATAACGAGCTGATCATTTGGATCAGGTGTGTTGGAGCAGGGAAACATCCAATGTTAAAATACCGACTTTTACAGCAGATTTGAACATGCTTAAAGGTTGGTTCGAACATGGTTACATACAGAGTTGTGTAATTTAGGGTGTGGTTGATTTGAATGATAAAAGGCTGTTTGCCAGGAAGCAAAAAATACTTCAGTTACACCTCTGTACTTGTGTTCAAGTTGACTGGAGTCAACGTTTCTGGCACAGTGACCACCACTGTTGGGCTTCATAACCTCTGTCCAATAACTGGGTTCAGTCTAGAAGGAATTTCAGCCTCTGTTAAAGCTTAAAGCCAACACCAGCTAGATGAAAATGGAAAATAATGGCAGCAATTACCAGGTTTGTCTTCTCCGACAGCCATTGTTGTGGGGAACAGTCAGATCTGTCATGTGCTACAAAAACTTAGTGACAAAATACAAAGAACTGTTGCTGGTTCACAATTAAATCTTGGTCTGTTTCCCTGAGCCACCACACATCTGCACATGCTTTCATGGTTAATAGACTCTAAACGTTGGACTCGCTTTTTAACATTCCAGAAATACCTTTGTTCAAGGCCGGAAATGTAAGCTACAACGTTTACTTCAACGTACATTTTTAGCTGACAATGCTTCTCCTTCGTACGGAATGCTGCAGCTCACCACACCCACCAACAAAAACTGAGAAATTGTTTGAGGGCATCAAAATGAAAGTGGGAGAGGGCAAATTGAAGTAAGAGTGATGATAAGCACATTCTCTAAGCCCAGTGTGAATCTGCATGCATGTCATAACATGAAGTGACTTGTGCAGACTGGCAAATTTATGCCAGACTACTACACAGGATCAAAAATAGCATTCTTCCTGCTGAGCTCAAACACACGTACTAGCCTGTGGATTTCCTATGAGGATGTGGAACCCATTTTCTGTGTGTGTGTGTCTGCCATGCGTGACAAGTAATGCTAGTGAGAAAACAAAGCAGAAGTCAGCCAACAATGGTAAATCTGATGTGAAAGCTGAATCAGGCTGCTGGTAAACAAAACCAATAAGAGCAGAAAAGATCTAGAAAAGGAGGTAACTTATGTCAGGTGAGCTGTATGTTCAAACCCTTGTAAAGATGAGCTGTCTATGATTTTAAATACACAGAATTGTCTTTTTGATTAGCCTTAAATGTTTAAACTCTGATGGTTACCCGATGTGTTAATGATATTTGTTTCATTTGGTATGAGTTCAGCAGGATCAGTTTCGAGATGTCTTGTTGTTGTCACAGAGCACAGACAGATCTCTGACTGAGAAAGTGCAGCTGGAGAAGTGTGAGGGGCATGAACTCACTCAACCTCTATGCATTTCGTGCAACCGACCTCAGCATCTGGACAGACTCCTTACCTAACCTGACTGTCCAGACGTTACACAGGCATCCCCTGTGTGCAAACTGTGGAGCTGATTTCCTTTGAAGAGACAGCTTGTTCACAGTCAAAATTACAAGGTTGGAGCGAAGAAGTGACTGCACCACAAGTGCGCACAAGAAAAAGCTTATAAATTATGTGCTTTGTATGACTATTTGATCCATCTTTTTAAATTTCAGTTTAAAAACACAAAAACAACAACAACAACAAAAAAACAAGTCCTTTGTGATCATCTGTCACTTCCTTAACTGACAGCTACTGGGCTTTGGCACATTATTACAGAATAAAGCAGATGTAACAAAGTAGGACTGGGCGATTTGGCCAAAAAGATGATCACAATATACTTTGTCATCATCCGATCTCGATAATTATCACAGTTTTTTTTTAAATTGCCAGTTTTAAAGCATCTGTACTTAAAACTAAAAAATAAATAGATAAATACCAAATAAGACATTAAATAACTTTTCTTCTCAACAATAACATCTTTGGAGGGTGACTCAAAGTCATGGCTGACACATATTTTACTGCCCTCAGCTCCACGTTCGGTTACTCTGTTTACTTGTCCAGCAACTTACAGAAGTGAGCAGGAAAAGCTCGACTTTGATTGGCTGTTGTGATGCACATTTTCGCCAAGATTGATCGAGTATATAAGCTCACAGCTGATCACCGTGATCGGAAATTTATCGCGATCATTAATCCCGATCATATAATCGCCCAATCCTATAACAAAGTCAAGATTTTGTCGTGGGAAAGCTGGATGAAGGGTTTTGGAGACAAGTTTCTCTCTTGTCATGAGATTTACCAATTTCCTTTTAACCAAATCGGACATGCATCCATACATTTTATTCATTTTCCTGTGATAGACAGTCCAGATGATCAGGACTTTATTACTAAATTTCATTACGATAACAAACCTTGCTCTCTTGTAATAAAACGAAAACAAAACAACAGTATAGCTATAGGCCTGACCATGCTGCTACTGCTCACACTGCTGGGCTCAGTGAGGTTAATTTCTGTTTGTTTGTTGTTTTTTTTTACTTTTAAATCTTTGGGGATGTGATTTAGGATTAACTGTCTGTAAGATTTAAAGAATTTTAAAGTTATGGGCACAGGGAAAAGTAAATAAAATGTACAGACACTTCGGGCTTTAATAGTATTTTTTTTATCAAAAGAGGAAATGAATGTGTTTCTCTGTGAAATGGTGGTCAACTGTCAGTAATACACAGCCATATCAACACTCAAAGTGGGTATTCATGATGACAGCTCTGAGGCAAGATGTCTACAGTGAGAAAACATTAACATGGGGGTGGACATCATGTCCTCGGAACACAGTATTACTGAAAGCCTCATCTACTTTTGTTTCATTACTGACAATAAGCCGTTTGGCAAGATCGGAGTTATTTTCACCTCAGGCTACGTGAGTACCAACACCAGGACAACCTCAAAATCTCAGCCCACATCACGTGTATTATGGGAAGAAAGCATACCTTCCCCATCTGAAGAGAGGTGGGGGAGCACACACACACGCACACACACACCGACACCCACGCACATAAACGACACGGAAGATTTGACATGTTCGTACAAGCTCTAGTATGTATGTAGAACCACAGCAAAATTTGAGCCATACATAACACATAATGCCGTTTTATTTACCAAAACAGAGGTAAACTAGTTAGTCAGCGTCAGTTAAACTTCCGTTAACTGTTGTTTCCGATAAGAAAAAAAGTTAATGTTATGTAATAGGGAACACAAACCCTAAACTTAACTTCAAACTTACATTTAAACTAGATACAGGTAGTCAGCCTGAGTTTCATTATCAAACCGGGAACACGGTGGCGTTTACATGAACATCGCGTACCGTACAGTAGTTTGATGCGGTGTTCATCGATGTCCGTCAGTCCAACTGAGGATGTTTGACTCCACAACTCCGAAACCGCCACTTAATTGAACATTTTCTCTCTTCTTTAAGGATAAATCCTCAAACTCCAAAGCCGAAATGTATTTTCTTGCTACCCGTCAGCGTCTGTCAAGTCAGAGAAGCAGGAAACATCAGTCTTTCCTAACCGTAGAAAGTTCCAATGAAATTTGTCACGGGATCGCTCAACTGCAACGTCTACCAAACATAAACGCTGTACGCAGCACAGTTTCCGGTACTGCTTTTCAAAGTAAAAACACAGACGACACAAACGTAACAAGGTTTGAATTCAATCTAACAGCTTACTTTGAATGGTTAGTTTACATTTCTTCCTTCTTCTTGAATTTATCATTAATAAACTCTTTTATCTGTCATCTCTTATCTCTTTTACCTCTGTTTTATTTCGGTTTTACTGTCTTTTTAGCTTTTGTTATACTTGTACCCTTTTAGGCTTTTTATTGTTTTATCTGTTGCTCATTTCTGTTGCTCTATTTTAATTGCTATTATTATCAGTATTACCTGTTATTTTATTATCATTGTTGATATTGCTTTTTATATTTACTATCCTGTTCCCGCTTCGACCCACCTTTTAATTTCATTTTCCTTTTTTCATCACTATCTTATGTTTTTATTTGGTCCTCATGGTCTCATTTTTCGCTGCGTGGTTCTTGTATTGTCCGGGTTCCTTATGACATGAAAATGGCCTTCAATTCTGTTTTAATTGAGCTTTTTGTTTTTATCTGTCTTTTCCCATGTGATCTATGACTACATGTCAAAGCACTTTGTAAACTTCTGTTTTTTAAAAGTGCTATACAAATAAAGTTATTATTATTAGTATTAGTATTATTAAACGAGTCATTAGTTATTTAGTATGACGTTATCATGACCCTTCCGAGTGAAGCATTTGTTGACTTTGCACAGCTGCGAACCCAACATCGCCAATTAATCACCTGTGCTTCAATCTCTGTTATACAGTCTGTGGTTTTATACTAGTTAGCGGAGACAATTTTAACACGAAAAGTTTTATAGACACTTGTAATGTGCTTTATTTATTGAAACCAAAACTTTATTGGGATGTGCTTTATTTTTAACCAGAACAAAGAGATCAGATCACATCACCCCAGTTCTTAAGACCTTACACTGTCTCCCATTTAGCTAAAGTAGTGGTTCTCAAGTCAAGCTCTGTAAGCCATTACAGAGCTTGATAACGAGCATGCAGGACAGTGGGCCTCGAGGACTTGACATGAGAACCACTGAGCTAAAGAATAGATTTTAAAGTTCTGCCACTGGTTTACAAATCTCTAAATGGTTTTGGTCCAGTATAAATCAATGATATGTTTGTAGAGTATAAACCCACTAGAGCTCTGAGATCTACTGGGTCAGAAAGTGGTGGACTGACATGATGAACCAGCATTTAGCTGTTATGCTGCACACGACTGGAACAAACTACCAGCAGAACTGAAATCAGCCCCAACTGTAAGCACTTTTAAATCCAGGTTAAAAACATTTCTCTTTTCATGTGCTTATGGCTGAGCTCTTTTTAATAATTTTAAACTTTATCTTTTGCTCCTGCTTTTAACTTTTTTTTTTTTTTGTATGCTGTTCTTCTAAAAAAAGTTTTGTTTTTATGTAAAGCACATTGAGTCGCCTTGGTATGAAATGCACTATATAACTAAAGATGCCTTGCCTTGCCTTGTATAGGGACTATCTTTACACAAGTACTTAGCCAATACGTAATCTAAGTCCAAACACTTTGTGGTTTACACAACTTTTTACAAGAAATATGCATTTGAGTATGTTGAATGCAGTGGGTGGGGGTCTTTAAGAATTAGCAGGTATTTGCATTTTGAATTAAAAAAAGTTTCGGATTTTTTATAAGTTTTAGATTCATTTTATATCATGTTCTACAACTTTAAGATTTTTAAGCGATAACTGTCATTTGTTTTGTATGGAGGGACCAGACACTTTGGTTTTACTTTTTAAATCATATGAGTTTCCGGTATTTTTGAAGTGTGCTTGACACCGCTGTTTTTAAAGTCATGAATGACAACACGAAGAACTTCAACAGTGTCACCTAATGGTAGAATGACATACTGTGCACAATTCATCAATAGTTGACTTTTACCGCCAGAAAAAAATCTGAATGGTTTAGGCAACAACGATAAAAAGATGAATTATGAGACACCAATGTGATAGAATAATTAAATAATCAATAAAAAATAATGGGTTTGTAAAATGGCTTTGTATCCTACTTCCTTGGCGTAAATAATGTGCAGAGAAATCAACAGAGACCTTGAGATAAATTGGTGAAGATGGTCTAAGCTGTAAAAATAAGTCCAGATGAGAAAATATAAGAAAAATCTATCGTTGAATAGTATAAAGCATTTATTTTGAAAAGTCAAAGGACAATGTGCAACCCTCACTATAAAAGTTGTTTAATGCACTGCACAGAATTCATCCTAATTTTCATCTTTGGCCTGTGGCTGATCACAATTAAAACGCTGAGTGGAAATTCTCAGCATTTCCACTTTCTAACACAAGTTATAAAAACAAGACACGCCACCGTATTGTCCACAAGATGTCAGCAAAACTCCGTAAGAGACCAGCACCATGAACTTTTCATTTGCATTTTTGTCTTTTTTAGATACTGCTTTGCAATGGGAATTATTATGGTATCCATAGGTCTATAGAGCACCACAATGATGTCAATTGTTTAAGGAATACTGGTGTCTGGTCCTGATACTGGTAATGACTGGACAAACTGATTAATCCAGGTGTGTCAGAGTGATCACAGTGATCAGTCACACCTGGGTTGATCCGTTTGTGCAAGACGTGAGATCGGAAATAAAGGAGCTGCCTTAAACTCAGGAAGTAGTGGAGCTGTGCATAGAGCCCATTAGTCTAGAATCATCTTTCATAGACAGGTATTGTGGTATTATTTGAACCAGTCTTTATTATATTTTAGAGTAGTGTGTATATAACGTAAAAAATACATGTTGCATACCAGTCCAACAAAATTACACCTTGGTGCTGTAGATGATTGTGACTGAATTAGAGATTGCCTTCAACTCGCTTTCCCCCCACAAGACTCTTGCATTCAGACCCCAGCTGAAACCCCCTGGAGGTCCGTGCACAGCACTCCGAGCCTCCATCCTCTTGATGAAAAGATCCATTCTACTGTAAGGTGACAAGCATAGATACGTCGACGCCTCATTACGTGCTAGAGCGTAATCCAGCGTCACCGCCATATTGGATGGGTCTGCCCACCTCAGGTCCGCTCAAGAGCCAAACGGGGTTAATGGAGACCGAGCAACTATGCCCGTTTTTTGCACTCTATGGTTGAAAAACCCGATGCAGTATTGAAACCAGATCACGTAGAATTACATTTCACAAATAGAATTGAAAAATATATATTTTTTATGTTTGACATTGTTCTGTATTATTGCTACATCCCTGTCGTTGTAACAAACCAAACAGTGTGAAAATCGAGCAGAGATTCGGAGAGTAATTATCAATATGGTTGGGCATTCCTACTTACCTTAATGCACTGGAAGCGCACGGGGGACCCATCCAAGATGGTGGCCGCGCTGATACGAGAGCTACATTAGGCAGCGTCAGGCTTTGAGGCGTCTACGTATATAATGTCTATGGTGTCGAGGAGCGCTCCAACATAAAGCCCGCCTCCTAAAAATGTCAACCAATGAACCCGAACTACTTACCATATTGGCCAATCAAACACGGGCCTTGCTACATTTCCCACCTATCAGTTTTGAGTTGGAAGTTCCTCCGCCACAGCCCCATATCTGTCCAATCAGGGGAGAGGCCGCCTGTGCAGAGGGCTGGGCGCGAGAATCGGCGGGATGGACAAAAATCATAATGCCAAATAGAGACGCAAGCAAGCGAGACAGAGACAGCCTGGACAGCAAGTTATGAAGGCAGAAAGACATACGATTCAATTTACTACCGCTTTTTTATGCGCGTTGTTGCCCTTTTGGAACTAGTATTAGCAGAGGAAATATAGAAACTTCCCTTGAAAGATGTTATCTCCAGTGAAGAGGGATTTTACACTGACAGCCTAATGTTATGGACTATGCATTAAGTTAGCTCACTGGCTAGCCGAACAATGCCAGCTAGATGCTGCCGTGTTTAAGAAGACACAGGATATGGCTGACAGCGATTTCTATGGATAAACGTCTATTAATGTGGGATTTAAGAAAGCTGCCAAACACAGGTTTGTCTTTGAAAGGGTTTGACCATCCCACTGACTGTCATGGACAACGCGAAACCACACAGGTTGGTGCCATTATACTCACATAATACTGCTTCATTTGTAGTATATACATGTACCACAGCTAGAGGTGAAATAGTGCACTCCTCAGTTACGCCAATGTGTTTTGTTCTTGGTTCCTTTGCATTACATTGATGGCATGCAGGATACATCCATTTTATTCACTGACAGCTTTACGTACACTGCACGTGCACCTGCACCTCCCCGCTGGAGGCTCGTGCATGGTAGACTTAGCTACTAATGTCAAAAGTATATAATTATTAATGGTTGTTAACTGACTCCTATCTGCAAATAAGATAGAACAGTTAGAAAATACGACATTGCGACAAATATAGCTCATAACTGAACTCTTTATTCCTGTCGTTAATAACTAAATTTAGAAACTGCATAATAGCTTTGCTTTGAATGAGAGGCGCGCAGCCTGCCTCTGCAAACAGCAGTGAAGTGAACAGCAGTAACCTTGGAAACAGCTATTTGAAAGTGACATGCCAATCTGTTTAGTTACAATAAATACAATTACAATATCATTTTATCAAAATATTATGCTGTATAATATATTTCATGAATTTATTCTACAATTTACATCAATTAAACTTACAGTTTTCTACAATAAACTAAGACAAAGCCTATGGGACAATACCTAACAGTTCCTGGCAGCTTAAGTGGTCATTCAACACACTTTGATGCTCAACAATAAAGAAATGAAAAAAAATGCAATCATGACTTTTTTCTAAAAACTTTAAATCATTGTTTTTCAAAAAAAAGGAGGAATTATTTAATAAATATTAAAACCTGTCGATTTGAAGTTTTTTTTGGCTCAATCTCAATAAAGGTAATATAAGAGTTGGTGGTAAAACAAGTAATTGGAGATGTTTCTGAAGTCAACTATGAAATAGTTTCTGTTTGCAGCTTGTGTGATGTGTCTATAAAGATAACGCTGATTATTGGGTGTGTTATTTATGTCTTATCCTCACCACCAGCAGAGACGAGTGATATTAAAAGATGTTTGAGATGTTCAGCTGATGTAACAGTCGCTCTCTTTACACCTTTTGAAGCACATTTTGATTTTTATTAATCTGAAATTGTAAATAATGGGCCTGCCAAAATGCAAATAAGTTACATAACTCAACCTGTGTTTAAAACTTTTTGAACAACTGGACCGTTAGTACTTTGCCAGTCCCCTGGCCACACCCCAGCACACCACCTCCTCAGTCTCAATGACACACACTCTCATACACCTCTGGAGCTGAAAGAGCCTGTTGATGTAAGATCTCCCCCTTACTCCCCTCCATCCTGTGCAGCCTCAGATTCAAACTCACCAGCTTCTCTTTGCTTTGTGAGGAATTGGTGAGGCCACGCCAAAATTCAGTTGCCATGTTCAAAGAAGACTATTTACACTCTGTCCTATACTCGACCTGAAGTGTGCGCTTCTTCCTCTATACGTACTGTATGTGTGTGTCTTGTCTGCTTTTAGAGGTGTGTTATGTAATAACAGCCTTTTAAGAAGGATAGCTTACTCTCTCCTTCAATTATTAAGCTCCTCTCCAGTATGCTACAAAGAAAGAGTTGCCCAGAAGCGAGTTTTATGGGAACTCAGAAGTACAGTACTATATGCCAACTTCTTGTGTCACTTCAGAGGAATTTTATGTTCTTGTGTGCAGCCACACATGTTGCTACCCATACTTCTCACTCTGACGCTGTTAGTCAAAAACGGATGCTACTTTGAATCTCTCAGATCTCGTTCTCACTGTAGTGGCTCATATTCAGAGCCATCAGTTAGTGCTATTCAATACCTGGAATAGCACTTAAAGTCTGGATCAGTGCTGCTGTTTTGTGAGTTATTGAAATGAGTTACTTAAAGATCCTATAAAGCATCTTTCATGTTTTCGTGTTTTTATAGCAGTATGTAGAAAGGAGGTAGCATCAAATGTTTGCTTTGCACAATCATATATTTGATACTAATCAGGAAATTGCTTACATATTTGAAACTGGAACTCACTGCTTATATGGCAATTTCTGTCGCACCATATCTGTCGTCACTATCCCACTTTTTATTCACCTACCTTATCAAAGAACTTACTTAGGCCTTGCTAACACATCTGCCCTTTTTATTTACATTTGCTCTGTGAATGTCTAGCAATGATGAGGATGAAGAGCTGCACTCCACAGACCCAGAGAGTAAAGAGAACAACAAAGATAAAAAGACCCTGTGCAAAGTAAAGTGGTCCCGGGATGAGGTAAGTACAGCAGGTTATTTTATTGAATGTAATGGGAACTCTGACCCTTTATAAGACTTTTCTTTTTGATGTGTTGAAGAATGTACTTCTGCTTTATAAGAACAGTGATATTTAAAGCTACGATTTTATTCAACTAGAGAATATAGCAGACAGCTTGTTAATGTGTGTAAGTGATATTGTTTTACTTGAATGTCTCTTCTTTCCTCAGGATGAAAAGCTGAAAAAACTTGTCGAGCAGCACGGAACAGACTCCTGGAAATTGATTGCTAACTTTTTTCCAGTAAGTATCTCAACCATTGTATCAAAATTGTGTTGTTTGAAAGAAGTATCCTATTCAGACCAGTAAGTTGTCTTATAATTATGAACCAAAATGGTTTCACTGTGGTGGCAAGTGGCTGAAGAAGCCGTATTTGCAGCTGTCAGGAGGAGTCTGCATAACCATAAGGTGAAAATAGGGTGTAATGATGTGTTGTGCTTTGTGTGTGTTTGACACAGGGGAGAACAGATGGCCAGTGTCAGCACCGCTGGCAGAAGGTGCTCAACCCAGAGCTGGTGAAAGGACCGTGGACAAAAGAGGAGGATCAGAAGGTAAGAGGAGATGGGAGTTCCCTGCTCTAGATAGAAAGAGGAATGACGACTAAAAAGGTAAATGATAGCAGAGACAGAAGGAAGCTGCAGGAAGTGCAAAAATCACTCCAACTTGAGTGAAAGAACACAACGCAAACAGAAATGCTACAAAATACCTTGTTATGTTTTTTCAACCAAAGTCTAGAAGGGCAGGGCACATGCGCAAGCCTGCTTCCCGCTTAAACTTTCAGTGCCAGAGCTTTTAGTCTTTTTTTCTTCTTTGCAGAGTAATTTCTCCACTACGTCATCCCTAATAAAGCACAGACTCTCTAAGTCACTACCTCAGAGCCCCAGCCCTTCTTGTACAGAGTGAAGCTCTAAATATTTCCTTCATCCTTCAGCAGAACAATGCATTTCTCAAATAGGTCAAAAATGTTGAGAATGGTGTCTCATTCCTGCAACATTTCAGCTTCCAAGCAGACCTATCGATAACATTCAGGGCTGCCAGTAGTGATGTCACAAAATGTTCAAGCTTTGACGGCAACAGGCTACCAAACTCTGCTGCTGCAACAATCACACTACTGCTGCTGTTTAACAGGCATAGCTTAAAGATGAGACTTCCTTCTTCAATTGAATTATCCAATTACTTTATTCTTTTATCAATCTACACAATAAAAAAATGTGTCGCAGAATGTAAAATATTTTTATTCAAATAACTTTCCTCCCTCAGGTTATTGACCTGGTACACAAGTATGGTCCCAAGCGATGGTCTGTGATCGCCAAACACCTCCAGGGTAGAATTGGGAAGCAGTGCCGCGAACGCTGGCACAACCACCTCAATCCAGAGGTGAAGAAGTCGTCATGGACTCAGGAGGAGGACAGAATTATCTATGAAGCCCACAAACGACTGGGTAACCGCTGGGCAGAGATCTCTAAGCTTCTTCCTGGACGGTAAAGTGACCATGTACACACAGCGCATGCAGGTTTTTTCTGGTCACATTTGAAGAAAAAATGCATAAATTGTCTTGATCCGTTGCCTAACAGGACGGACAACTCTATCAAGAACCACTGGAACTCCACCATGAGGAGGAAGGTGGAGCATGAGGGGTACCTGCAAGATGGTTGCAAGGGTTTTGCTTCTCCACACGCTGGAGTGAAGAGACGCCACCACAGGCCGTGTCCTCCAACCCCAACAGAGCCGCAGCACTGTGACCGCAGTCCCTTACCAGGACCCAGACCCAACCAGGTCCACTTAGCTCTAAGACTCCTACCACAACTATCATTCTGTTATCATGATCAGCAGTTTGTATCAAAGCGTGGTTCTCTGTATTGAAGGTGGTGGGATATCCGTACGATCCTCACAGCGAACACTTGATGGACAGTCTTCCTGATGATTCGGGTTTCATTCAGGTAAGTTTCTGTGTATTTTCTTCCTTTATAGTTTTGGATTCTTTATTTCCTGGGCTTTCTGTAGTTACCTTGTGACTACTAACCCTGGACACTTCAAATCAAATCACTTGAATGTCCTGTTTTTTTTTCACCTAATTTTCAATAACAGATCAAATGCTGTACAGAACACTGGGAGTAAATCTCGTGTTCTCCTGTTGATTATTATATGTGCAAATCTGTTTTTTTGTCTGTTTTCCTAACTCCTTCCTTTCCTCCTGTCCTCTCGACCTCTCTTCCCTGACGTTTGTTTATTTCAGCCATCCTGCCTGGATGATCCTGACAGAGAGCAAAGAATAAAGGAGCTTGAGCTGCTGCTTATGTCAGCAGAGAGCGAAGTCCAACGACAAGTGCAGTGCAGAGGTCCATGTGTAAGAACACACTCCGAATGTGTGTTTGCAAACCTAGTCAGCATAGCTTGCGTGTTTGTAGCTTAAATACACTGTAAAAAGTTTAAAAACAGTCATTTTAAAATCTTGATGAAATGTAAAGTTTAAAAATAAGTTTAAAAATTCAAATGAATTCTTTTTTGTCCTGGTTTAGAGAAATCATATTCAGACTTGAGTTCAAAGACTAACTGTGATGAACTTTTTGCAGTGTATAAGCATTAAAACAAGAACAGCACACTCGTCTGTGTGTCTGTGGCTTGAGTTTCTGTAGTGTTGCTATAGTAACTGCCTTCCCTATGCACTGTACTTGCTATACTTTATTAAACTGGCCTGAGGCTGTGCCTGGTAGCCCCTCGTTCCACCTCCCCTCATCACCATCGCTCCAAACATGAACCTGCTCCCCTCTCCCCCTCCTCCAGTCCTCATCCCCATGCCCACGCTGAGCCAGCAGTTTGAACCAAAGCACTCTCCTCCGTCTCTCCTCTTCTTGTTCTCACTCATTTCATGTTATTAGTCATTCTTCACATCCAGTGACTTCATAGTGAATGGTGGAGACTAGATCAACTTGTTGTAGCATCACCAGTGTTTACCATTCTTCACTTTTCATCTCGAATTTTATGCAAATTTAGAAATTTCAATCAGGCAAATATGTTTTTAACACCCTAATTCTCCTCTCATCCTCCCTCCTCAGAGTCTGGAGCAGTACTCACCGTGGTCTGACTCTGTATCAGATGACGCACTGACCGCAGGTAGCAGCAGCTTGGAGGGGCAACCAGAGAGAAGGTCCTGGAGGGGGCCTCCATCCCAGCTTCCTGTCTCTCCCAGCAAGTTCCTGGCTGTCGAGGCCAGCACTGTGCTCTCCACTCTGCACACCATACCTGAGTTTGCAGAGACCATGGAGCTCATTGACTCAGTGAGTGAACAGAAAGACCACAACAGGGAACATACATATCATAGCATTTGTTTGCCTTGCAGGGCTTATTATGAATGTATCTAGATGTGTTTGGCTCTGCAGGATCCAGTTGCATGGAGCAACGTGGCCGGCTTGGATTTGTCAGAGACCGCAACGCCGTCCAGGCATAACCAGGCAGGCTACAGCACCCTCCTGCAAGAGAGGACGATTGAAAACTCAGCCGGCTACACTCCTACTGCTTTCTCTGATTGTGACAAGAACTGTGCTCCATTTAGTCTGGGCAATGTCGCCGCCCTGACTCCTATCAGCTCATCTAAACCCACCCAGGCATCCGCTGGGAAGAGGAGGAGGAGAGAGAAGGGGGAGCTGTCTCCTCTTTCTGACAGGACTTGTGCCTCATTCTTGGAAAATATCTCAAATTCTCCAAAGAAAACGCCCATGAAATCCCTGCCATTCACCCCGTCACGAGTAAATGTTTTTCTTTTATTCGTCTTTCAATAAGAACTCGGTGTTGATTCAACATGCAGCTCATACTGTATGTCTGTTCTGTGTTTCCTTAGTTCTGTAATACATCAGGAATGGAGCATCTGAATCTGGAAAATCCTGCCCTCACCTCAACGCCTGTGTGTGGGCAACAATGTCTACTCAACACACCGCTCCAAAAAGAAACCACACCTAAGCACCAGAAAGAGAATGATGGGTAAAAAGTTACTGAAACTTTGAAAAGTCACTTTGTTTTAAGGAAATTTTCGGCATGACCGTTAACCTTAAATAAAGGAGATTGTTTGGGAGAGACTTTGATATTGTCTGTTTACTCTGTAGTCCACGGACCCCGAAATTCCGTAAAACGGTCATGATTCCAACTCCAAGAACGCCAACTCCCTTCAAAAATGCTTTGGCGGCCCAGGAGAAAATGCATGGACCGCTGAAGATGGAGGTAAAAGATCAAATGTCACTGTCACTGATTCATCCATGATATTTCAGTCTTTTGCTCACCAATATTCTCTTATACAAAACATATCCTTTGGTCTTGTTGCTAAATTTACACGTGTGTGTGTTGGTGTTTTCAGCCACAGCCGTTGGCATTTCTTGAAGAAGACATTCGAGAAGTCCTTAAGCAGGAGACTGGAGCGGACATCTTTAACAGGACAGTTGTCCCGCCAGACTTTAGGGCATGGAAAAATACCGTATGTGTACTACACTTTACCGTTGTGGTATTCAAAGAAACATACACATTTTTAAACAAAATGAAAGAGAAGTTTCAGATAAAATGTGCTGAATTTTTTTATTTGTCAATTGATTTCAGATGGATGGCCCGGCGAGAAAGGTGCGTAAATCCCTCGTGCTGGACCCTTGGGGGAAAGACTGTCTAAATGTTCATCTATTTCAAGAGCAGGTCAACAACCCACAAGTAAGTCATCATACCGGTTTACAATTACAGGGGCTGATCCTGAAACTAGACCGAAAAGCAAACTCAGTGACTATTACGAATGTAGCGCACCTAACCACAAAAAGATACTGGGAGAGGTGTGTTTGTACTTGGAAACTCCCAGACAGAGACATATATTACACTACCGATAAACAGGTTGATGGTCAGCCTTTGAAATGTCCTAAAATCATACAGTTAATAAATGATCCCAGCATAATTTCTTGTGTGTTTTTTTTAGTTCCTCTTTCAATTCAATCTTATGTTGCAGGTGCCGGATGAAAGTTTACTGACAAGTTCCTCCCTGGTCGGTCTTCTCGCTGAGCCGGAGGAGTGCAGCCGTCCTTTGACTTCCGTGCGAGAGGAGCCTTCACCAGCCCCAGTTCATCCTCATCGCTTTTCAAGTCCCCGCATGAAGAAGCTTCTCGCCTCCCACAAAGCCCCAAAACACACCAACGTACAGGTACGTGAGGCGGAATTAGTTACACATCGCTTCTGCGCTTATGAAAGCCGACCTGTTGAGTGTTTTCCACAAACAAAGTGAGATTAGCAGAAGGCTGACATGAATGCCAAATACTGTAATTCAACATTTGCAAAGCTGGACTTTGGTTTTGAAAATCTGCTTATGAGCTTCCACCTGCTTTCTCCCTGCCTTTGCTGACTCATGTAAAATTCTGGCTGCATTTCTTGGCATGTCAACTGTTGATCAGTAGAAAAATGTGAACCATTTTCAGGAATATGAGTTGTCTTTGTTTCACACATGCCCCACAGTGCTGCTTAAGTCCTAAACCTGCTTAAAGGTGCAACCTTGCAACAATAATTTCCACAATAGTGCAATGAAGTAATGACTAGTTATAATTGTTTATACTTCTACAGGTGAGTGAGTGGGAAGCAGTGGTTTATGGGAAGACAGAGGACCAACTGATCATGACAGAACAGGCCCGTCAATACCTGAACCCTTACCCATCATCTGGCTCTACCTCAAGAGCCCTTGTGCTTTAAAGCCATCCGTCCAGCTGAGCAGGCAAACACTACTACACCCCGTCCAACCTCCACTGAAACCTGTGAGAGACAATCCAGTGAAAAAAGCAGAAATGGACTGCCAAAACTCACCAGGACAAGACAAGCTGCTGGTATTGTTTTCATCACCTTTTTAGGTCACTGCTCACGTAGTTCTGTGTTTGTAGAGCCGGCTTATTTAATGTTTCAAAACACACAACATAGCAACAGAAAAAAAGGTAGGTTTAGTTTCTGCACTCTACAGTGATATTAAAGCAACCTACATAAACAACAGGCTGTAAAAAGTGTTCATGTTTAGCTGTGGCTGCTTCTGAGTGTCATATTGTTAATATATTGTTCAAAAGATGAGAAAGACATTTTATAGCGTAACACTACTCACAGTGTATCTCCTCTTGGTTCAGCTGAACTGCCACACTTCTGTTATCAGATAAAAACACTCACATATGAAATAGTTTGGTTTAATACGTGCATGTTTTAACCACACTGTCAGTTTTAATAAGACACAGAGCACAATGATAACCCTTGTTTTGCAAAATTGCAGAAAACGTTTGGTTTCTTTTCTATTATTTCTCCGACAGCGGGATTAGGTTGCTGAAAACCTATCTTTAGTGATGTGAAGTTTTTGAGGATGAAGATAAGAAGCTGTCACTATTGCACTACTGAGTGAAATTTTGCTGCTGAGGAAAAAAAAAAGGAGCAGTGTTTTAAAGGGCAAACTGGATAGCACTTGTTACAGTATCTTTTCAAACAATACAGCATTTCCTGTCCAAGGCCATAGTGTCCATCCTGACATGGGTTGAATGTATCTCATTGCAATGAACATGTGTAAGAACCTCAAAAATAGAAGGGTACCTTAATGTTTATTTCTGTTTATTTATTATCTTACAGCTCTAAAGCTTAGATTTTAATATAAATCCGTCACCATGAGGTTTTATGAAGTTTAACTTTGCTGACAAAACAGCCTCAAAATGCTCACTAAGAGCTTGGACGATGAATGGTTGCCATTGCTTTGGTCAGATGGTTAATATGTCCTGACCTCTTTTTACATCATCTGTGTTCGACAAAAAGCATTTGGTCAAAAAAAGGATTTAGTTTTTCTTTTTTTTTTTAATGAAGGCTGCAGGTTTTATTTATTTAATGTCTACTAATTTATTTATTTCTAAAAAAAAAGAAATCATTTAAAAGAAACTATTAAAGAATTTTATTGTCTTTACTCTTTCAAAAATCAGGATTGGGCTACCGTTCAGTTCCATTACTCTGAGTTAGAAGAACATGCACTGCCAATAATTTAATGTGTTAATTTTCCTCCAGATCAGAGTGGATCTATAATCATTGAGTAGTCGTATTTGTCATCTTGTAACATGTAGATAGCCCCTTTATTTCCCATTAACTCTAATGTGTTCTTCGTAGCAGAACTCCATCTCCGACCTCTAATCATAGACAATTTGCACTTTTTACTCTTCATTTGATTTGAAGTGTTCGTTCGTTCAAGTCTCGTAGCTCTTGTCTTCATTTTTATTTTTGTTTTGTTTTTGTGTGTATGACTCCTGTGAGATTGTCTCCCTGTTTTCTTGATGTAATGCTGACAGTCAGATCTCGCTGCTTTATTGTGTTTTCTTCCTGTTGTGCTGCAGAAATGCGTGCTTTAAAACACTACTTTGAAGCTTCCGTTAGACTGATAGCTGTTGTCAAAATCACAGCAACCAGGATCTCAGTTTGACCCCTGCAGCAGCCAGTGTTTAAGACTTTACACCCTACTTCTCCTACCATTGAGTAAGACCCTTGACTTTTATTTGGTACCCAGTGTAAAAACAAAATATGATCCAAATGGGTCAACATTTTTTATTTGATTCTAAAGGAATGCTTTCATGTGAACAGGCATTATTAATCATTATGCTTTATATAATCTGCAGCAGAAACACTACGGCTATAAATGGCCTTCTCTGCATTATCGATGTTCGTAGATCCGGTAATCTGGATTATCCTGCATTAAGCATCAGGGGTGAGAATAAGAGGAGAATCTTGTCAGGGAGATTAAGAGGAAAGATCAGAAGTTCAAAGAAAAAAAAACCTCTAAGACAGAAAGTAAACTGATATCTACAGAAGGAGTTTTGACTCAGATCTGGTGGCTGACGTGTTGAATCTGTATATAATTGTGTTTGTTGGTTTGTACATTCCATTTGTGAAGTCCGAGTCGGTAGGTTTGTGTGTTAACAATATTTGGCCATGTAACATAATAGATTTTAAGGGAATTGAGAGCAAATACAGGATAATAGCAGCTCTTATATACTACTGTAGTTAAGCATGAGCAATACACAAGATGCTGGACTTAAATCTAACTGAGGGTGATTCACATATGTCACTTGCTCTGTATGTTGTAGCATTTTCAAAACTGAATTATAACCAAGGTACCATAGAAATCCTGCCAACCATCTTTGTAACCGTGTACTTCTTTGGATACAAAATAAATAAATGCATTTGTTGCATGATTTCTACAGCAGTTAGTTTTGTTTTTGTACTTTTCATGAGTGGAAAAAAAAGATTTTTCTTACCCTTGTTCAAATCACCATAGGTTATGTGGTATTTCTGACATAATAAAGATTTCAGATGATCCTTTCCTTTTTCTGACATGCTCACAGCAGGCACAGAACCTTCTTGAGCTCTTGCCAAAATCAGATTCCTCCCTTCTGTTTTTTTGGAAAAAGTCTAAATCAACCATCTTTATGTTTTTTTTGCTTTGCTCCAGGTGGGGTGGACAGCCATGCAGGTTGTTTTGAAAAGCTCCGGTCCAAAAGTGATAGAGAGGTTTAAGAGAGCAGAGTAGAACACCCCCCTGTCATGTATATGTTAGGATGCTGTCAACTTGGCCTGGGGTCCAGGGGACACGAGCCCCCTCCATCAGAACAAGAGGCCTCTCCACAGGGTCAGCTGCTTGCCCTAAAGGGGCCCACTCACCCATGACTTAATGCCCCCAGGCTCCTTTGTCCATGAGGCTGTTGGTTTTTTACAGGCCCATTCACTCGATTGCCCCCCAAACGGAGGGCGGCAGAGGACGTGACGACTTGCCTTATGCTGGAGGGACAGCAGAGCGCATGCATACAAACAATGTTCACGTTCCACATGCACGCCATGTCCACTTAATCAATCTGTCCTCCTTACGCCCTCGTTCGCGTACAAGAGGGTCTATTGTTCTTGGGTGACCCACACTCAGAGTTGAAAGATGTCAGGGACCTTTTGCCACTTAATTGGTTATTGGCAGCAGCCCCTCCACCTTATGCTTCATGCATGTGTTTAAGGGGAGCAATTCTTCAATTGCATTGACTTCATGACATCCAGGACACTTGAATTTTACAGACAGCAGACCTTTTTGATATTTAAAGCTTTTAATGTGGCGTCCTTTATCCAAGCCTCTTAAGGATGCAACTGGTGGTTATTTTTATAAATGTTACCATGCATAGTATTTTAACGATTTTTTTAAGACTCAAAGTTGTTATTAGGTTTGTATAGGTGTTCATCAAAACTTCACCGTCATAATGAGATAAAGGACTTACTAATTTACCCAACTAAGAAGCTGTGGCCAAAATTTTGCTGTGTGTGTGTGTGCGCGTGTGTCTATTTTTGTGTCTACCTTGTTCATAGAAGACATGAAACAGAGCCTGCAGGCGCCTGACCAAACCTGCCCTACCCTCTTCCTCTGAGCATACACCCAAAAGCTACAGCACACACACACACACACAGTTTGCCTTTGTGTATGCTAGACAGCAGATGGCAGCCCATTATTGGGCTGACAGAGCAGTCATCTGGCAGGCACCCTGTTACCCCCCCACCCACCCACTCACCCACCCCCCTCTCCTCTTGCCGCCCCCATCCCAAGACACCCAGCACAACACAGCGAGGGTGGGACACTTTTAGGCGGGAGAGTCCACAGCTCAGGGAGAGAGCGAGAGAGAGTGTGAGTGAGTGTGTATGTGTGTGTTTTAAAATTGGACCCTGGCCTTTCCGCCCTATATAGGTCACTGTTTCCACTTGTGTGTGTCAGCACCCTGTGAGGTAAGTCAGGCTCCCTTTGGACTGTGGATCTGGCATTTTCTTGAAGCCAAACACACAGTGGGAGATTTATTTCTGTATAAACTTATCTGAATTTGGATGACGTAACTCCAAGAACCTTTGTGTGAGTGCTAATCTGCATTTACTGCCGTCACTTTGTGAAAGAAGCTTATTTGGAGACAAGATACCATTTCTTTTCATCCCCCTTCCAATTATGCACAAATGTTAAAACATATCTCCAGAATAAAAAGAACAAATGCAATCTTCTTTTATATCTTGCCAAGGTAAATTTTGAAGGAAATGTGTAATATTCTTTGTAACTCCCTCTTTTATTTCAGAAGTAAGAGCCACAAGCTGCAGATTATCCCTCAAACAGAAACAGCAGCAGTGAGGCCTCCTCAGATATTCTCCTCATGAATCAGAGTTTGTTCAGAGGACCAGTGCCGCTGTCTCTCTTTGTAACATTTACACCCTTCCCCTTGCAATACATGTCTCCCAAACCCTGGCCCCAGAGTGGCTGCCTCCTACAGCCTTTATTACAAAGGATTATACAACAGTGAATATCAAACGGTGGGGCAGAAGGAGGAGGAGGTGTTTCCCTAATGCAGGTCAAGGCCAAGGTTAGGATTAGGTTTGCTTTCTGTGTCCTCTGGAAGGAGGTAATCTTCAGCCCACCCTTTACAGACCCTGCTTGGGTAACATGCTGGGAGGCACCAGCGAAGAAGAAGAAGACGACGACGTCTACATGTGACATCTGAGAGCTGCCTTAGTGCTGCCCTGGCAACCAGCACAATCCGTGCTCCTTTGGCGAGGTTTTCAGCAGGCCTCAGTCATACTTCCTCTCTCTTCAGCTCTGTTAAAAAGAAGGGAGGCCCAGTATGTTCAGGGGTAAATGAAGAGGAGCTGAGGTAGAATTCCACTGGAAAAAAAGAGATTAGTAAGAAAGGATCTACAAGATTTATCATTAAAATTATAACTCCATTTTATTAGGCAGCAGATTACAGACATTTTTACAGTTTTGGCTAAGCAGCTGAACACAAATCATGGAAAAAAACGCATTTACAGTTAAATTTCTTAGGTAATAGCATCAAAATCAATGAATAAGGCTATATTCGGCTCTTTAAGTAGTGCTCTATGTTACACATGAATTATACCTATGTCATTTAAGGTGGCGATGATTACAATTAGGATTTAATTCAGGCATTAACCCAGTTTTTGCTTTAATCAAGGTATGCAAAACCGGGGCAGAAAACAGCAGCCTCTCATCTCTGTGCGTTTCACAGGCATTTACAACTATTGCCCCGCCCTCATCAGTGATGTCACAGCAGACAGAGACCCTCATTTGGAAAGGGCAAAAGGTGTCACCATCTTCCCCACTGCACAAAAGTGAAGCCAAAATACCCCCTGTGACGAGCTATCATCATCGTTTGTGTCATTTTCCATCTGCTTACATGGAGAGGGTGGGCTTTATAAACTACGCAGCAGCCTGTCAGTAGGGGTAGGCTAACATTTATTTTGGCTTCACTTTTAAGGAGCTGTTGGTTTGTCTGTTATTTTTATACAGTCCATGATGACACTACTGCTTGCACGCTCAACAATTCGACTTCTTGAATTAAGGATTGCAGTCAAATCAAAGTAAAATATTCTATGCCAACATCAGGATATTTTGGACCTATCATTTCTCATTTTAAAGCTTCCATGGCTCACTCACAGTCTCTCCTAAAGCAGCTACCCAGAACTAAGCCGAGGTCATTTTAGTCGCCCTCGAAGGCCCTGTTGGTGGCTCCCTGGCATTCACTCTTTTTCCGGCACTTGGACAGGATCCTGTGGAGCAGGCCTGGGGATCTCTGCATTTGAGGATTGGAGGCCACCGCGAGCTGGGACATAGAGTTCTGGGGCCTCCTCACCAGGAAGGGGCCCTCAGTCTGGCCTTGGCCCCCATCCAGCCCCACTCCTCCTCCTCCTCCTCCCCCTCCTCCTCCTCCTCCTTTGCTCCCCCTCTTGAGTGCCCGCAAAATGTGTCCACTGGGGGACAAAGAGGAAATAACAAACACAAAGGCCCTGTTTATTCCTCATGACCCAAATTCCAGCATGAGCAGACAAGACAGGCACTGGGCTGTACTAAGGACTGTGTGTGTGCCTGTGTGTGTGCATGTGTGTGTGTGTGCAAAGTTCAGAGGCAGACTGTCAAAAATAAACACCCTCGAGCTGTCAAATAAACAACAAGAAAAATTGCACACTACTTGCTGCAACATCACATTATTGACTTGAATAAAAGTTGATTCAGTGTTTGATGATCCTTCATTAATATTTTCATTAGATTTGGTTCATCTGTCAAATATTTTCATTAATTTTCTTGTTTTAAACTACAAAGTATATCCTCTTCCTCCTGTTCATCTTGCTGTAATAAATGCAGCGAGATAAAGTAGATTAGCTTGTGTGTGTGTGTGTGTGTGTGTGTGTGTGTGTGTGTGTGTGTGTGTGTGTGTGTGTGTGTGTGTGTGTGTGTGTGTGTGTGTGTGTGCATGTGTGTGCGCCTGTGTGTTTCAGGGGGTGGGGGTTAGTAATCAGTGTGCTTTATCAACAAATGAGGGACGAGAGGGGCCACCTGTTCAGGGGTGCTGGGCATAGAGCAGAGCGATGGGTTTGGGTGTTGGGGGATGTGTGGAGGTTCAGTACTCGAACAGCTGCTGTGTGTGTGTGTGTGTGTGTGTGTGTGTGTGTGTGTGTGTGTGTGTGTGTGTGTGTGTGTGTGTGTGTATGCATGCACTTGTTGAGGGATATGTGTTATCTCTGTGGCTGCACACTTACTTTCCGTGTCCACAGTGTGGATTATTGTCGAAGGATGAGCTTCTCAGAGAGACACTCCGTCCTAAGGCTTTTGGAGGGAGATTCACCTGAAAACAAGACATTTATTTTCTGTTTGATCATATATTTGAACACACTCTGGCTGCCTTGTAATCTTCCTTGCATAGGGATGAGAATCGAGAACCGGTTCTCAAATGGTTCAATCCATCGACGTTGTTTACATTTTATCTCTTAATTCCGACCAAAGTAAATGCTGTACAAATAGTTTGTTGTTTGGTTATTTTTTTTAGACTCTTACTGAAGGTGGCTTTATCTTTTTCTGTTATCAGAGACTTAATAAAATTTTTAGTTAATGATGAAAACCTATAGTCTACTTTTTTCAAATCAAAGAAAGACATTGATAAGGGAATCATTAAAGATCAATACCCAGAATCAATAATGGCATCGATATCGATAAAATCTTATCAATTCCCATCCCTATTCTCGCATATTAAAATATCTCATGAGTCTACATATGTATACTGCAAAACACACAAAGGGTTAAAGACAAGACAAAATTCTTGAAATTTGCAATCAGACAAACAATTTTAAGCAAGGCTGATGAGAGACCTGAAAAGGCTTTTTAAATTTTGAATATATCTTAAAAAAATGATAACAATAATTGAGGATTTCCTGTAATTTCTTAGCAGTGAAGTAAAAATAACTGCCATGGGCCCTTGCTGCATTCAAAAAACAACAAATTTTATATTTCCATAACTATTTCCATCGCCCACAAGCGCACCTTATCTTTACTGCACCGACTATCAACTTTGTAATGCAGACAGTAAGACAGGCCAAAGAGTGATATAACCCTATTGACGCCACTGTGACATCATCTGAGTTATTTTAAACGACTTCATAAAGAAGGTTTTAAATGCTCAGTTTTTACACTATTCAGGCAGGGATGATTTCACATACAAAAACTGTAGAGCAAAAAAAAAATTAAAAATTAAATTATTTGTTCTGGAGGGAAATAACCCATAGTGTTTATTTACTGTGATTCTATAGTTTACTTTACATCAATCAGTTGATTAATAAAGTAGGAGTTAATGGGGTCTGTTAATTGTACCCTGGTGTGAAAGAGAACAACAACTATAAAAAAAGAAAGAATAAGAACAGTCTGTCCACTGACACTGAGCAGCAGCAACAAGAGCACAGTCCAGTAAAGCTGCATTGCTGAGCTCATTCAGGCAGCCAACCAACCTGGCTCAGCTCCATCACACAGGAGGCGGGGAAGTAGCCCCGCTGGCCGTCCTGCAGCCGCCCAAACCACCTCCCCTCCTCGTGTTTGGACAGTACCAGGATTGCGTCACCCGGAGTCAGCTCCAGCTCATCCGGCCAGTGCGGCCTGTATCTGTGCACCACCACCATCTAATGGACAGAGGGGGGAATACAGTGCACACACACAGACACATGCACTGAGTCAGGGTCTTAATCTATGATCTGTAGAAGATTTCAAAATGAGACAGCCATGGTGCAGTCCTCTTTGTTGAACCAATAAAAGCTGCAGTCACTTTCTGTGCTCCCTGTAAACTACAGGTCAGGCTCAGTGAATGAAGAGGATTATGTGTCAAGACCCAGAGATTAACTGTCGAGTAGTGAAATAGAAACCCTAAATCTGGGTCTACTCTTCATTATCTGTCCCTACTAAATATGGTGCATGCTTGTAAAAGGAATTAGACAAATGGAAACACACAATGGAGATAGAGGACATCAATCTTACATAACATCAGTGTCAAACTCGTATCAATTAATATCAAAAATCTTGAATTTCAAGAGATGCTATGTGCAGTTTTTGTGATTTTACATTTGCAACCTGCAGAAAAACAATTATTTTACTCTGTGTAAATAAATGAAGGAGGAAGTCTGACTTGCCTTTTCAGCTTCTGCCCTGAATCGGTACCTTGCTGTTTATCATACGGAGTGGAAATCAGCAAAAATCAGATTAGTTTTATAATTTGTCACAACTGCAAATGTGCATAACAGTCTACACAAATCAATGCATGCACATGGGTGTCACATGAACAGCCCACAAAGAGAGACAACAAAGCATCTATCCCATCATTTATTCATGAATTGACACTGATATGCCATTTTACAATCATAACCACCTAAATACTGTCGTGCTAATCCTCATTTCCCTGCAGATATGATTCCACTCACCTTGTGGAGCAAGGACGGTGGTGAACACTTCAAAGTGTTCATTGCTGTGCATGTAGATGCGCTGCATCTTCAAGATCTGACACTCGCACACTGACCGCAGCTCCTGCACTCCCTCTGCACTACCTTTAAATAAATGCAGCTGACTAATCCACTGCAGCAAAGACCGGAGCGGGACACAAGCAACAGCATGTCCTCTGAGGACATGACACACGCATGCACGCACACAGAGTGCACGACAAAGGACTAATGGCAGCAAGTGTGAAATATCAAGATTAATACTTATGTTTTCTTGGTTTATGAACCTGAAGTCAGAAGAGGAAACTACTTTGTTTTCAGCATTTTTAAGCTCTGCAGTCCCCATGTCAAAACTCATGCCTGACTGCATCATCTTTAAGCCGCTGTCCATTGTTCTTTGGCCATCTGGTCACAGGGGAGAGACATGTTGGCAGCCACGTCTTGCCTGACATAACCAAGAATTCATAATTTTACCTTGTGATCTGGTGCTTGATTGATTTTGGGTTATTGACTGTGTCCAATTTTCCAGCAGCCTGGGTGAGCAGGGACAAAGATGAATGGGCTTGGGACCAGGTTGGCGGACAGCTCAACAGATGGTGATTTAAACAAGCCCCCCCAACATACCCACACCCATCCCCTCTCCCGCTCTGGTGCGATGGAGCTTGGCTGTGAGCTTGTGTCAGTGATTAAAAAGCATCCATCAGTAACATGAGGCATCATTCAGGCAGACAGATATATCTGAATGATGTAGCTTTGCTGCGAAGCTCCAACTTTTACCAAAAAGCATGAATCAAACTTTTACTGATATGTTTTATTTTCTTTATTAATTACAGTCAATATGAGCAGGAAATAAGGCCCAAATCCTGTCAGGAGGGGAGTGGATTAGCTTAGTGAACTGAAGAGGGAGTGTGTTTACTAGAAGAAGAAAAGACAGATAATTAACCTCATTATCTTTGGCCCGAATAGAAACACTTGATGCGGCTGCAGTCTCTCTGGCTGTCCTTCAAAACTAGTATAACAGAAGGTCCACTCGCGTAGAGGTCAAAACATCATCAATTTTACTATTCTTATACTCAAAGTGCCATGAAGAACTTCTGAAGTGCAGAAATTTTGGTTCTTTCACCCTCTCGACTGCTGCTTATTCAGTGTGATGCCTCCTGTCTAGACATCAAGGCCAAAGAAAAGCCTTTACATAACCAAACAGCAGAGCTAAGCTGCTTAGAAACTGATGTGATGTTTGTTCCTTCCAGGAAGAAGAAAATACACAAGTGCTGGCAACGTTCAGGTTCAAGATTTTTTTACTGCCGAGTGAGCTTTTGAAAAGGACATGAAACGAAGCTGTGTGGTCGTATTTTGAGAAAAGTTAGATAACATCAGTTACATCAACCTTTATCAATCCATTTAAAATACGTTTAATCCGTTAATAGAGGCTTTCTTTGACCTCAGCTGATGACGTTGTTTCATTTAAGCAAGTTTTAGATAGTGCTTTAGACTGTTTTCAGTGAAAGATAAGATTAAAAACTAATTTTTGACCTTGTATGCTGGTGGGAACTCTTTTATTGGGATTTTTCTAGTAGGGGAGAGTGGGGTAAGATGAGCCATTTTTCATATTTCAGATCACTACATCAAGGTAATCATAGTTTTGTCTCTAACTAGTGTATCTGCATATATTTCAAGATGTTGTGCATCCCTGCAAACCAACAGAATGAGTGTCTTGATAATATAGCATGCCAAAAAAAGTGGTCTCCTATGGTCAACTTACCCCGTGTATGGGGTACTACTCCCTACTACCCCCCACTCTCCACTCCAGCCCTCCCTCACCTTCTCTCTCCCTAAATAACAGTCACTTCTTCACATTCACGTGTATTTTTATCTATTATACACTATTTAACCGGTACAGTAGTTTTTTTTATTATTATTGCATGTAACTGCTAAAAATCAGTTTTGTAAAAAGCCATTTTATCATGAGAATGTCTTTAAGTGATTCAGAACATTCACAGCTGTATTTTTGAAAAGAAAAAGTAAAACATTTCAACAATCTGAACTGAAACTCTGATCCTCTCATCAGACTCCTTTACTTTCTAAGTTGAGCCACGGGCTTATGTTAGGTTTTTGACCTCATGATGTAGATCATAGCTACCACAATAAAACTTATGAAAGACTAAATTCTCTTTCAAGAGTGATTTTTTTTTTTTTTTTTTTTTTTAAATAAATGTTTAACCCCTTCACCCATGTGCTTCTAATCTTCACTGACTCCATGAATTAATGCCCATGTCCTAAATATTTGGTCACATGATCAATTTTTTTTTACCGTTTAAAAGCAACAGGAGGTGGCTCAACTTACCCCACTCTCCCCTATCTGGTCTGTCTTTCTTTTTCTTTCCTACAGTTAAAGGTTGAGATGTCAGCCCCCCACACTTAGTAGATGATGATTCCAGAGGAACTCTTTCACATTGAATAAAATGGTTGGATTTAGTCATAAGGCTGAAGATAATGTGTAAAACTGCTTTTAAACAGTTCAATATGTGACATAAAGCAGTCAAAATGTAAATGTGTCTGTTAAATGCTCATTTAAATGGGTGATTATTTTTATAATTCTGCATCAAATTAAAACGGGAGAAGAAAGAGTGATCACTTAATATTTTAATTTGTTTCTGTATTTTCTATTAATACAAGTATGAATCATTGTCTTCCATGAACACTGGGACAGATATTTACAGATTTGTTAACAGTTCGAAGGCACACTGGCACCTGAAACAGTCCTGCACAGTCTCAACACATCACTTTAGTCCTTCCAATGTTTTTCAGATCCAGCAGGATGACAGTTCTCAACGCTTCCCCACTTTGCCTCTCCTCTTGTTTCCTCCACCAGCTTTGCCTCCTTTACCCTTCCCTCCTTTTCCTTTGCCTTTTCCTTGCATGTTTCCTTTTCCTTTTCCTTGCATGTTTCCTTTGCGCCCTTTCTTTCCTGCTCCTTTCTTGAATTTCGCTGTGGCCTCCTCTCTGTCCTCCTCTCTCATCTGCTTATTCACGGCCTTGGTGACGTCCAGTTTGGGCTTCTTGCTGTCCATTACTTTGAGGAGCTCCAGCTGCTTGTTCTTCTCGTTTGAAAAATCCCCAATGAGAGGATCAAACTTTCTTTTCTTGCCCTGGTTTTTAGGAGCTTTCTCTTTTGGGAGGCTGTCCTGAAACCTCCCCACTGATGCTGTGGATGTTCTGGCCACGCTGACAGCTCTGGACAGCTCGTCTTTGGACTGCTGGGCTTTAGGGGTCAGTCCAACACCAGGTACCTTGACCTTCTGCGCCCTGGCGATGTTTTTCAGCCTGTTGTACTCATTTTTAGCCACTCTCTCCTTCTTGGCTTTGTTGCGTTTGGCGAACTGGTCCTCATTGGGGTCTGCAGTCTCAGGTACCTCAATCAACCACTCTTTGGTGCCATCATTCGCCCTCTTGTACCCCCAGCGCCTTCTCCACTCCTTCGCAGTTTCATCCCACACTAGATTGGTCTTCTTCTTCTTCTGGATGCCCTTTAGCTTGGCGAACTCTTCCCATTTGGTGGGCGGTTTAGGCTTTGGAGGGGGTTTCTCTCTGGGTAGAGGGGTCGCAGGGTCCGGTAGTTTGGCCACTATCGCCTCCTGGACCCTCTCGGTGGGCAGTTTCCAGATCTCGTTGATGAGCAGCTGCGTGTTGTCACGAGCTAAAGCCCGCAGGAAATCGTCTTTTTTCTGCTCTCTGAAAACTCGCGGCTCTACGCGGTTTTTGTCACAAGCGAGCAGGTTTCCGATGTCGAAGTCCAGGTCCAGCTCCTTGAGGACGGTGATGCTTTTCAGTTTTTCTGCCTCTTCTTGCTCAGCTTTGGCTAACAGCGCTTCTACACTGCACGCCGCCATGTTGGAAAATGCTGTTAAATGATCAGTCCACACGTGCGTCGGAGAAAACACGACGAATCACTTCCGGGTCTCAGTTGTCATGATGCAGTTCCATCTACATCCACAAGAGGGTGACATCGTTCCACTTTTCTTTTTGTGTTCTTGAGGTTAAAATCGGTGTAATTCAGGGAGTCAAGACAGGGACAGACTACAGTATGTGCTAATAACCCCTAAGTAATGAGATACCTTATTATTAATAATAATAAAAAACTACTACTACTACTACTACTACTACTGCTACTACTACTAATAATGATAATAACAACAACAACAACAACAACAACAACAACAACAACAAGAATAATACATTGGATTATAATAATAATAAAATCAATCAGTCAATCAATCAATCACTTTATTTGTAAAGCACTTTTTTATACATGGACTGTATCACAAAATGCTGTACATTAAAGAACACAAGAAAAATACAATACAATACTACTACTACTACTACTACTATTACTACTACTTCTACTACTACTACTACTACTACTTCTACTAATAATAATAATAATAATAATAATAATAATTATTATTATTATTATTATAACAATAACAATAATAATAATTTAAATAATCAGAATAATAATTTGATTAATAATAATAATAATAATAATAATAATAATAATAATAATAATAATAATAATAATAATAATAATAATAATAATAATTATTATTATTATTATTATTATTATTATTGTTGTTATATTATTATTTTAAATGAGAACAACAACATTTATTGAAGGCAAATCTTCATGTCATAAGGAACCCAGACAATAAAAAGAAAAAACAAAATAAATACAATATACAATGCGCATTGGCAGAAAAACAATTTAAGAGACAGCTCTGTAGCAACATAGATAATCATTCTTTGAAAGGGTGTAGGATGAAGTTGATAAAACTTCTAGTCTTACCCCTTTAATATTGTGTTACTGTAATTTAATCAGTCAGAGCATGTGTAGGAATACCAGCACAGAAGAAAGAAAATATATATGAAAAAGACAGTACAGGAACCATGCAACATAAAATGAGACCACAAGGACCAAAATAAAAACATAAAATAGTTAAGAAAATGCAATTAAAGGGGGGTCAAAAGCAGAAACAGGATTGTAAATATACAAGGCAACATTAACAATGATAATAAAATAATAACAGGTAATACTGATAATAATAGTAATGATAAAATTGAGCAACAGAAATGAGCAAGAGATAATAAAAAAGAGTACAAGTATAACAAAAGCTAAAAAGACAGTATAACCGAAATAAGACAGAGGTAAAAGATATAAGAGATGACAGATAAAAGATAGAAGACAGCATCACATAAAAGAAAATAACACTGAAATTATTTTAGATCTTTGCATATACAAATAGCATTTACAAAGATAGTACCTTCGAGTGAATGTACAAACTATTAAATTATGGGCACATGTCTCTCAACTTTTTCTATTGTGGGCACAAGATAAATGCATTCCCCTTTGTTTAGAGGTCCATCACAGTCAAACATTGCTTATTTTAAGTTTAACTTATAGACACAAGATGTCTCCCTTTCACTGTTCACAAATGATTTAAAGCCTCATGAGTAACTTGCACTCAAATGCAGCCATTGATATTCAAAGAACTTTAGACACACATCTGCCCTTAAACTCAAAATCAGAGAGTGAGACAAGGAAGGGAATATTTTCTTGATTCTGAATGAAAATATCTCAAGGAAACAAGTTTTAGTATCAGTTCAAATGCTTTTCGGCTGCTTTAGATTGTAATGGAGGTTAATTTTTTACTTTTTATTTTCCAAACAACTGTCAAGAAATATGACTGGTGACAAAAATTACTTCAGTCTCAGTGCTATCATCTAACCCCTTTACTTTATAATTCAATATTGTATAAATGTCATTTTTAAAGTTGCGAAATTTCCATAGGCCTCCAAAAATATTACTTTGAGTGTTTCACTGAGGGTTTAAATCCTCTGTTATATATCCTAAACATACAGTCTGTATATCTCTATAAGTGTCCTTGTCTGCACCGATATGAAGGAGATAGAAGTGGATGACGAGGACTAAGAGAAGGAGGAAGTCCTTTAACAATCGACTGGCTGCTGGTGGCAGAACAAAGATGGTGTTATTATTTTTGGCTGCAGTAATTAAATTCATCGCCACACTTGCCATGTGAATGCTAACAAGGTGACAGGCCCAGAGATAAGGTCACAAGTGATGCTGTGTTTGGAGATGTGAGAAGGAAACGAGTAATTAGTGGCCCAAAGTCCCAATCCTGTTTTGCAGAAGGCTATAAGGTCCTCAGTGACGTGAATGTATATTGTCTAAAATCACCTAATTTAAACAGAGTGCACCACTCAGCTGCTGGTCTTCACTACTTTAGTCATCCACCGTCTCCTCTGGTGTTGAAGGCTTTTTGCTGACTTTTGATCCAGTGTGAATTCAACTTAACAGGATTAACTTTCCATGGTGTTTCTTTTATAGAAGAATACACATCACAGGCTGGATAAAGTTCTCCATGAGCTGTGACCATAGAGCAAAAGCATTGGCACCCTCTATAAATGTGCTTAAAGGATAGATATAGAAATGGTCCCCTCCATTACACATCGCTGCTTTCATGTGATAAATCTCTTTTCATGTTTGATATTTTTATTTATTGGCTATTTGTAGAGCTGAATCCTCTCTAAAAAGTGATTTAGTTGGCCTTTAGATCCTTAAAAGTGGGCGTTTATGACTGCAGGGAGGATTTAATCTGACATTGTGCAACTGACATAATCCTACCTGAGTTCACAGTGTAGCTGAGTTGAAGTCCGACTTTATACTGCAATATCACAAAGAAGAGACACAATTACATAAGACCTGCCTTCAAAGCACAAGTGTTTCCTGGTACCTAAAAATAGAAAATAAAAAGTTTCAGTAAGCCATTATAGAATCAATTAAATCTGAGAAACAGAGTATAATAAATGATGCATCAATCTGTAAGTTTATCATACATAAAACAAAACATCTGCTGATGAAGGTTGTTGTTGTTTTGATGTAAAGATATGCTTCAAAATACTTAATCTTGATTCAAATGGCAATCAGACATCATTAAGATGATTAATATTTAGATTTTCTTTTCAAATCAGACAAACCAATAAAACAAGCAACATCGGACAATCTCATATACTATGAATGTTTTAAAACATGTTTGAGTGTTTTTACAACATACAGTATAACACAATATCATTTTATCACTTAAAGGATATGATATGATAAAAAAAAGGAAAAATATAGGATATAACACTATGTACTAGTACCATACAACATAGTTTGATACCAAGCTAAATAATATATTACAGTAGAAAAGGTACATTTTAAAGATACAATAAGATTCAGTAAAATACAATGATACAATAATATGATGTGATATGATTTTGTGCAATACAATGCAATACAGTGCAATATGATCTACAACATCATCATACAATAAGATACATTACAATACAATACAATATGACAGGATATGATATGATACGATGCATTACACAATGATTCTGTACAATATGATATGATGCAATACACTAAAATAGGATATGACACAATAAGATATATTATTGTATATTGTAATACAATATGACATATTATGATACCTTATACTTGATTATTTTGAGGTGTCATTTCTCATTAATATTTGTCTAAAAACTAATTATGAAATTTTTGATTTTTGTCTGTTGCTTGTCCTTTGCTGCCGTTTGATGGGATCTCTCCTGTTAAATAAATGGAGTACCCATGACTGACAAGACACAGGTCTTGTCACAGATCAATCTTGTATGGCTTCACTTTCTTTTGTATCCTCTGTATAATTCAGCTGCAAATGCAAAACATGATGTCCTTGAAAATGTTTGTATCCTTCTTTTTGTTTCATGCTGTACAGATCTAACCAAGGCCAAGAAGAGCACACAAAGAAATGTATCTTTGCATTTGTTTGGGAATAATAATAAACATTTAGCATCCAGGTAACAGCCCTTGAGTCTTTTATCCGGTGAGTCATTTTCTCCTTAATGACTAAGAGTATTTGAAACAACTGAGATATGATTTCTGTAAGTCCTTCTGAATAGACTCATGCTCTTTAGAAAGAGAAACCACCTGTGAATGGATAAAGAAGCAGCTATAAACTCATAACTCTGTTTGGATCAGTGGTTTGCATTATTTAAAGGATTTTACTCAACGTTATGTACTCTTCTTTGATGACATAGGCACAAATGGAGGGCAAATACTTTTTTTGTGATTTATTCTAAGATTTTCAAATCAAGGCTTTATATTAAAACTGTTTTATTAGCATCTGTATGCTATATTTTGTTCATAAATCAGATGACAAACTGTGATCTTTTTATCATCTTCATCCTTAAATATCTGAAAACCATTAGCCATTAAGATCTATGAATCTCACAGGAGGGAGGGAGGGTTCATTCACACAATTACCCCCTCAAGGCTTAGAATATCCCTCCAAAAGTTGACCTTTATACATCAAAGGTAAGGTGAGAGTACTCGAGGGCAAGGACAAGGAGCGCAAAGTAATCTCATCAGCACCACCCTGCTGTAATTACATGTGATTGGCTACAGATTATTTGTGTATTTATAGATGTTTTATTATCACACAAAGTTCTTTGACCTGTCAGGAGGGAGGATTTTTTTTTCTATGTATATTTTCAGAATCTATATCTCGCTTTAAAGGACCAGCATGTTATTTGCGTTAGCCTAACACTGAACCGCAACGCCAGTGTCTCAGGAAAGAAATGAGTGATTAAAATGCAGAAGGGGATTTTCAACGTTCACGTGTGTCGCCAAAGCATACAAAGGAGGCTTAGTCATATTCCCTGAACATACAGTGAAGTATAGATCCACCACTGTGGTAAATATCATAGCTAACAGCTTCACGTGACATGATTCCTCCAAGAAGAATCAATGAAAAGCAGACTGTGGATCCACGTTAACCCTGAGCTGCTAGTGCAAATATAAAACAAAATCCACATGACTGAACTGTGATCTGATGGGCTTAGGCACTTTTGCAGATTACACTCGCCACTTCCTGTTTCCATGGCGAAAGGGAAATGAGCATCCCCTGGCGAGGAGAGTTTAGTTGGCTGACAGTTGAGGTCAGACACTTTATTGATCTGCTGCTGTGGTTGGGACAGAAACACCATTTGGCTGTGAGCAATGCTTCACAGCTGCTAAACTACCATCTGCGCCGCATGCCTTCATGAGAAGGACAAGCCAGGAGATAACTGGGAGTGTGCCTGCTTTTGCAGAGTAAAGAGGCACCAAGAGGATCAGTGTCACATACTTTGACATCTTTTGTTTGAGGGTGTTACCCGTAATCTATAAAACTATTAAAAATGTCACAACAGTCAGAACAGACAAACTAGCAAGACCAAAACGCATTTTGTTAGTTGCCGGGTCAGAGTGGCATTGGTTGTTGTACACAAATTAATCTGTAATGATAGGAAATCCTGTCAATACAAGCATTCACATCAGTGATGTTTTCCCGGCCTGTGATATTGCGGCATTTATTTTTCAGATCATGGTCGATTTTTCTAAAGTTTCGCATACTGTGTGTCCACTTCTTACCAATCAGATTTCATGTTGTTGCGACATCTGACTCACCGGTCTATCCAACATGGCCGAATGGCTGATTGTTTACATGTCATAGAACAGAGTGCTTTTTGATAAAAGACACAAATATTACAAAGATACTGACCTGAAGGATGGTTTGTGTGCTTTAACAGTTTGCTAAACCTCTTTGTTTTAACTCGTTTTAAACGTCTGTGCTAAGTAACTTTAGCTTGTAAGCTAACCTGTTCAGATACAACATACCGTAAGTATTTACACTGTCAAACTCAATCACGTTGCTGTCACAGCACCATTAGGTCTCGATTGTTACCTACGGTTTTTACATTTATGGATTATAGTTTAATGTGCTTGGTACTGGCCCTGACTCAGTACATGCTATCATGACAGACAGACATCTCAACACTAGTATCTAATCAGAACTGAAAAACAGTCAGTCTGCTGTTGTGTCAGTCTTCTCGCTTTCACCTGGGACACATCTTTTTCCCCCCAGAAAGTCACAAAATCGCATCGGGCTTGATGTGTATGGTCAGGCACGCCAAAATTCGCCCCCGAATATTTCAGGATTTCACGTTCTATATTTGCATCAGCCCTGGTGTGTAAGGACCTGTAGACCAAGTCCTGTTTGGTTTAGTAAAGGTTTTTTGATTTCATCTTTATTAACCACAGCTTAAAACGTAATATGAGACCAGCAATGTCCTCCATGAAGCACTTTTCTCCTTGAATTGAACCTATAATTTTTTCATACAGAGGCAGGAGTCTTGATCATTAAACTACCAGTGTTTGCTATCGTAGGCACTTATTACCTCTACTTTTTGACTGTGGAAGTTCAAAACAAAAAAAATTTAAGCCATGCACAGCTCAAACTACTGTACATGTGTAAAGAAAGCATTTTGTCCTGGCTGATAAGTGACACTGTCCTAGATTTGAAGCAAGGACCCTTCCATGGAGAGGCAGCAGCTCTCACCACCATAGGCGGGTTTCTGTTCAACGTCATCGCAGGTATGCGCGCACAGCCTTGAGGCAGAAAGCGGTACATTCTTATTTGTTTACAAGTGGAGTCAACGGAGAAAGAAAATGACAATGAGCTGTTGTGCTGTAAACTGCACTAAATCAGCAAAACAAACAATGGGCAAACATTACGACCCTGTTCCTGGTATTAGAAACATCTAAAACAACGTCACAACCTGGTAAACTGAGTGAAAGTCATGGATATTTCTGCAAGTGTTTTTCTGTTTTTGAAGCAATGAAAGACAAAGTGATTTTTCAATGAAATTACATTTTATTGCAGTTGTGTCAGGGAGAACTAGGAAACAATACTGCATCTTCACTGATATCAGTTCACTCCCAAGCAGGCTTTCGCCCCATGAAGTGTTTGTACATAAGAAACCCGTCTATAGGTTAGTCTTGCAGTGCTTGCTTTTGGGATCTCTCAGCCTTGTGTTTGTAACATTGACATAATTTCCTAAAAGTGGAGGCTGCTGCTTGCTATTACCCAGGTAACATCTGCCGGCAGGTGAAGAGGAAATACAGCTGTTGTCTGCCAGAAATGCACACCCTCTTTGTCCGGCCAACTCGGGTGAATCCATTCATTTGCTCCTCAAAACCTGGCTGGGTTCCTAGACCCAGCAGGATGTGGAGGGAAGAGTCCTTGAGAAATCATTTCGACCAAACTACCACAATTTCTCTGTGCACTGGAGCTGAAGGATTGTAAAAGTGAGGGTATGACGTATAAGTCCATGCCAGTGCATATGTATGTGCTGCAGAGGCTCCATGCTGGAGGTTGGACTTAGACAGAGCAGATCGTTGTTGGCGTCATGGCAACTTCCAGAGGTCGTCCCTCAGTTTGGTATTCCGCAGCGTGGTGGGGGCTTATCGCAGTGACATCACCAGGTACACCCTGCTCTCTGTTAAGCGGGGGCCTGCACAAAGTTTCTGCAAAACTTAAGGAGAATAATGATGAAAAGAGTAAAGAGTCTTTTCAAGTATCAACAGCTGACACTTGGTGTTGGGTTCAAATACATGCGCTGCACTGGAAGACAGTCTGAAATTAGGATGTTCATAAAGAATCTCAAAGATAGCCAAACAACGTTTACCTGGATCAAACCAGATAAGACCGAAAGAGCAAATACAACAATGAGAATAAAACAACCTTTCTTGTCCAAACAGTGAGTCCGCCATGAGTAAGACAAAGAAGTCATTTGCCAAGAATAGCCAATACTATGTGCTGAATTGCATCTTACTACCTTTACTTACTTCCCTTTAATGCAGTGGTTCTCAAGTCCAGTCCTCGAGCCCCTCTGTCCTGCATGTTTTGGATGTTTCCCTGCTCCAACACACCTGATTCAAATGATCAGCTCGTTATCAAGCCATTTCAGAGCTTGATAACGAGCTGATCATTTGAATCAGGTGTGTTGGAGCAGGGAAACATCCAAAACATGCAGGAAAGTGGGCCTCGAGGACTTGACTTGAGAACCACTGCTTTAATGAAAGACAGACCATCTCTCCTATTAACTCTTCATCAGAAAAAAGAATAAATAAATACTTATATATCTCAGACTGGTCCATGTGCACAATAATAACATGAGCAAAGCACAGACATGACAGTTAAATTTGTGCAGTCACAGATTTCCTTCTGTCTTTCACCTCATAATCATGTTAAACCTCCTCTGGGCTTCATGACTTCTGGAGTATCTTGAAATAGCTTGTCATCTTTTTACAGCCTGTGGTATTTTTCACACACTGATAATTATATCCAATGCAGACACACACACACACACACACACACACGCACACGAAAGAAAACAGCGTCAGAAGAGAGGAAACACCAACTTTTGCCAACACTACAGCCTAATGTGTCATCCAGGACCCTCGGGTAGAGCCCGAGAAATCCTCTTTGAAGCTTTTGTGCAGCTCCAATAATGAGGGGGCTCAGTGCTGGGCCCCTACGCGATTCAGGGGCCTTATTGATCCCTTTTTAATTAGTCTGTAGGTGCAGATTGGCGCATAATTAGACTGATAGTGAGCTTAATGAATGCAGACAGCAGCTAATTCCTCAGGGGAATTGTTGACTGCAGGGAAGATGTAGAATTTGGTCAAAAAGACATCATTTCAGGAAAAATCCTTCATGACATAAATGTGATGTACAGATAAAAGCTGGAAAAGATGTTTAATATTTAATGTACCCATGGCACTGGTTTTATGCAGTTTAATGAGCACTTATCATTCAGTATAAAGTGTGCTTCATGAAAAGATGGCAAGCTGTCCTGATGACGTCCCCTTCACATTCTTTATCAAAGACAAGAAGGCTTTTAGCCTTTAAGTGCTACTCAAATTGACGCCAGCTGATTTGATGGCAATGGACCATGGGAAGTATAAGAAAAAGTGATACTAAAAGAAATTGTTTCAAACAAAACAGACGTTCTCACCAGTAAATTGGCACTGTGGAAGTGCTGTCATCTCTCTCGTGGGCCGCAGGTCATGCTCTGCTGATGGTTCAAGAGGGATTTGAAGAGTCATTTGGACGTAATCATTTGTGAGCAGAACAGAAAAGTTTTGAGTGGGGATGACAAAAGCACAGATGTAAAGGATGGTTGCAGAGCTATGGCTTAGGGGTCATGTTAAGGTAAAGGGAAAAAAAGGTTTGGCTTCTTGTGTTCCCCATCTTTATTTCTATAATCAATCAATCAGTGTTTAAGAACATAGCATTAAAACATGATAAAAGGTATCTTATGAGCAGTCACAGGAGTGTGTGTGTGTCATGATATGTTCTGTTAATTTAGTTTTTCCCTGGTTTTGTGTTTCTCTGAAGTGTATTTTCTTTGTGATTTTCCCCAGTGTTTCTGTTCCCCTGTAGTCTTGTCTTGTGAGTTTTCTGTTTGTGTCTGACTCCAGTTCCCTCATGCTCTCAGTATTTTATTCCTTATATCAGTTTCAGTGTTTCCTGTTTTATTTAGTAGTAGTTTATTCCCCGTGTTTATAGTCTTGTTTTACTTCCTCAATTTTCCTTAGTTATTGTTTTCACCTGTGTCTCACCTGCCTCTCGTTGCTCGTTTCCCTGCGTGTGTGTATATATAGTCCCTGTCTTCCCTGTTCCCAGGTTGGTTCATTATATGTTATTGTGTGTGTGTGTGTGTGTGTGTGTGTGTTTGTCAAAGTGTGTCTATGCCAGTGTCCCCAGTGCCTCTTGTGGGAATTTTTCTGTTGGACATTTTAAGTAAGATTTTTTTCTTGTGCTTTTCTTGTAGTTCCTTTTAAATAAATCCTTTTTTTAATCTGCAATTTGGGTCCTTTCCCTTTTTGTTTCACTCCAAAGTGTGACAGTGTGTCCAGTGGGTCGGTTAATGGTGGCATGGCCCCACTTGTAACGTGTTTGGCCACCCCTGGTTCTACCCAAGAGTCCAGCTTCATAATGAGTTTCATGTCTGAGGTCAATGAAAAATTACAAGCAAACTCTTAAACTACAAAATATATTAAATTTGTATAATTGTGGCACGATTGTAGTAGTTTGGCTGTTTTTTAAATTTTTTTTTTAAGTTATTACAGGGCGGTATTAGCTCAGGAGGTAGAGTGGTCGTCTAGTAACTGGAAGGTTGGCGGTTTGATTCCCCCCTATCCCTAGTCTGTCCATTGTGTCCTTGGGCAAGACACTTAACCCAGCTTGCTCCCAGTGTGTGTCCTTCACAAGTGTATGATTGTGAATGTTGTGTGGTGGTGATCAGAGAGGCCGTAGGTGCGAATTGGCAGTCACAGTCTACCCCAGTGCAGCTGTGTCCACTAAGGTAGTTTACCACCACCACTAGGATGTGACTGTGTGAGTGAATGAATGATGTATCCAATGTAAAGGCGCTATAAAAATCTGATGCATTATCTTTTTGTGTCTTTGGGATAACGTCTGTTTTAGACAGAAAAATAAGGCAAAGAAGATTCCTACGCTGCTCTTCTGTTGTGTTTGAAAATGAAAATCTATATGATACGTCAATGTTGTTAGTTTAGTTAACAAAGGTGGTCACACACACGCTGGTTGGACATTACCTGCCCCCGCCCTGCTGTCATGATGTGTGCTCTGGTGTCAGAATAAGGTAATGATGCGCACAGTTGAACTCTTTTGTCCTCACAGAGCAGTGACGCAGGCATTACCTTTTGTAGCCACGTTTCACCTTTTGCCTCGAAAAGCCCTGGTTATGAAATTTCAAGAACATGGCCTCAAAGGGCAGAAACCCTGACCAGGACCAGACCCTGGCAAATCCATGTCTCTTTAATCCATTAGTCCATAGTCCATTTTTGACCTAATTCATGTCTGCAGCAGGTGACACAGGTGATTGCTCTCTTTTGTATAATATACTCTGAGTGGAGCGCTGCATCCTAAACAGGCAGAGATTCCAACAACCCACAGGGGATTGCTGCGCTATTCAACATGAGCAACCCCTCCTGTATCAGTCAATGTTGCTGAATGAGTCAGAGGTGCGGCGCTCATTAGCAAAAGGGCAGAAGTCACCTTGCTCCTCTCATCCTCAGGGCTACTGACACTTAGCGCTAACAGAGTGACAGTGTGTCGCTGGCATGCTAACTATCTCTGTTGGACCATATTCATGTCAGAGCTAAGATCTAGCTCTGTTGATATAGAGTCCATCCACCGATCGTTCTCATGACTTCACTTCTCAAAGTCACTCCTGTCAGCCAGTTTGCTTTGTTCTCCGAAAAGTTATCAGATCAATGGCGTGATTAAATGTCGGTCACGCATCCTGTGCCCCTTTGGCCTGACATGATGCAACAGTCGCTAATTGCAAGCTACATTCACCCGAGTGTCCTCTTCTTGTAGCATGACAGACGCTGAGCAGCATCAGGGTCCCAGGGGAAGTTCTGCAGCTATAAATAATATGGATCACATACATCTATGCAGGGACCCTCCAGCTCCAGTATGCTCCCTTTGATATGGAAATGAAAACCCCCACATGCCCTGGAGTTTGAGTAAGTGAAACAATTTAGAAGAATTTCTCAAGGCGTCTCAGGTTGAGAGTACTCAAACACCCATTATAGTTTTTAAAATAACATTTGCTCTAAGAGTTGGAGCGTCATTTCAATCTTAAGTGGTTCAAGTGATGGAAACTCTCATTCCTGAAACTACTGTATTTCCAGAGGAAGTCATTTGGATTTTATTTTTTCTATTTTATTTAATTTCTTGGCTATTTTGACTCTGAACTCCAACCCTCTTATTTGCATTTGAAAGCCAATTAAGGGTTTGAGCAAGTGTTGTACAAAACACTCTTTGAAATAATAGATTCATTCATTTCAACTGCATGTTGAGTCATTCATATGTTGATTGCCCATTAGCAGAATATGTCCTCTTTAAAAGATTAACATGATTATGAAAAACTCATGAAGCCTCTTCCAGAAATCACAACAGCAGGTACTAGACTCAGACAAAGTGCATCAGCAAAGATAAGAGACAGTCACAAATGGACCCTTCAAAGTGTAGTGCTTAAGTGCCTCCAATGTACAGCCTCATGTAAGGCCACTAAATTGAACCAGCACCTTTTGCGTTCATTTTCTAGAAAACTTGACCTTCAGCACACACAAAGCTCAAATGTATGGCACAGCTGCCTTTCAGAAACCAATTTTTATCTGAAGATTGGCAACAAAGAAGGAAAACCTGATGTAAGGAGCGTTTAAGCTGCACCCCTGAGAAAAGAAAAAAAACAACGTCAAAGAACCTTCACAGGCAGTTTTGGGCCTCTGCATGCAAAGCATGTTTTCACCTCCTCAATCCTTCAAAGAGGTTTTTTTCTATTCAATAATCATAGTTGTAGACTGTGACAGCATCTCAAAAAGGCTTGAACCCCTTTCAAAGGAAAGTGTGACGTTGGTTGCCTCTGTCATGTGTGCATTAAGTCACCTGGTGTTTCCCCTATTGTGAATACATTTTCTAGGGGATCTCAGGTAAGACGCAAGGAAGAGGTTTTGAAATGTGGGCCTCACAGGGACGTAAATAAAGAGGTTAAAAGTAGCTGTTATCAACATTGCAAAGGTTTAGAAGGAAAACAGGTCTTTTTTTTTTGCAGATCTAAACATACTTAGGTTTGTCAGGAGAAAACAACATAACTCTTCCATCTAAAAACAAGCGCCTCAAAGGGAAAATAAACACCACCAGCGCAGTGTTGAATCTTTGGTTTATTTTGAGCTTTTCTGAGACTTTTTTGAGCAGAGATTTATTTTTTATTTACACTCCACTCATTTTCCCATTGCCTGCAAACATGGTGTCAATGATGATGAGCGACCGCCGCAAGGCCTCATCTCCATATGTACGCCCAAATAAAACATGATGATTCAGTGTC